GGCCGCCCACGTAAGGTGCTCCTTGTAGAGGACCCAGTTCGAGCCGCCGACGTCGAGCTTCGGTACGCGCACGTAGTCGTCGCCAAGTTTCACGGAGGACATGTTGAGGGATTAGATTGGGGGGTAAGGTAAGTCTTCGAGGATTAGTCCGCCTAGAAGGCAGGGCTCATAACCTATAGTAAGCACTCAGTACGCGTTATGCGGGACTAGATATATTACTAATATATGCACCTATAGTAAGCACTACAGTACATTATCAGTGGGAGCCCGGCGGGGTAACTATATGGGCGGCTCACCTCAGTACGCGTTATGCGGGACTGAGGTGAGCGAGTACAGATTCGACAACTTATATAGAAGAGAGAGGATAATGTAACAATCGTATCGTAAGGGGTCCGAAGAAGGCCGCGCCACAGGGCGCATCAATCCCGATGGTGTTCCGTAGTCGCGCGGCGTCGCGCAAGGCTTGCGACGTCATCGCGCTACAATCGCGCCATTCTCCAACAAATTGTCCCACCGTTGAAACGAGTATCCAGACATTCCCTTTGAATATCACCTCGAAAAGCTGATAACAGGATGATATGAATGCAATGTTTGTGCATAGCCAATTTGAAGAGAATCAGTCACACAGGCATGCATGATCTTGTCCTGATTCAGTCACACAATTGCTTTTCTCAGGATTTCCTCTACAACAATCGGGGTAGCGACTTCATGAATCCGTCTGATGACCTGAAATTCAGGGGAAGTACAGTTGCAAGGATATTGAATACATATATGAATTATGTCTGGTCAGTGGATTGGGGAAGCGGCAAATTGGGTAGTGTCCCAAGGACCCATCGGTCACCCATGGTGTCCCAAGGAGCCGTTAATCACTGTATTCCTCGCCTCCCCAGAGTCGCAAGTGATTGCCTATTTTGTATAGCCTCAGGCATTCAAGTATACGTCTCCCCTTATGCGGTGAGCGGGGATCGATGCTACTTCTCGTCATCTCCTAGAGAGTTTATGCAACTGGATTGTTCTTGGGACAGCACAGTACAACAGGCCGTGGACGGACTATTGATATAGAACTTTGAATGAGTGTCCGTAATCGCATAACTTGAAGAGAAGGTTGTGTGAGAGTGCCCTGGAAAAAACAGGGCGCTGAGGAACCAGAGCCGCCACAAGCAAGGAGCACTTGTCGCATAGACACTCGGATAGAACTTATGTTCGGAAGTCGTCGTTAGCCTCCATTAGCAGTAAGTCTGCCGTAGCGTTGGGTGCAGCCTGAACACGAGCTACTCCATGAAGAGCGGGACTGTTGGCTTAAGTCTCATTGTATTAGTATTTAGAGCGGCGCATTATATTGAGGGACTTACGAGAGGATCTACGGTGCATCGATGTTAATTGAGTAATATTGTTGTCATTTCGGGCTTCACACACGAGGCTAAATATATGGGTAGCCGCAAAAATGGTTAACAGTAGCGACTACATCGAGGTACGTGCACGAAGTCGTGATAGTGAAACAACGTTAGAATATTCATATTCAAAGCCCCTTCAAGCCTTCGTAGCCTTCATACCGGGGACAACGACCATGCGGCCCGTGACCCTCCCAGCCCGGAGCTCATCCAAAACCTTGTTGACTTCCTCCAGGGGCGCAGCAGAGACTACGGGTTTAACAGCGCCCTAAAGTCGCATTTGTTAGCGGTGGGTCATGATGAAAGCGGGGGACTCGTGCCTCAGCAAGAAGGGCGAGCGAAGCCTTCAAGTCGTCCTTGGTGCCGTAAAGGCTGGTCAAGACTGATAGATGTTGTGTCAGTGAGCGCCGACGGAGCATTCGAGGCGATGACATACCATTGGTGCGGAAAATCAGGAGTTCAAAGATGTTGAAAGAAAGGTTGTCTCCAAATAGGCCAACCTAAGATCGCAACGTTCAAGAGGACAGTCACGACTTGATTACTTCGCGCTTCATGTCTTACCATAACGATAGTACCAGGAGTTTCCTGGAGACTGTTGCCATGACCCTTCACAACGGCCTGGTCGATGGTGAAAGCTAAAGGATAAACGTCAGTTTTCCTGAATCAAGCAAGCTTGGTTCTCAGTGCTGTGCTCACATTGCTGATTAGACACAAAGTCAATCACTATATCAACCTGGAAATTCTTCGACTCATCGGTGGAGGAAGTGAGCGAGGTCAGCTCCGTGGGCTGGAAGGCTTGCTCGGCACCGAGAGACAGAGCAAGCTCCCTCGCGCTGGCCTTGATATCGCAGGCAAAGACGGTGGCTCCGTAGGATTTTGCCAACTGGACGGCCTGGTGTCCAAGACCACCGACGCCGTAGATCAGCACACGCTGCTTAGTCCCTGGTCTGAGCTAGAGGTGATCATCGGTGTTCAGCTTTATGGGAGGTCTTCCGGAATGGAGAACTCACCCCAGCACGGTTGTGGACTGCGTTGTACACGGTGATCAACGAGTCGGCAGCAAGGGCCGCAACCTCAGGTCTGAGATCGGCGGGCTACCGGGGATGGTGTCAAACCGAGCGGGTAGTAACCAACAAAATGCCCTTACGACGGGGACGAGATCGGACGCGTCCGCAACTATGAACTCAGCGAATCCGCCGTTCTCGCCGATGCCGATACTGTCCGCAAAAGGTGGCAAGCCGGGAATCTGGTGGGGATCGTGAGCGACGATGTCCCATATGGCGTATAGCTTTCCGATCTCAATGTTCTCGACGTCCTTGCCAAGTCTGTAGAATTGATGACGTTAGTGCTGTCTCCGTTGAATCGACGCGGGCGACTCTGTACGTACTCCACCGCATAGCCGGCATTCTCGTGGCCGAAGACATACTTCCGCGGGTCGTTCAAAGTGTCGGATAGTAAGAGAGTGTCGGAATGACACACTCCCGCAGCGGCAACCTTGAGAAGCACTTGCTTGGGGCCAGGTCTGGGGATGGGGATCTCCTGCAAAACCAGGCTTGTGAGACCGTTGTGGAAAACAGCAGCGCGCATGGTAGTCATGGTAGAGTAGCGTTTGAGGTGGTGGTGGTAGATGATATGGGTTGAGTAGATGGGACCAGGAGATTCTGAATGAGGAGATACTTCTGGGAGTATTTGCGTCTTCATATACCTGTTCATTAGCGGCTATCAACCACAGCTATCGAGAGAGGGTGAACATAGAGTAGCTCATGCTACCCCTCGGAATACGTGTGCCGTGCAGGCAACTCCTCAAACCAGCGCCGTGGATGGGAAGAGGTTCAACTTCTGAAACATACCGTAATGTCTGAGTGCCACATGCCGTAGCAGCACCGCTGGCGTGCTCGAGAGTAACTTGTTCCGTCATAGGGGGAAACGTAGCCATCACTGCATGATACGGAATGGATCGGCGGCGTGTTTGAGAAAGACGCCGTACTCACTGGAAAGTAGACTGGAGGTATAATATATGTATACCACTATCGCTCGAAGCTTGCACGAAATATCAAAATGAGCTCCCGACTCGGAGTCGACTGTGAATCTCGGAAATTCAGCGAGTCTGACATAGTGCCGCACGCAAGTCAACCTGGGGTCTGTAGATAATCCAAGTTCACTACTAAGCGACTAGACTCAGACTAACCTCTAGGCCATGTCAAGGTCTGGCACGGAAAGTAGACCTCCGATAAAATAGGGCATCATCATCACCAGCGACGGTGGTCAACCTGTTTCGTTGTTCCTCGAGACGCCCGGGCCCGAGGTGGAGCCCTTCCGGGACTCCGGTGCGGGCGAGCCGGTGCGCCGGCCCAAAGGACGAGGCTTTGAGCAAACTTGATTTGAACTAGTTCACCCCGCCCGCCCGCACAGGTCGCCAACATCACCATCGTATCTCACATGATTCCCAACACAATCGCGAAAACTTGTTGGCTCCGCCCGAGGTTGGATGGTTTCACCATGCACCTGGGGATGATAGAGCCTGAGTCGACGGTCCTCCACTTGGGGCTCTGTATCGGTGATCGAGACGTCCTCCATTGACGACTATCCCCATCCCCATACTGAATTTCTCAGGGCATATCGGTCCCCCCACACAACAATGTCGTATATTCCGAGATGCGGTGCGAAAAGGACCCTTTCACCGAGCGCGGCCTCGTACCGCCTTGAGCTCAAGGGGTTTGAGAGGATTACCTCGAAGGTGAGCTCAGGAGTTCCATCTTGGCAGTACAATGGGCGCAATGCATATGACTTCTCCATACGCCGCTGAACTGCCGCCTGGGCTGTAAGCAGTCGATTTCACACCTCTATCGGCCCTTACTGAGCCAGCGCGTGGCGTCGTAGGCGTCGAGGGTCGCCGTGGTTAGCTACCTCAACACAGCCAGTAGGCGAAGAATATGAAAATCGCGCTGGAGCAGTCGACCAGGCAGCTGACATCCGCGCTATCCAGCAACTCCATTCCTGTAACCTATTACAGCACTCCAGGATGACAGCCCTCAAGCGTACCGCTGTCTATGTTCGGGGCAACAACGAGCTCGTTCTCTAGACGAAGGCCGCCCCAATCCCAAAGCCGAAGCGAGTTCTGTTGAAGGTGGTCGCTTCGGGTATCTGTCACTCGGACACTTTCGTCCTCTCTGCCGCCATTCCCGGCACGCGTACCTACACTCTGGGCCATGAGAACGTCGGAGTCGCTGAGCAGTAAGCGATTCCCCATTCGTCCGAGCCTTCAGAGTCACGGATCTCGTCTCACTACCGCTTGCATATCTGAGGCTCGGAATACAATCGAGTTTCATGAGTGATCATTGGCGTTTGATTCGTACCTACATCGTTTCAAGTGCGAGACGTAACGTGTTGTCGGCCCCAGAAGCCGATTGCTATGTTGTCGACTGCTGATATAAGCACACCGTATTCGACACCGTACAGAAAATCTGGCGAGTTGTCGTAGGATCGAGAGGAGTGGTGAAAGCGATAAGCCTTTGATATATGGAATATACATGTGCGTACTGAGATGATTCTATTATACTCTTCCTAATGTACCTGTGCCCAGCGTGAAAGGTGTGGAGCCGAACGGACCGCTAGATCCTCATCGACGAGTTACGTCCAGACTGGGCCGGGTGCCCAGTAACACCTGGTGGATATCCACGTCTAGCTCGTCTCCCAGGTGCCATCGGTTGGTCTGGTCGAGCGGGACACCCACCAAGCGCGCCTTCAGCCCGAGCTCCGATAGATACACCGCACAGTTCATCTCCCCAATCTTGTCATTCGCCGTCGGCGCCTCTACCAAACGCGCCTTGAGCGTTCTGAGCGGGTCGTGCTCCCTCTGCGCCCGCCTAGGGTCGTTCATCCACCTGATCAGGAACCAGTGCGCCCAGAACGACTGCTGAATGATCTCCGACTGCCTCGCCGCCTGCTCCCGCAGGGAGAGGTCCTCCGCTGCGCGCAGGAGCCACGCTTCGTCGAACAGGACCGGTGCTCCGCGCTCGCCCTTCTCTCTAAGGAGGGCGTGCTTGATTTGCCAGTGCGCGATCATGTCACCGAATCTCCGGAGAGGCGACGTGACCTTCATGTAGCCCTCGCCCTCGGGGATGCCCATGAGGGCATGAATCGATGGCGTCAAAACGTACTGCCCGGGTGGGCTGATGACGCGTGCGGCGAGCGCGACGTAGGGGTCGACGACGCCTCCTGGGCCCCTGCTCGCCAGAAGCTCCTCGATCTTACCGCGGAGCTCTGTCTGAAGCGGAGCGACAGTGCGACGGATTGCGGGGATGCCCCGGTCCCGGAAGAAGAGAGAGGCGGCTCGGCCAGCGGCCCTCATAGCTTCCGCCACGAGAACCCTAGAACCCATCTCGAGCGCGTTGGCGACTCCATACGTCAGCTTGGGGAAGCCACGGAACTCCGAGGGGACGGAGGTGCTCATGATATCGCTGGGTAGGGGTCGGGGCTCGATAATCATGTTGGGTCTCGGTAAGCTGAATACGAGCGCGTTATTCTTGAGGCGATCAGCTTCCAGTCGTTGGGTAACCTGCTGAAGGAGCTTGAGATCATCCAGGATAGGAGGGCCGAGGGAAGACATATCAAACTCGTGACGCTGAGGAGCGCCGCCGAACGGGAAATGGGTGGTTCCTGACTCGTTTCCGAGCAATGCATCGACCATGTCGTACTTGATTGTGCGGACGTTCCGTACGACGGCTGGCCGGACCTTGTAGTCGACAATTTTGCCAGAAGTGTTCACCTTCATGCTGAAGCTGAGGGCAACGTTCGGCTGACCTTGCTGACTGTCGAGGCTGAAACGACTAAGAGCGGTATCGCGGGGAAGCATCGGAATCGTGCGGTCCACCCAGTATCGTGTTGTAGAGAGCTGCATGGCGTGACGAGCTATCTCATGTGAAGGAGGGAGTAGAGTCGTGGGATCAGCGATATGTACATGCAACCAATGGTGCTCTGGGTCAGACGGTATCCTTTCGACGGAGATACCGTCGTCGAGTTCCTCGGCGCCCCAATCGTCAATAACATACACCGGCAAGTCACCAAAGTCATGTCGCAGAGACTCCACCACATCGTGAGAGTATAGATCAGTCGGACCGAGGGAGCTGGGAAGGATCGGAGTGGGCACAGTCGGGGTGAGGTCAACACTATCAGCTTCATGGTGCAGTTGGATCTCCCGAGAAATCGGCTCGTCCCATGGAGCAAGCATGCCCAACTCAATCAAGAAGTGGTGAGCAGCCGTGCCGTTGTACTTCTTCATCGAGTGCATCCCGACCGCCTTCAAGATATGGGCAACTGGCACCGTGAACGGACTCTTCTGGATCAATCGGTGGGTCCTGAGTGAAGAAACCAGGAAGCGAAGGATCGTCCGGTCGCCTTCGGTCCACTCGACATCGTCCAAAGGTCGACGGGATGGTGCCTCCTCCCAAGACTCGATGGAACGCTGTCTCGACTCCGCGATGACCTTTCGCGCCTTGGCCGCGAAGACATCCAATGCAGGGGATCGATTCAGGACCATTTCGGTGACAGCCTCGATGTCTGAAACCTCTTGACGAGGGCGGACCCAGAACAGCTGCTTTTCCAGGAACTTGCTGGTCTCGACGACATACAGATGCCCAGAAGCGAACAGATATGACTGAACAGCGAAGAGGTCCACGTCTGTCAAGGTCGCGTCCTTCCCAAGCAATTTCACCGCGGCCTCGCGCGTGGTAAGAGGAGACCATACGGTCGGGTCGGAGTGCGCGACTTGGTCGTAGAAGGACATGCCATTCGCAATCTCGGGAATGGCGTGGCAGTCGTGCTCGAAGCGCTTTTCGAATGACCGCAGCTTGCTGAGGACCTGCACCCGCGCGTCGCTCTCTGCCTCCGTCTCAGCCCGTTCGAACAGCCCGCAGCGCTCGATGAGTTTCTCATCGACGAAGTTGGTTAATTGGAAGGTGACGTCGTGTTCATGGCAATGCCAGACCTCGCCGACGCTGGTGAGAGCATGCATGACCCATTTCCGGTTGTAGAGCATGGTGTAGAGTACGACGGCGTTCATGGTTATGTCGGCTCTGTCCGTCGCGCAACATCTCAGAATGCGATCACTAGAGCAAAGTCAACAGCGCTCACCTGCGAAGCTCGACTAGAGTACCAGCGGGTATGCGGCGCGTCTCGTCAACGAAGGCGTCAACGTCGCTGCTCTCCGGTAAAGCAAGGTCGTGGGGCTCGTCCAAAGCAGTGAACAGCTGCTTCTCCTTCGAGGGGGGAATCTCTGTAGTGGGTCGTTGGAAGTCCGTTACACGGCCCTTCCCCTTCCCCTTCACATCATCCTTGGTTTTGAGAGGCTTGCCCTCGAGCCATGCTAGTGCCTCCGGCGACAAGACCTTCTTAAGCTCCTCCGAGACTGGCTGGTTGGCATGTCCACGTTCACGTCCCCGCTCGCGCCCTCCTCCAAACGGACCCTCTTTTAAGAGTGTAGTAGACCGTCTGGTTCCTCCGCTTGTGCCGCTTCGGTGTCTGCAGAACGTATAGCGAATCCCAGAAGAGACGTCAGGGATGCGCTGGATCGCCCTTTTCTGCATTGCGCACAGATGCAAATACCAATCCTCCTAAAAGATGAGTGTACAAGTTAGCCCAGGACGCAAAATAGACGCAGAGAAGTCAAGAAGCGAAGGCCGTAGGGACAAGAATTCAAGCAGGAGGAGGTGTTTGAGCGGCAAGGTCGTCCTGAATCTCCAAAACTTAGGCGCTCAGATTGCCCGATGTGATCTCCCATCGAACTCTGTTCGATCACAAAAGTTCTGGCTTCCGAGCCATAGGCGTGTCCGGGCAGCTTCAGCGACACATTTGTACTTCAGACCTCTTTGCTCCATCCTCTACAACTCAGACCCGCTCCGGACCCGTAGGCGACATGTTCAAGCGCGTCGAAAGGCGGATACTGAAGAAGGAGAAGGAGGAGGAGCTCGGCCTGGACGAGGAGACGAAGGAGATGCTCGGGCTGAACGCGGCGGACACCGACTCGGACGAGTCAGAGTCATCTTCGGACGAAGGCTCTGAGGAAGAGGATTTTATAGGTGCGGGAGATGGTGAAGATGCCAGTGACACAGAGGCGGACGTGATGGACCAGGACGAGGAGCCAAGTGACTTGGGCGAGGACGAGGAAGACGAAGACGAAGATGACGGAGTTTCCATGACTGTCTCCGAATCCCTACAAAATCCTCTCTGGCACGTATCCCTCGAACCGGAGGTGAAGGCGTGCGCCGTCTGCCCAGGCAAAATATTGAAGAATCCCGTCATGGTTGACGTGCATATAAATTCAGGCGTGAGTGCTTGTGTTCCTCGCGTGCCTGGGGAGCCTCATAGAACACCTTCACAGGCGCATAAGCGGAGGTTTGCCAAACTACGGGAGGCGGCGATAGATGTAGACCCCGATACGGACATCCGCGACTTCGTACGCATTCAGCGGCTATCGAGCCAGCCGCAGAAACAGGCCGCTCAGGGCAAGCTATCAAAACGCGCGGAGAAAAAGGTGTGCGCTGAGGCCAGTCTCTGCGCTCCCGCTAACATTTCGAATGTGTAGAAAGCGAAGCTTGCCGCTATCAAAGCGAAGCGTGCCAATCAGAAGCTCATGAAGGCGAAACATAGAGCGAAGAAGGAGGTCAAGGAGAAGACTGCTGCAGAGGTTGACGGTGCTTCATCCGAGTCAGAACGCGAGGCAGACGCAAGTCCAGCGAAGCCTCCTGCTGTGAAAAAGCGGAAGGTGGAGAAGAGCTCAATATCAGACGAAGCCGTCTCCGCGAAGGCCGTTCCTGCCAAGAAGCAAAAGCCTCCAGCAGTGAAAGATGGTGCGGACTTCAAGCGAAAAGCCTCGCCCAATGCTGCGAAGGCGATACCGAAGTCGAAGAAGCAGGCAGCGGATCCTCCGCGAGATTCGGACAAGCCCACCGCGAAGTTCTCTGCAACGCAATCCTCACCTGCGAATCCTTCGGAGCAGTCAAAACGAAAAAGTACGGTTGCCACATCACGACCTCCGCTACCGAAAGACACGAAGTCGAAAAAAAGGCGGCGCAGCGATACCGCATCATGACGCCGTTGCTTAGACGGTCGAGGGGCCTTGTGGGTAACTAGTATATGTATTATATACGAGATTCGGGAGCTACTAATGTCTGTTGAGATACATCCACATGTAAAGAAAAGCCAAGGAGCGATAGGTGCGTCGACGCAGCAAAGACAGCACATTGTATCAAATGAGCGACTAGCGAATGAGACAATCATCAATAAAGCAAAGGTAATCATCGCAGGCTCTGCAAGACTTGGTCGGTCCTCCGGATGACCTATGACAGCGACCGGTGAGCAACTCTATAGGACTATGACAACTGCTATGGATCACTCACCTCGTGGATATTCGGCCTCTCCTCCGGCTTGACCTTCAACATACTATCAATCAGATCTCTCAGCCCCTGCGAGTACGCCGAGGGCGGGTGCTTATACTGCGCGCCCATGACCGCCATCGCGATCGAACCGCCCTGCTCCGTCGTCTGTGTGTTCTCGAACGGCGAGTGCGAGTACGCGAGCGCGAAAAGCGTGCACCCAAGCGACCAGATGTCGACCTTCTCGTCGATCGTCACGCCCGTCTTGACGTCGAACAGCTCCGGCGCGCGGTACGCCATCGTGCTCTGCTCGGCGGCGATGTCCTGCTGGAGCAACGCTTGGGAGCGGTTTTCGATCTTGACCCGGGCTTTCATCGTGCTGCCGAAGTCCATGAGAATGGGCTGGCCTTCGTCCGAGATCATGATGTTTCTGCAGCGCTATGAGTTCACCGGACGCTGCACGCGATTGAGAACGGTAAGCGTACCCCGGTTTTAAGTCACGGTGCGCATACGGCACGAGCTCCGTCTCCCCAGCATGCCCATTCCCGCCCTGATGTTGTATCCTGTCCAACTCCTCGTCCCCATCGAATATCGGCTCATGTTCCTCCCCACTGCCCTGCGGCCGGTCCTTCGCCATCAACGGGGCCCTCGAACTACTGCCTCCGGCTCCATGATACGAATACCCGCCCTCGGCATCCCCCTCCGGCTGGGGGAACATCCCGTTGTCGTCCTCGTCCCCCGACAGAGAGTTCCGTGGGGAGCTCGGCGCGGACGGCGCGTGCCGCGACTGGTTCGCGCGCGAGACGAACGCGTCGTTCTTGGAGCCCACTGGGGCGCGGTAGTCGTGCATGGCGCGGATGGCCTCGCAGGTGCCCTTGAAGTAGCGGAGCATCTCGGTCTCGGAGAAGTGCGTGTTGTTGATCGAGTTGGCGTTGATCGCGTCTTGGAGGTTACCACGCTGCGGGCCACGGCACGCGCGGGGGATGAGGGCGAGGTTTCAGACTGGGGGTAGGAGTGGGGCGCACCTTGTAGAGGGGGAGGAAAAGATAGACAACTTGGCCATCGCCGTTGGGGTCTTGGACTACTGCTGAATCCTGCACACAGCGTAAGGTCGCGCAATGAGCGGGAGGAAGTAGTGGGACTTACGAGTATACGAATGATGTTGGGGTGCCTTCACAAATCAGTTGAGACCACCGCGGGCACCTCACACAAGACGGGAGCTCACTTGAAACGCCTGTACGCTTCGACTTCCCGCATCGCTTGCCTAACATCCTCTTGGCCGTTGGGACAACGGATCTTCTTGAGGGCGAATTGCCTCTGAGAAAGGTCTGAGCATGCATCTTGTGGCAATGGGAGACTTGGGGGCTGCGCACCCCACTGTGCTCGTCCTGAGCGAGATATACGAAGGAGAAACCTCCCTCTCCGAGGACGCGGATAATTTTGACTGCAGAGCATGGCTTGAGTATTACCGCGCGCTAGCAGAGATAGCTGGACCTACATGTTCTCCCATTGATCTTCACCTTTGCTGACTGCTGGCATATACATGACGAGAGAGCCCAGAAAGCGTCCTTGACTTGGTACTTGATACCCTCAAGGGTATGCATCAGTTGTGGGGGGATTGACATGCTGGCGGGTTATGTGGGCAGGTATAGAGAGCGACGAAGAAGAAAACGGGTGATGCACGGGGGCAGGGCCCCTGTTCACGGTGGCCAGGAGGTGAGGCAGCGGCCGTAGACGGTGTGTTTCGGAAAGGACAGCGCGACGGTGCAGGATCACACAGCGTTCCCAGCGGCCCGTGCTGCGCGCCCCGTAAGCGCCGACGCTGGGACGGGCGTCTGTATACGCGTGGCTGAATATTGTCCGCCACACCCGCGTCGGTTCCTATCCTTGTTCTCAGCCACCACCACCATCACGGTGACCCCCCTCTGGCCACTGCCCAGCATCGCTCAGCATCGCATCTTGACTCGTTGATTTTGACCTGCTGTGTTCTCACTCCCTGTTTTCACTGTCTCACAAATTGAACATGGCTGAGCAAAGTGTCTCCACGACCGCCATACCTACATCTGCCTCTGAAAAGTCTCTCAAAGTCTGTCACTCCGCTCTCGATTCTCCTGCTTCCGTGGACTGACAAGAGGGCTCAGCGTAAACTAGAAGATGCACTTCAGAGTCTCGACGAGGCCGTCGGCCCCTCCACCACCTCCATCGCCCCTAGCCGACCCCCGCTCAAGAAGCTCCGCACTTCCCGCTCCATCTACGCTATGCTCGCAAAGTATGGCATCAGGAAGGATCCCAAACCGTATGTGACTTCTGTGGTTGAGGTCGCGCAAGCTCTCCGTTCTCAATCAAATGTGCCACTGTAGAGCAACACCTTCGGGCGACCTTGACACCCTATCCAAGACCGCTCCTCACCTGGCCGCCATCATTTCCCGCACGGCTTCCCGAACACGGAAGGCACTCCCCTTCCGAATAGGCCAGCCAGGAAAGCACGCCTCGCCCTCTGCGCCATCCACGAGTGACTATCGCCCGTCGTCCACGTCTTCGTTCCTTGCCCGTTTATCCACGTATAAGCTCACCACATACGGTAACAAGCCGCCTGCTATCGATGCCGTCGCTGCATCCAAGTGCGGATGGATAAATGATGGCAAGGACCGCTTGGTTTGTGGGATCTGTGGCGTCTCGTGGGTCGTCGCCGGTAGGGACGGCATGACGCGCGACGCCGGTATGTTGGGACGCTTGCGATAGGTAGGTCAGGACTGACAATAGCTTGGCCACAGCAAATGCCTTGGTAGAGAAGCAGCGCGTTCAACTGGTAGAAGCGCACAAAGATGGTTGTCCTTGGAAGACTCGCCAGTGTGATGGTATGTTCATCACGAGGACTATCAACACGTTAGACTCATTTGGTACAGATTCCGTCTACCGCATCCCCTTACAAGCGCCGCTATCGACTATTCGCGAGATCAAGTCTCGTGCCGTACTACTCGACACAGTCATGAAGGGTGTTGGTATCAAGCATCCTCTCGTAAGTCCCTCCATACAATGACCGCCCAACATAGGTTGAACATTCGCTCTAGACTGCTGCTCAGGTGCAGTCGTTGGTCTCAATCATCAACTCTGTATCCTTGCCGTCTTCTTCAGTCCTTGACGAAGAGCCAACAACACCCACCGGGCAGTCCGTGTCGAGCGCCATGCCTCTCCGGGTCGAGCCTTCGGAGACATCCATACTTACTGCCCTGTTTGGATGGTCGATCCTCCCGCCAGCAGCACCAGAGCCCATCAAGACCCCGTCATCAGTCTCGCGCGCTGGCTCCGTCGCGCCCACAACCCCGTCTCGCCATGTTGTACCTCGTACTCCCCCTCGTGCACCCTCGGTCGCGCCACGAGAAGGGACCGTGACCCCGAGCTCATCTCGCTCGTCAATGCGGATCTCGACAGCGAACTCGCTGCTCTCTCAGCATTCAGTCGGAAGCGGCTTTGCACGCCCGGACGCCACACTCCTCCACTGTCCCTTGTGTCAGCGGCGCGTCGGGCTCTGGGCGTTCCTGCCCAAACCCCCAGCGGACGAGGACGACCCGATGACGGGCAGCTCCCCCACCAGCACCAACGACGATGCCAACGCCAGCTCCCCCGCTCAGACAAAGAAGACCCAGCCACAGCGGCAGCTCGACATTCTCCGCGAACACCGCCCCTACTGCCCTTACGTCGTGCGCTCGACCGTCCTGCCCTCGCTTCCCGCCCCGCCGGCGCAACAGAACGGCCTTCGGCGGTCGGAGTCGGTCTCTTCGCTCGCTGGCGTGAACGGGTGGGCAAACACGAACGCAAATGCAAACGCGAATGCGATGGAGGGGTGGCGGGCCGTCATGGCGGTCGTGTCGCGGTACGGGACCGTGCAGAGGCAGCGGCTGGGGCTGAGCAGGGCGTCCACCGTTCGCGGGGATTCAAATGGCGATGGAAGTCCTGGTGGGAATGCGGGCGAGGGTGTTGGGGGAGTGGATGATGAGGAGAGCTCGATCGAGGCCATGGTTGCCGGGGTGAAGAGTCATGGGGTAAGTTGCTTGCCGTTTGGTGTATGAGAAGGGCTGACGAACTTTTTCGCAGGGAAAGGATCTCTTGAAATATGTGAAGGGTCTGTTGGGTTGATGGATATTCACAATTGTACATTGGGACTCGATCGTGTTTCTTGTTTGTCCATTGCTTTGTGTATAGTCCCTGATGTGGGATTGTCACCTCTGCCTTATATCATAGTGTATCTGTATCCATCATTGTACACATCTGCTTTGGCCTTGTCCTCATACATCCCCTTCTGGACAACATCCGGAAAGCCCCCTGGCGGTGGTCAAATGTCGGAAAACCTTCGATTGCTCACAGATAACTCTCAAGTCACGATACAGCTCTCTGACCAAGTCAGCACAGAACATTCAGTAAAGTCCACCTGATCCCATTGTTGCTCCTTGGGTGATATTCCAAGTCCACTCGTATATACTGCATGGTCACCTCGGGAGACGCGCCATCTAGCCTTGCCCTGTGTCACGACTGATCCGCTATTCCAGAGGATGCACTAGCCACTGGGGTTCTCCGGAAGGAGGGCCCGCCTCTGGAGCCTCGAAATTGGTCACAACTCGATGCCCGAGCAATGTACCTTCTTCAAGTTCGTCGAGAATACCACTAATATCCTCGAGTGCTACACGCTGCAGCGTAGGTTCGATCGCACCCTGTCGTCCACCGTCAGTATCTGGATACCGGGCACCTGTGGTGTAAATGATGTTCGTGCTCACTTCCGCGAGAAGTCTAAATGCGTGCGTTAAGCCGTCCACCGCCAGACATTCAAGCACAGTGTGAGCTATGAAATCGAGCACATGAGCTATGCACCGCCCCTCGGTTACACTGAAAGTTTCCCCGACTCACTTGCGTACTTCCGATTCAGATCATCATAAACGGATCCGCTAAGCGCCGCTCGAGGTCGGACCTATAGGCAAGTCAGCTAGGGTGAGTCTTCGCAGCGAGTAGTCGGGAGATCAAGTCGTACTATAACGAGAGTCCCTCTGTATATGGCCGACCGTTATCAGCGTCGTCCTTGTTGTGCCTTCTTCCGTGTGCTCACCTGTTATTGTCCGCGGTTGCCGGCTGCAAGGCAAGTTTCGTGGCTTTGACAGCTACGGATACCATACAGCGTTCAGAGCGAGCGAGGCTATCACGATCTCTTGTCTCACTTACAGGCCTCGCTGCCTACAAAGTCAACGACGAGGTCCACGGTGAATTTCTCTTTCTCGTTTTGAGCCGCGTGTTTGAGCTCTTCGAAAGTGAAGACACGCTCCGCGCCGATGTTCTTCGCCAACTGTCGCGCCGGGGGATATTGGTCGCACGCGAAAATCGTGGCCCCATACGCCTTGGCGAGCCACAGCGCCTGGTGACCGAGGCCCCCAACGCCACATACTAGCACACGCGGGGCTTCTCCCTCGGAGCTGTTTGACTTACCCTTGCCCTTGAATGGCTGTAGCTGATGTCCGCATGAATATTCTAACTCTCCCTGCAGCTTGGACCTATGATAGGGACGAATGCCACTCACTTTAGCGACATTAATGACCGCATGGTACACGAGGGCTGTCGAGTCCACTGCCAAGGCCGCCAGCTCGGGCTTGTTGACCAGGGAGTCAGGCTGCCGACAGAGTCGGATAGGTATGAGCGATGCACGATGTGTATGATATGCGCAATTCCTCACCACACGCACGAGAGTGGCGCGCTTCGTATCGACGAGCACGAACGGCGCAAAGCCGCCGTCCACGCCGAGGCCGTGCCTGAGAAACAAGGGGCTTGCGCCGACGGCCTTCGAGCAGGGTACCATCTCCCATACAGCGTAGAGTGCGCCCAACTCGATGCCCGTAACGCTCTCTCCGATTCTAGGGGACCACTTAGTCAGTGTAGACGGGATACTCGAAACAGGACTCACTCCCTGGCATAGCCAACGATCTCGTGTCCCATCACGAATGAGTCCCGGCCGTCCTTGATTGAGAGGCGACTGTCGCTCTCGCATACCCCAGCCGCTGCCACTTCGAGCAAAACGGTCTTTGGGAGTACTGCTGGTTTCTCGACCATCTGTACGAGAGGTCGCTTCGCCCTCGGTAGTCGGACGGCGGCGCGCATATAGCCCCCGGAGCCGTTGGGAGAGTCGGTAGTGGCCATCGTTCCGCTAGTAGACTGCGCGATAGGAGGATCAGGAGAAGTGGTTGCCGTAGTTTGAGTGGCAACCTTCTCGTCGCTTCGAATATATACGTGTATGTTCCGCCACGCAGCTTACAGGCGTTGTTGTCTCTAGGCTGTGCTTTGAGGCCTTCTATAGTTTAACGTTTCCACGCCGCCCATTGTGGGTGCAAAGCCTGAGTCGAGGATTCAGCTCGAAGCGACTGTTCATTGCGTGCCCGTCGTCACTCACATGGGTCTGCTCTGTTCACAGAGTCTGCAGCGGGGCGTGAGGCCCAATCTTGAGCTACGAGTAGGGGTGCTGATTCGCAGAACGCCGCTTTATCACAACATCTGGACACGTTCCTATTACACACGAGGCTTGGTGGTACACCACGGGAAACGGGTCGCCTGTAAAGAGAAGTGTCACAGGAGAACTTCCGATGTTCTATACTCTTGATCGATGTCTGGTGATTCCATCGCATGAAGCTGGCCAAAGCAACAGATAGGTTCAGAGCGGTCGCAGGCGGCCCGAGTGTTTGAGCGGTGAGCACTCTGTACCGGACGATGCAGTGTCGACCAGACCGAGTTCGGTGTCATACCGATCTGCGAGCAACGATGATTAGCCTCGGGGAATGGCATTGAATGGAAACCAATTATGTCGCAGAACACGTACGTTAGGCGGCTTGTGCTGAGGCATACACTGCCAACTAGCGCTGAATCACGTCTATCGGGACTTTATCATCCAGCACGTACACGGAGTAGACAATATTGTGATATGTGCTGAATGATACGCCTCCAGCGAAGACATGCCGACTCCCGAGGTAGGTAGTGAGTGCGTTGTACTAGCGATATGAAGAGCACAGCATATGGGCGCTCGTCTGGATCGCCCCTGGCAGCCGCTGGGCAGTGGACGGTGTAAAGCCTATGTACTTACGGTAATATGACCGCCGTCTGATAGCACCCGTCAGCGTCGCTTTCTCGCTGTTCCAGAGTCTGCGCCCGCGGCTCGCCATCTTTCTCTCATTCTTCTCTACCACCACCACATTTAATTCCATGCCCACGTCGTACGCACCGCTCCCAAATCCCCGCTACGCTCCAGAGGATGCGCAGCGCGAGCTTGAGGATGCATTCGATTCCGACGACGAGGGTCAGGACACTTTCGAGCACACGCCCCTGACAAGCAGGTCCACGACTGCACAGACAGCGAGAGCCCTCCCTCCACGTTCAGATTCTCATTACGCCCCGCTCGACGCCGACTTCCCTTCCCCGATCCCGACTCCGCAGACCGTACCACCCGGTGCATACGACTTTGAACGAGACCGCGATTACGACCATCCCCCACCCGGCTCTCCCCCTAGCCCGTCTGCGAATGTGCTTCCTGCCGACATCGGTAATTCAAATGGCTTTGTCCCCACCTCCCCTGTATGGCGGCCATCACATCCACCGGCCTCGAGAGTATCGTTCTGGAGGCGGGCAGCGGGCGCACTGCTGCCACAACATTACGTGCGTGTGCCCACTGAGGACGCACAGGTGTCCGCACCGAGGGTCATAGGTGGTGGGACGGAAAACGATGGAGTGTTCGCTAACGTCAGCGCGAAGCCGTCGCGGGGCGTCGAGGTCGTTGATGCCAATGGGGAAGTCCATATTGTCCCTGAAGAGGTCCAGAAGGAGACGCCTCCTGTACGTGCCTCCACTTCCCCTTCTTTCTACCTCATGCGTAGTCACTGCGCTACTATCGTTGCAATGCAGCGAATGAAGACTCGGTAATGCTTACTGACGACATGCCCCTTACAGTCGTACGCAGAGGCCCAAGCCGATGCTGTCCCAGCATACTGGGAGACGACCATCCACGCCCCCGCGGCCGCAATGGACCCTGGCGCCTACATGATCGTCGACGACCTCCCCTCCGGCCCTGTCTTCACCTTTATCATGACCGCCTTCGTGTCCTACTTCTTCCAATTCGCTGGCTTCGTGCTCACATACCTCCTGCACACCACCCACGCCGGCAAGTTTGGCTCCCGCGCCGGCCTCGGCATCACCCTCATCCAGTACGGGCTCATCCAGTATGGCGCCGGCCTTCGTGGGCACAGCGACAGCAGCGCCGGCGCCGCAGACGATCCGCAGCCGTCGACGCTCGCGGACGAGATCGCGAAGTGGAATGAGACGCGGCACCACCTGCACGCCGTGCCGACCGGCACCCCGCTGAATGCGTCCATGCTCTCGTCGTACAACGCTACGGACCCGAGTAATCCCATGCTCGACCTCGACATGCAGTTCGCGGTGAACTCGCGCGACTGGATCGCGCTCATTCTGATGACGCTTGGTACGCATCGCGTTCCACGCACGTTCCTCGACTTCGTTCCTCACGCTGATGACATTGATCTCTAGGCTGGTTCCTCCTCCTCTCGTCCTGCGTGGGCTTCTACCGCGTGAAGCGCTGGGAGGCGTCCATCCGCGCGGCGTCGATGCCGCAGGAGCCGATCACGGAGGAGCAACGCGCGCGCGACGAGCAGGTCCGGCGCAACATCGAGATCGCGTTCGGTTTCGCGCACCTCGGCGACGAGGATGAAGAAGAGGACGACGCGCGCGCGCCGCCCCAGCCCCCGCCCGAAGAGCAGCAGATGTCCGAGGCCGAGCTTAGGCTCACGCGCACGCTCGAGGCTGCCGGGCTCTTATAGCGCCAGTGGCGTTGATCGTTTATTTTATGCCTAACTCTTGCTGTTGTATTGTATCGTCGTCTGGAGCCTTTGGTGGACGAGCAGGCGTGCTCTCAGGGCTGGTTGTGTTGGCTGGTATGAAAACTTTGACAAATTATTTGTAAGGATTCAGTTCGTTGGTTGGGATGTTGCACAGGCTGCCGCTGCCGTTTTCTTGGGACGTCCCGCGTTATAGCGCGCGCACGGTCTTTACCTTGTTCTAGATCTCTGGGTCGCTTGCTCGATTATGGGACGGCCATTCGCTTCTTTCGTGTCTCTCGACGCTATACGTGTATGCGTACTTTCGTCGCTGTAATTTATAGGTACTTCAAACTACTGATGTCCAGACGTCTCTGAAGTAGCGAATCGCGCAGGAATACAGCCTCCAGGATCTACAGCAAGGTTTGATTAGCCGCAGGTGATACACGCCTAATGCCGGCATCCCGAGTCAGTATATACATAAGTACCAGATCCTATGCACGGTTCCACAGGGCCCGTTTTCGCTCCTTCCTTGAGACAGCTGGAAAATTGACACGCATTTTACCCCGTCTCCTCATCATATTGCTCACGAAACGCAGCATATCAACTGCTCTTTTCGTGTGTATAGAATTCATGGTCTCTTTGGGATGCCATACTCACAGAATGTCACAGATGAAACCCTCGGTGCCTTCAAGGCCACGACGACACAACCATGCGTCTTCTCAATACCGAGACTGGGCAGTTTGAGGAACGCGATCCTGAGAGCACCAAATACGCCATCCTGTCGCACACATGGGATGCGGTCGAGCAGACGTACGAAGAAGTCCGAGAACTCCAGCGACCGTACGCCAGCAACGGTGTGCTGCGCTCGTCCCTAGCTCCCGTGAGGTCTCCCTCGAACCGGTGGTCGCCCCGATCTCTTATGCCGAGCCGCGCGTAGCACAATCGCTCCCTGTCGAACCCCGAACGTGAACTCCGCCCATTATGGGACAACCCCGAGCTCTCGGCGAAGGTCCGGGACGCGTGCACCGCCGCGCGCGAGGCGGGCTACCGGTACATCTGGATCGACTCATGCTGCATCGACAAGACGAGCAGCTCGGAGCTCTCTGAAGCCATCAACTCGATGTACAAGTGGTACGCCCTCTCAGCGGCGTGCTACGCCTACCTCGCCGACGTACCCTTCGACGAGGACCATCGCGCGAGCAGGTCCTCCTTCCGCAGGAGCCGGTGGTTTGAGCGCGGCTGGACGCTCCAAGAGCTAATCGCGCCCCTCGAGGTCATCTTCCTCTCCCAGGACTGGAAGGTCATTGGGTCGAAGCACACGCTCGTCGACCTCGTCTGGGACGTCACGGGCATCCCCGAGGAGGCTCTGCTACACATGGAATCGCTCGACGCGTTCAGCGTAGCGCAGCGGCTTTCGTGGGCCGCCTCGCGCCAGACGACGAGGGAGGAGGACCACGCGTACTCGCTGCTCGGGATCTTCGACATTAACATGCCGACCCTCTACGGCGAGGGCAAACGCGCTTTCCGGCGGCTGCAGGAGGAGATCGTGCGTCGGGTGCCGGACCAGAGCCTCTTCGCGTGGTGGGCCATATTCACGGGTATCGAAGCGCGGCAGGATCTCGTTATGACCGCGACGCTGCAGAATGCTGCCCGGATCGCCTTCAACGTATGGGATGGCGCTTCCACCTCCTTTCTTGCTACCGACGTCACCCTGTTCGCAGCGGGAGGGAGCATCAGAGCCGTATCTCACGATGACGTCTTCCACCGCCTCCAGCTCTCCCATCTCCCCGCCACGGAGTACACCTCCACCCCACACGGCATCCGCACCCAAATACCAGTCATACCGCTGTCCTTCTGTGTCCCTCAGCACGCGGCACACTACCCCGAGAAGTACGCATCATCTCAGTGGTATCTGGCGATCCTCGGGTGCGAACACGAGGACTATCCGGGACATCTTCTCGGACGCGTCTGCTACATCCCTCCTTCCGAGTCTGGCGTCGAGCATCTGTATTGCGGATATGCCGCCATTGACCCCACACCAGAACGTGGTACAGACGTGCCCGAGCTCTTCCCCTTGTCCCCGGACACCTTCAGCCGCTGCCGTCCCGAGATACAGCTCAAGACAATATACATATCCCACCCCGAACGCGCTATCGCCGGTTCTCTCGGCGCCACCACCGAACCGCACCGACAAATCGAGCTGACGGTGAGCAGCAGGGCTCGACACACTCTACTGGCCCAAGGGTACTCCGTCGAACTCAGCGGTCCGGCCCTGGACAGCCCTGCCGCCCGCTGGCTCACGCTCTCCAAAGACAACGACAGGGTCATGATCGCGTTCTCGCATGCCCTAGACAACGTCGGTCGCAAGCTAACAATCACCGCTCGCGTGACGATGTCGCAGGAGCCCTCTAGCTCCAGTACGAGGGAGATCCACGGTACCCCCATCTCTGTGTCCTGGTCGGACTATGCACCGTGGAGCCGGTCGCTCGGATCCAGAAAAGTCACCATATCGGACCCCTCGACGTCGCAACAGTTCACCGTGACGCTCACCGTGAGCTTCGCAGGGCTCTCGTATTACCTATTGCACGTCGTAGTCGCTGCGGAGACACCCGTTGCAGTCCCTGCTCTGATCGCACCACCATAGGGTCTGTCGTCTCATCCGCTGCCCACTAATTACTCCATATATCCTGACTATCCCACATTTGATCGCTCCCCGCGATGTTTCCTCGACATAATGAGAATCATTTTTATTTGCTCTTGACTTGTTGCAACGTGTCGTGTGTGTATGCACATTTAAGTCCCACTGTACTTGCGTGCACAACCTCGAGAGAGCCTACCCTCAGCACGGTCCGGAGCTGTCAGCTCTCGGGAGATGGTCCCAACCAGCATGGCGCAAATGCATAGATCGTATCCGAAGCACAGAAGGCAATCCGCCGATCCTCGGGCACTTTCTACAAAACTCACGTGCCGAAAATACGCCGCTTTCCCGACGTATTTGCACGCTCGGTCACCCGTCTAAGAGATCCCTGCTAATGCCGGTGCCGCATTCGAACCCCCGCGATACTGCACACAACAATTGGATCGACGATCCTGACCGTGTAATCCGGACGATCGCCCCGGCCGCTATACAGCGTGAATAGGAAACCATGCACTTGCGTGCGATGGTATAAAGAAACGTATAAGTACGTGTACAACAAGAGCGATGCAGATACACTATTACATGCATGTTTGATTGTCGATTGTAACTTCTCTCATCCCATACCGATAGACCTTGCTCATCATGTGGGCTGTCGCCGAAAGCGAAAGCCCATCTATATGTGTGTATGTCCCCCCCTTCCCCCTTCCCAACGCCACCCCCCTGACGCCCAAGAAGCCAAAACCCAAGATCGCTATCGCATCTAGGCACGAGCCGATTCCCGCGCAAAAAAGGACAGACTGGACTCATGCCGAGTTGTGCGGCGCGAGCGCATTCTGCGCCGGTGTCGCCGGCACGGTGCCGTTCTCTGACAACACGGTCCCCCGGAGGTCGTCCTTCCTCAGATGCAGCTCGGCCTGGCCCCCCTTGAGCTCCTCGACAGTGTGATGCGGCGGCAGTACATGGTTCTTCTGTACGGGCGTATCTGGTGTCGAGTCGGACGGCGACTCCGCGACCGGCTTCGGCTCGCTGTTCGGGAGCTCGATCCGGGTCATCTCCCGGACGAATGAGGTACCCCAGTATGCTGCCGAGTACTTGTTGACGTACTGTGTACACGAACAAAGACGTCGGCTGACGTGTCTATAAAAGGACACGAGCAGCTTCAGAACGCACCTTGAACAGCTTGCGGTGGTTCTCAGCCCGCGTTTCCGCGTCCATGGTGACAGCCTCGCAGATCGCGTCGGCGACTTGTTGCGAGTCCCAAGGGTTGACGACTATACTGCCGTTCAAGCTCTGGGCGGCACCGGCGAACTCGGATAGTATCATTACGCCCTGGCGTTCTTGCTGGCACGCGATGTACTCGTACGAGACCTGGTGCGAAGGTATCAGTAGGTGTTGGGATTTGATATCGAGCACATGCCGACGTACCAGGTTCATACCATCACGCGTGCTGGTGACCAAGCAGACGTCGCTGACGGCGTAAAGCGCGCAAAGCTCGTCGAACGGCAAGCTCTTGTGCATGAAGTGAATAGGCATGAAGTCGACGGTTCCAAACCGACCGTTGATACGGCCAACGAGCTCGTTCACAGTTGCTCGGAGGTTCTGGTACTCCTCGACGTCTTGCCTTGATGGTACCGCGAGCTGCGCAAGGACGACCTTGCCGATCCATTCTGGATGTTGGGTGAGGAAAAGCTCTAGTGCATGTAGCTTCTGGGGTACACCCTTGATGTAGTCAAGACGGTCGACGCCGACGATGACCTTGCATCCACTGAAACGCTGCTCGAGCTGAGCAATACGCTTCCGGACTCCGTCCTTCCTCAGATTATCGATGAACGAGGAGGGGTCGATACCGATGGGGAACGTCCCGACATGTGCAAGACGGCCCTCGAATTCAACACCGTTTGGCATCGTCGGAAGACCGAGAATGCGGGTGCATGATGAGAGGAAGTGGCGGGCATAGTCGTAGGTGTGGAACCCGATGAGGTCAGAGTAGAGGATGCCGAGAAGGATCTCGCGCCGGACCGGGAGAATTCTGGGGGCTTCTATTAGCACAGGCGCCGCCATTGCGACATTTGAACGACATGTGGAAATGAAGAAGTCCACATAAAACGAAATGAAAACATGTGGTTCGTTCAAGCTTCGCGGAAACCTCTTCGGGAGAGTCCAGCCACGCCCATGAAAACGGAAGACCAGCAGGATCCGCGATCAGGAGACAAAGCGGATGGGCGGGCCGGGACGGAGGCGCCGCGAGCAACTCCGAATGTATGCAAGTGGAGCGGAAGCGTCTCGGACGCGGCAAAAGCCAAATGCAAAGCAGAGAGACACGGCTAGAAGGTGCTCACCTGTAAATCTCGCTCGATGGGAACGGTGTGTGCAGGAAGAAGCCGATCTTCACGTTCCCGTACCGTGGCGGGGCGATCTCCTCGCAGTCGATTCCTTCGAGGATGCGGTCGACCTCGGCAGCGGTCACGTCTCCGACGTTTTGCGGCCCGTCGATCAGCGTGCGGAGGAGCATCGGAAGAAGCATGAGATGGTAGTCCTGGACCCAGACCATCGAGTCCGGAGTAAGCTGGGACATTATGGCCTCGGCGAAAGCCATGTTCGCCTGGCGGTACGCGAGCCAATTCTCGTCCTCGAAGTTCATCTCGCCGGGATGGTAGTGGAAGAGAGGCCAGAGGATGGAGTTGGAGAAGCCGTTGTAGTGACGGTCTGCGACGTCATCGTCGAGGTAGACGGCTTGGCAGGAGAACTCTTCCTGCAGGCGACGGTCGACTATTGGGCGATCCTTAGGAGGGATGAAGAAACCGGGCCAGCCGATCCATGTGAATGACATGGACTTTTTGCAGCCGGACAAGGCGGAAACGAGACCACCGGAAGACATCTTGAAGTGGTACTCGCCGGAGGCATCCTTGTTGATGGTAATGGGGAGACGGTTAGATACGACTATGAGATGGCGCTGCTGGCCACCGGGTGCCGGGAGGGAGAGGTCGGGGGTGGAGATGGAGGTGTCGAGTGCCGTTGGCGACATGGTGGAGGAAGTCGCGGTCGCCGAGGACGTGGGCGGCGTGGAAGGAGGGCGAGGTAGGGATGTGGAAGATGCAGCCGGCGAGGTTAGGAGTCTCTTGCTCTTGTATACCGTCCATCGATGATGCATGTGACATCATCCTTTTTCGCGCTCTGGCCAAGCCCACGCCCGCCGTCCCATTGGCCGTCCGGAGCTTCCCGAACTTTCCCCGCAGCGTGTTTGCCTCTTTCGGCGGCGAGCGTCTCCCTTCTCATCGTATCGCGCCCGCATCAGCCTCTCTTCAGCTGTACGCTTATGGCTGATCGTCCTCGTCCTTTCCCCCTTCTCGCCTCTTATGGTCCCCCGCACATCGCTCCGCCGTGTCTTTACGGATCCGCCAGCCGTCGAACGTGTCTTAACTGCAGCATGACTCGCTCTCGAACTCCCGCCTTATCACCCTCCTCCTACATCTGGTCTTTGAGCCCCTGCTTTTGCTACACCGGGCCTGGGCATGTGCCGAAGCCTCTTCTTATGGGCATCCCTTACCTCAGCTTTCGTCTGGCTTTTGTCTCGACCAGCGGGCCGACTGCCGTACGTTCCTACGCTTCCGCGTCATCGAGCCGAGGTCTTTGCGAGGCCGACAACATTTGCACACCAAGCGTGATTGACGTTTACACGTCCAGGTCAGACTCATCAAGGTCAGTTCATGTGGCTGCGTTGGCGGTCCTTGCCTGGGAGGTAAGTTGCAGAAATCGAGTGCTTTACACCCTGGAGGAGTAGCACAAAAATCACATACTCAATGCAGGTCTGGCCCCTTCATACACTTTCTTCAGAAGGACAATTCACAGCGTCCAGTTGTCAGCTAGCCAGAGTGCGTTAACGCTGTGGCAACTCCGCTTCGCAGTCGGACAGTGACGTCCTAGGTGTCTACGAATCAACTCCTAGGTGTCTAATCAACTCAATTACACCGGTAGATGACGCGTTCGTCGATGTCACGTCGTGCTGCGCCGAAGGACCGTCTAGGTGTTGCTGCGGAACGCACTGACGGTCGCTCATTCATCATTCACCTCTCCAAGGACGGCAAGACCATTGTGTAGCACAACGGTGAGACGCTCTTGGCAGGTCACATGATAAATAGAGAGATCAGCGAAAGGCGTAAGAAATGAATACGAGTTTCAAGTTGACACGAAGTCTGTCCCGTGCTAAGTACGGGGTAGATGTGCCCAACCTGCATGCCCTTGGTTGTTGAGTGAAATGAGCATCGGACCAGCATGCGGTTGTTCTAGCGCGACATTCTGCAAGGCCCCTGTCCTAGGAGCTTTCGTGGTTTTGCGTTTCGTGGAGGGCTATCGCCTTTCTCCTGATTTGAGTCGCAAGGGAAGACCTGATGCTCGTTGACCGTTGTCCCTGGTCGGATTGCAGCGGTGTTACTGCGTGACTAGTGCCCTGTGCTTGCGCGGTCGGTCACGTAGAATAAACGTCAGACATACGCCGCTGACGGTGTCGGAGTGCCGTCCAAACCTTACCACGGTGCGGAAGATATGATCAGCGAGTCTCCGAATCTGTCGATGTCACTGGAGAGCCTAGTTGCTCCACACTGCTTGACGAGTTGCTTGAGCCACAGGGTGAATACTCCCAGCAAGGTGAAGTCGCTCGGCTGATCATGAGCGTCGTATGCCTCGGAAATCAACGACGCGAGGGGGGGGGGTGAAGCCCTGGATGACTAACGCGGCATCTAAACGCATAGATACGTTGGGGGGAGCGGACCGCGGTGAACACTCGGCGAAGGCTCTAGGGGCTAAATGGGGATGTCAAACGTCAATGACCGCATCTGGGAACGACTCTGAACTGTGTAACGGCCACGCAGCCCGTAATCTGTTCGGAACCCTCGCTGGAGAGGATGGTCTTGCCCGTCGGAAGCGCAACGACCGTGCGTGCCGCCTCCACGGCCAAGGCGACAGGGAGCGGTGACGGCGGATAAGTAGATTGCGAGAATCAATGTATACAGAGTTTGTGCCGGCGTAGTCGGCTTATCACAACGAGGCAGCAGTTCGGAGTGAGCTTGGTGGACATGCGGCCTGAGATTCAGACGACCTACTACCTTGACGATGAGCTGGTCTGCTCGGCGGCGCGATGCCATCAAGGTCGCCCGACTTGGTGATGCCAGCACCTGCAGTCTGATATGGAAAAGCGATGAAGGCCATGAGACCGAATCGACTATAGTGGTTGGTGGGTAAATGCTGGCTGGGAGCCATGTCAACGGCTATACACGACAGGCAGACGAGTGCTGCAGGATTGGGAACTTATAGGACTGCGTCTTATATTGTGAGCTAAAACCAGGATCCAGAGCCGGTAATGGCATCGCTGTGAGGACACGACGCTTCACTACGTCCGGATGCCATCTGCGCGTCTCGGACTTTGGCCACGATTCATCCGCACGAGAGCTTCACGCTCCGGTTTCGGATGCCTCGGGCTGCGGCGAAGTATACTGCGAGAGAGGCAGGTGAGGGGACGATATCAGTGACATAGCAGGACTGATGAACATGGCTTGATGGAGTGTGACCGTCAGCGGCGCGAACCCAAACGTGAACGCAGCCTGCAGTGCCACCAGGCGGCCCTCGTATAGGCGACCTGCCAAATCTGTCCGGTGGTTATGTCGACATTCGATAAGTAAATGCTGCTGACCACAAGCCATCCATATTGCTGTGCCTCTCAGTCTGCAATAGTGTTTGTGAACTTATTGCAATGCTGAGGAGTGCATACATACTATCATGCGCGGATGCACCGCTCGTCAATAGCGATGCCCTCGCATTTCATCACCACTATCGTATGTCCTCGATTCTCCTTTTCGGTTAGTACTGGTGCGACGCGTATGTGAGATAACGCACACAGGCTGATTCTGATGAAGCTCTGCCCAATGGTGAACCGACAGTTTCTAGGCCGCGAAGCAGCTGGAGGAGGACAATTACACGTATGGAATATCAGTAGAGCAGGACATTCGTGTACATTGTTGTGTTCATCGATGCCAGTGTCGCTGCGACTCTTCGAAGGGATGTCCGTCCTAATGTAGAAACGTCTCGCTCTTTTTGGACGACGTATTTCCGCCAGGGCGTCCTTGGCAATCGATGGTACTATTGAACCAATGTCGGTTTCAACCAAGGAATTGATTGCATCTAGGAGCCCATGATATTGAGTCTGAGTAGGAAGCATTCTGAACCAGGAGAATCATTGTCAAGAGCTCAGCTGCGTCGGCGCTCTTGTTGTTTGAGACCAGTGTGGCCGGCGTCAAAGAAGGATAACAACAAGCAGCCCAAAGCGCACCAAATAGGGAGATGGCCACCAAACAAGGACAAAGCGGCGGGATTAGGCGCCCGTAGGGGCAAGCGGTCGCGTGTGGTCGGGGTGGTCGACCTGAACCACGACACGCGACTCACGCACGGCCTGCATGCACATCTCCCTCGTTTCCCTACGCATCCTCTCCACGCCTTCCAACCCAAATTCTGAAAAGTTATCTCAACTGACTGCGCGCTCCGCTATATTGAAAACGCGAGGTACATGTCCTTCTCGAGCACACCTCTCGGTCAAGGCAGACGTCTAGATCACCATACGTTCCTCAATAAGAACAACCCCAACGCCCCTCCCCGTCGTGCGATACCCACCTCATATTCGTACGGGTGCGTCTCACACGCGCATATATGTGCGCGCTTGCTGATAACAGTTAAGAGCACCTACCGTCGGCTCGCGATCGCCCCCCAAGCCAGATAGAGCTCCGCTGCCCCAAGAAGACGACACGGAAGAAACCGCCCTTATCCGCTTCGCACGTCTCAAGCAGCGCGATCAGGCGCAACAACCCTCTCAGGCGCAGCCATCTCGCTCCGTGGGTCCCACAACCATTAATCCACCTCAGCCTGAGAAGTGGACTGTCCGTGACACGTCTGTTAACATCGTCAGCGCATTCAACCAGGCCGCGACATCTACATCCTTTGACACGAGCGCTGCCAACACCAGCAACGCAAGCAATAACAGCATGAATCCAAACGAGGCCTGGGCCTCCGGTGTCCGGAAGCCGCCCATGGTCCCCCGTAGCACCTCGGTCGAGTACGAGAAAGAGACGCAATCCACCGTCAACCGCCGACTCGCCCCTCCCCCCAACCGACTGCAACAAGCGCGGGTCGCACGACCAGTCTCCAAGTCCGCATCTATCCGTCATGTTCCCGATTCCGAAGAGGAGGACGATGTGCAGCCGAACGGTCGCGCGAAGACTCCTCTGGAAGCGGGGATCGATATTGTCAAGCGTCTCGTTCCTGCCACCTTCCTCCTCCGCGAGCGATCGCAGGAGCCAGACAATTCGTACCTCTCGGTGCACAACGGCAACGAGAGCACTCGCGACCAGTCGAGCTACGACTACTCGGCTGAAGAGCGCGAGTACCAGCAATCGCAGAAACCCCCTTCACGAAGGACAGTCGCCGCACATCGTAAGGGCCGCATATCCGTAGACAACAAGGCTTACCGTCCGTCCATGTCGGATCTGGATGAGTCGGACGAGGACTTCGAGGAGAATGGGAAGAGGACGAGGCGGAAGAAGAAGAAAGGTGGGGCAGTAGGAGGTCCCCTAACTACACTGCCCGTCGCGGGGTACGATAAGAGGAAGAAGAGAAAGAAGGGCGGTAAGGAGAACGGAGCCGCCGGTGAAAGGGAAGGAGAAGAAGAGAGCACAGAAGAGGAGGATCAAGTTAGCGAACAGGTGCGTCGTCGCCCGAAATCATTTAGCAGAATGTCTCAAAACCTAGACAGCGATCGCAGCGCGAGAATACCTCAACTGCGAGAGCACCATCAATATCGCGAGGGTCTGTTCCACCTCGGCAACCTTCCGTCTCCCGTCAGTACGATTCGAGTGGTCTGGACCAGTCTATGGATATAGAGGGAGGGCTGGGGCCAATCTCCGAACTCGATGAGTTCCCACCACAGATCGACGGCGCATTCCCACCTTCGAAGCCTGGGTTCTCCCTTGGAGCAATGCTTGGCCGATTGGTCCACGGGCTTGCTCATGTTGCTTACTTGGTCCTGCGGGCCATAACGACAACTGTGGCCTTGGCAGGCCGGGTGCTTGTACACCCTCTCCTTCTCAAGTATGCCATCGTAGGCGCAACCGTGTGGCTAGCATGGTATGCGCTTAACAGCGGTCTGCTCGATCCGCGCTCCCTCCCGTTCCCTCGAGGTCCTTCACGCCCCTACCAGCCTCCCGAAATCCCCGCCGCGGACCTCGCTGCCTTGTCGGCGCGCCTGCAGACTCTCGAGAAAGCCTTCGCGAGCCTGTCCTTGGATACCGAGCGGTCACGCGCATATATCGAGGGCGACTCGAAGCATCGCGCGGATGTCGCAGGTCGCTTAGGAAGTCTCGAGTCTCGTATTCAGAAGGAGGGTAGCCGCATTCAGGATACGGAGAGCAGACTTCGTGCCGTCACTAGCGACAACATCAATGCGGTAAAGAAAGAGGTGTCGCAGCTGTCTTCGCAATTGCAGGCTCTTCGCGACGCAGAGGCGCGACGGCCGTCCATCGGGAGCGACGAGGAGGCTCGCGCGAAGCTGAAGGCCTTGGAGGAACGCGTTGGGACGGTGGAAGGTGGTGTCAAGGAGGCCTTGGATATCGGAAAGAGTGCCGCCAAAGCAAGCGCGATCTCCGGGGCTGTCGCACAATGGTGGAACGGCTTGGCTACGGGTAAGACGAAGGGCGTCACTATCAAGTCCTCCGATGGACAGGACGTCACCTTGTTAATCAATCAGCTCGTGGACAACGCGGTCATGCGCACGTCGAAAGACACGCTCGCACGCGTCGACTTCGCCCTGCATTCCGGTGGTGCCCGCATCATACCCTCCCTCACAAGCGATACCCTCGAAGTCCGTCCCTCCGGTCTCCGTAACCAGATTGTTGGCCTCATCACTGGCGGCAACGGATATGCAGTTGGTCGTCCTCCAGTCACCGCGCTACACCACGAGATTCACACAGGGCACTGCTGGCCGTTCGAAGGCTCTCAGGGACAGCTTGCTGTGGCGCTCGCGGCCCCTGTATACATTACCGATGTCACCATCGACCACGTCCCAAAGGAGGTCGCGATGGACATGCGCTCTGCTCCGAGGCAGATGGAGCTTTGGGGCCTCATCGAGGGCAAGGACAACATCGCGAAGGTCCACGAGTGGTACGAGCGGCGCGCCGCCCAGCGCGAAGCCCTCGAGGAGGCTGGCCAGCCGGTCCCCCCGAACCTCGTTGACGACATCGTCTACCCTCGTTCTCTGCCGCAGAACCCCGAGTACTTGCGCATAGCGAATTTCACCTACGACATCCATGCTCCCGACTACATCCAGACGTTCCCCGTCCGCGATGAGATCAAGGAGCTTGGTATCGACTTTGGTGTCGTCGTCTTGCTGGTGAAGAGCAACTGGGGCAAAGACGAGTTCACGTGCCTGTACCGTCTACGTGTCCACGGAGAGAGGATAGGAGAGGTTCCGTTGCCGTATCCTGAGGAGTAGATGTGAGTTGGCGCAGGTATTTGGCTGAGGAGAGGAGAGGAGAGGAGAGGAGGAGGACGTGAGACGTCCGTCTACTCTTCCATGCACATATGCTTCCCTTCCTTCCCCTTCCCCATCGGTTCCGCCGTCGCGCTACCCAACCATGGTCCATGCTCTTCCTTAGTTTCGACACCACATCATCATCTGCACACCGCAAGCACTAGGCACCAAGCATCCGCATCAAACATAATGACCGTTATGACCTACTACCCTCTCTACCCCGCTTGTTTAATCCCTTCACTTATGTCTGAGTACCACCAGGCTTCAGGTTCTGTTCCTACCCTTTGCTCGTTACTTAACACCATGCGCTCTCGGCATTAGGAGAACAATTATCACATCCCCGCTGCCGTCTAAGCATGCTTCATCTTCCCGCCGTTTCCTCGCTTCAGGTGGCCTCTCGTTCTGCTTACCGCTACTTATGTCGTATCTGCTGTCCCCGTGGTCAATCCTGCTGTGGCAAGCTGTCTCAATGTATTTGTACCGTCCGGGAGCCAATCGATTTCGACATTGAGGTAATCGTCTTTATATGTTGGAGTGCAAGACAGCATTCCATAAATACTCTCCGCTAGATCTGTACATACGTGACAATAATAATACACCGAATTTCCTTTCAACATCGTTGCAGTGCGCGTCATGTCTTCAACCTCGCGTCGCGTCCGGCCCCCATGGCACACTTCACCAGCCGCCTGGCATATCTCGACCACCAGCCGCCGCAGTCGCAGTCGCAGTCGCAGTCGCAGGGGCAGATGCACCTCCTCCGGCCCCGCCCTCGCCCTCGAGGTTCAGCTCTAAGTCGAGCTGCCGCGCGAGCTCCATGTCCCGCTCTTCCTGCTCACGCAGCCGCCGCTTGCGCTCCTCCTCCTCTTCCTCCAGCCTGAGCGCGAGAATGCGGTCCTGCTCCTCCCTGCTCTGGCCCTTCGGCTGCGGCTTCGGCTTCGGCGTTTCCTGCGCCTGTGCCGGCTTCGGGACAGGCGTGGGCTGGGGGACGGGAGCCTGAGCCTGCAGGGGGTGCGAGCGCTGCGGGCTGGTCGCGCGGCCAAGCGAGCCGTCGGGGAGGGGGAGGGGAGTCTGGTAGCGTTTCTCGAGGTACGGGTCTGGCAGGTCGAGGCCGCGCTCAGGCGGGTGGGGCGCGCTGGGCGGGTACCCGCCGTACACTGACACTGGGTACGCTTGTGATGCGCGGTGGGGAGGTGGTGCGCCGCCGTATGGGGGATAGTCCTGGCGCGGCGGGGGGCCGTATGGCGGGTAGGACTCACGCGAGGGACTACCGAGGGGCAGGTAGGGAGCGCGCGGGGGCGAGCCGTAGCCTGGGCATCGCTGCGGCGGGGGCTGTTGCGGGGGCGGAGGCGAGCTGATCCCGCCGACGAAGTGTGCAGGGGGTAAATGTGGGCCTGAGCCTTGTTGGGAGTAGCCAGCGTACAACGATTGTGGAGGGTAGGGTGCGGGAGCGTAGTCATGGCCGTAGGGCTGTGGTTGTGCAGGCACGCCGTATTCGGCTTTAGGTATATGCGGCTCGGGTATGGGGGTGCGCCCAGGCAAGGGGTGCTGTGGTGCCGAAGCAGCTGGCTGCAGGTACGGGGGCACGGACTCGACGGGGGCGGGATAGGGCGCGGGGGTCCCATGTTGCAAGTATGGTGGGATGGACTCGAGGGTTGATCCCCTCGGACCGGGTACCTCGGGTACGCCAGTGACAGACGAGTGTGGTGACTGCGTAGGACGTGCAGCGCCTCCTCCTGGACGCAAATGTGCTGGAATGTTGTCAATGGACTGGCGCCCGTTGCGGGTAGGGGGAGGCGGGGACGTTTCGCGAGGGGCTTTCGTATGGAGTGGGTACTCTGGGGGAAGGAGGTTCACGTCGGATTTGGGGCTCGTATGCTTCGATGCGCCACCGCCAGGAAGCAGACTAGAAGGAATCTTGGGAGGGGATGCGGGACCAGGAACTAGAGCTGCTGCCTCTTCGGGGAGAGGGGGAAGCGCGTCGTGCTTGTTTGCGGTGGTGCCAACAACACCATTCGGGCCACGCTTGAGTCGGTCGGCTGGCTTCCACTTGGACGGACGACGCTGTGGTGGAGGAGCATTGGCGTAGTACGTCATCTCCAAGAAGATATCCCCGCGTTGCTGGCCATCCTCCAGAAAGAGCGGGACCCAATCTGAGCACACGGGAGACAGTCAACCACCAAGTACCTGAACCTAGAGCTGCAAGTCACGCACCATCGAATTCCCCCGTCTTCACCGTCTCCGAAACATCAAGTGAGCCTTTCCCAACGAGCTCGTCTTGACGCGGCTCCTTGGAGTAGATAACGACTTCGAGCTTCCTGGTGTCGTCGTTGGCGGTCTTCACGATCGGGAAGCGCAACTCTTCATCCCATACTGGATGCTGACCGCCCTTGACGTCAGTCGCGGTCTTCTTCACGACCTTATTCAGGGTCGCCTGGACATAGACATCTTGTTTCGTAATCGTGTGCTTGTCTCGTAAATTGCGAGCTTTGAGGACGACGACGACTAAGGTGCCGATTTCCCTATCCATCCTACATAGACTTCATCAGCGACCAGGGCGAGCGAGCTGGGAGGGACACGTACTGCAAATGGATGGTGATTTACGCTATCAAGGTCTAAGAAGAGGAAGACAGACGGCGCCTGTGACCCTTCTCTATGATCGAGCTGGGCTACTACTTGTTGACCTATGGAAGGTAGACTATGCTCGAAGCCTATGGCAGTGGTGGCGTAGAGCAGAGGATTTAAGAAATGGAGTGCTTCGCAAAGGATGTCACAGAGCAAGATATCCATGGTGGCGCTATGTGGATATACGAAGATAGCAGAGCGCAGTATTGTAAATCTGCCCTGGTTCGCACAGCCGCCGCTGGTGCACAACCAGTCATGAATCAGTCGTCGTTGACGAGACATCGCCCGTAGGGTACTGCTGCGAGTTTCGCATTGGCATCCGGTTTCTAAAGGTTGTTGAGGCATCAGTACGCAGTGCGAACTGCGCGCAATTTGGCTGCGATTGCAGGACTCCGGAGACGGCTACTGTACACATTCGTGGCCTTCCACGCCTGTTATTGACATTAAATACTCCAAGCAGCGACCGGTCCGGGAGGGCGAATGATGTATTTAGCGTTTGCAGAGTCATGAACCAGCGCCCCGGGTCGCTCGGAGTACTTCGGCAACGTTGCGCATAAACCGACTTTGTCAACTCATTCTGCCCCATCACTCGGTTTGCCACAGAAGCCCGAATACAGTATCCGGTACATACCTACGAGGCACTCGCCAAGGGTGAGCGATCGCCAAAATATCTATGATTAGAACTTCATTGGCCCACGCCCTGGCGCCTTGCCGTTTCGCTGCCGGGGAAATTGTGTCAACGTTATCTTGTTCACACCATGTGGATGCGCGCACGGAAGTAGAAGTTGAATAAATACTGAACTTCTGAGTTCCGTCCAAGGCCGTCCCCCAGCTGCCTGCCTGCTGGCGTGTGCACACGACCTCTCCCTCCACTTCCAGTAGCATCGCTTTTGGAGCTCGTCTCTTTCGTCTGCGTTGCACAATGTCGGATGGCGAAAAGCTCTCCAAGGTCGACTCGGCCGACACTGACGTCGAAAAGGGCGAGAACGAGCCTGTCAAGGACATCAAGGAAGTCAGGAACAACGCACCTCCTTCGCGGAAGTTTGACTTCGACACCGGCGAGGAGCGTGTCCGCTTCCGCCGTCATTGGTGGCAAATTTGGTAGGACTCTTGCTAGTCGTGGTGTACACTGCTAACTCGAACTATACGCATGCAGGGTTCCGAAGGGTCGCCCGCCGCCACCTCCTGCATCCTTGGACGATGCGACTATTATTCCACTGGTGACCGCGTCCATTTTCGCTATCCTGACATACAGATGGATCAATCCAATAATGGTGGGTATCTGTGTCCGCTACCGTCGTGTTGCACTGACACGCTCGTTCTACACAGACGCTGGGGTACCAGCGCACCCTACAGGCAACGGACCTTTGGAAAATGGACTACAGCCGTGAATCCGGCAACCTCGGACAGCAGCTGGATGAGGCGTGGGCGCGCCGCGTCCAGGCGGCCAAGGAATGGAACGCGCGGTTGGACAACGGCGAGATACGCCCCAGCGTCTTCAAACGCATCAAGTGGTCTCTCCAGGCTTTGCGAGGCAAGGGAACCTATGCCGAGCGCCGCGCCGCGCTTGAGACACACTGGCGCGAGGTTGACGGACGGAGGGAGGCCAGTCTCGCATGGTCGCTCAATGACGTCTTCGGGAGGGACTTCTGGTTTGGTGGCGCGTTCAAGGTCATCGGCGACACTGCGCAGCTCATGGGTCCTCTCCTCGTCAAGGCTATCATCAATTTCGGTAAGGAACATGCCGCCGCCGTCGCTGCAGGCCACAAGCCCCCGTCGCTGGGACGCGGCGCTGGTATGGCTATCGGGCTTTTCTGCACGACTGTCACGGCGAGCGTGTGCCAGCATCAATTCTTCTGGCGGTCGATGAACACAGGGCTGCTCGCGCGCGCGGCGCTCATCTCCTCTATCTACAAGCGGGGTATTTCGCTCACCGGGAAAGCTCGCACGACACTGCCCAATGCCGCCCTCGTGACTCATATCTCCACGGATGTGCGTACCCGGGGAATTTTTTGACAGCACGCGTTGCCTCGTTCCCGATACACGACGCTGACTCTATGTCAAATATTCAGGTCAGCCGAGTAGATGCCTGTGCGCAGTGGTTCGTAAGTGCCGCCCTCCGTTCCTAGTCCGATGCCATTTTTGGAATCCTCACTGATCGGCCGACCGCCCGAAACCCTATGTAGCATGCTGGTACGTAGTCCGCTTCCCCCGAAGCGCTCCAAAGGGGGTCTTGTACGGGCCCGAAACCTACGCTGACGCTTCCCGCTCGCTACCAATAGTCTGGACTGCTCCGATTCAGGTCACAATATGTTTGATCATTCTCTTGGTCCAGGTGCGTGCTCGGAGCACTTCGGCAACATAACCACAGCGCCTGTGCTAAGTGTCATTCGTCATCCTCGCTACCGTGGCAGCTCGGTCCCTCTGCACTTGCCGGATTTGCGCTCTTTATATTGATCATTCCGCTCCAAGAGCGTGTGATGAGTTTCCAGTTCCGGACGAGCAAGGGGTCACTCCGATGGACGGATAAGCGGGCGAAGATCATCCTCGAAGTCCTCGGTGAGTCTCGGTATGTCCAAGCGGGTGACATGCGTCGGTTGGGGTCGGTGCTGATGCAGGTATGACTGGGTAGGTGCGATGCGCGTCGTGAAGTACTTCTGCTACGAGCAGCCGTTCTTGAAGCGTAAGCGTATCCCGACGTTATTGTCGCAGAGGCCTAACATCCCCCCAGGTATCTTCGAAGTACGCGTCAATGAGCTCAAGGGCATTCGGAAGATCCAGATTGCCCGTTCTGCGAAGTGAGTGGCCAGAACCGTTGTGCCGTCCGTGCTGCAGGCTCACGCGGCTCGTTCCCAGCATCGCCGCCGCGTTCTCCGTCCCCGTCCTCGCCGCCACGATCTCGTTCGTGACGTACACTTCGACGTCACACGGCTTCAACGTCGCGATCATCTTCTCCTCGCTCTCGCTCTTCCAGCTGCTCCGCCAGCCGCTAATGTTCCTGCCGCGCTCGCTCTCCGCGACGACGGACGCGCAGAACGCGCTCATCCGACTCTCGCGGCTCTTCCACGCGGATACGAAGAGCCCAGATGACGCGTTCCTCATCGACGAGGAGCAGAAGTTCGCGGTCGACGTCCGGGATGCGACGTTCGAGTGGGAGGAGAGCAAGGACGTCGTGAACATGCTGTCGAACCCCAACGAGGACAAGAAGGACAAGCAGGACAAGGGTAAGGGGACGGCCCGCGGCGCGGAGACCCCGAAGTCCAGCGCCCCGTTCCAGGTCAAGGACGTCACGATGGCAATTCCGAGAGGTACGCTCGTGGCGATCGTCGGCTCTGTCGGTAGTGGGAAGGTACTGTCGGTCTCGTATGTCATGTTGCTCTCACCTCGTCTCACAAGTCCACAGTCGAGTTTGTTGCAAGGCCTGATCGGCGAGATGCGCAAGGTCAAGGGACACATCTCTTTCGGCGGTCGCGTCGCGTACTGCTCTCAGACAGCATGGATCCAGAACGCCACTTTGGTGCGTCTTATCCCATGCATGTTACTGTGCCGCGGCTCTGACAACGCTTACAGCGCGAGAATGTTCTGTTCGGCCAAGAATTCGAGGAGGAGCGGGTACAGTGACTTCCTTCCCCGTCCACACATGATCATGCTGAGCCCGCGGTAGTACTGGAAGGTCATCGAGCAGGCATCGCTCCTGCCTGACTTACAAGTATTGGCTGATGGAGACTTGACGGAAGTATGTACGCTCCTCTCGTCTGCCTTCATAGATGTCTTATCACAATCTTGCACAGATCGGTGAGAAGGGAATCAACCTGAGTGGTGGCCAGAAGCAACGTGTGAACATCGCTCGTGCACTGTACTTCAACGCGGACATCGTCATTTTCGACGATCCACTCTCCGCAGGTACGTACCCCGTTGCGTAGACTACGACCATATGCTCACGCACGTATAGTCGATGCACATGTGGGCAAAGCACTCTTCGCTGACGCTATTGTGGGCGCGCTCCGTAACAACGGCAAGACGGTCATCCTCGTCACGCACGCCCTGCACTTCCTCTCCCAATGCGACTACATCTATACATTGCAGGTATGTTTCCGCGCGACACTCTGGTGTGCGATGCCTGATTGGCCCGTTGCGTTTTTACCCAGAACGGAAGGATCGAGGAGCAAGGAGCCTTTGCGGACCTTATGGCTAACGGCAAGGAGTTGGCCCGTCTCGTGGCTGAGTACGGTGGCGAGTCCAAGGAAGAAGAGGACGAGGACGAGGCGGAGGTGGAGCTCACAGACGCCAAGCAGGAGGCACCTGGGCAACTTAATGCCGCGAAGAACAAGGCCGAGGCAGTGCAGCGCAGTGGCGCCGGGACGGGCAAGCTCGAGGGCCGTCTGATCGTCAAGGAGAAGCGTACGACTGGCTCCGTGAGCTGGAAAGGTGAGCTCCACTGCTTGGTGGTCGACACGGCGGGACTGGCGCTGAGGATGGTTGTGATGCAGTCTACGCCGACTACTTGAGGGCTGGAAACGCGTATTATACCGGCCCTATCCTCGTCCTGGCCTTGCTCGCGATGCAGGGGAGCAGCGTCATGAACAACTATACACTTGTCTGGTGGCAAGCAAAGTACGCGTGAACAACTACCCTCCTACTACTCTGTCTTGCTGATTGACGTCTGTTGCACAGCACGTGGGACAGACCGAACTCGTTCTACCAGATCCTGTACGCATGTTTGGGTATCGGCCAGTCACTGTTCACCTTCGCATCGTAAGCTTAACGACTGCCGTGAAAGTCACGTACTATTCGTGCTGACCACTCAATGATCCAGGGGTGCAATCATGGACGAAATAGGCTTCTTCGTGTCTCAAAACCTGCATCACTATTCGATACGAAACATCTTCTATGCGCCAATGTCGTTCTTCGACACGACGGTACGTCGCGTCGATATTTGCGGTCGATACTCACTATTGACCCACATCTAGCCCATGGGTCGTATTCTTAGCGTGTTCGGGAAGGACATTGAGAGTACGTCCTCAACCTCCCGAGATCTCGCATTCTAACTCATCCTCAATCGCAGACATCGACAATCAGCTTCCTGGTAGGTACAGAGACATCGCGTATGATTGTCAGCTGATACTCTCTTGCTGTGATGTATAGTCTCCATGCGTCTTTGTAAGTCGTTCTTTCCTTCTCACGGTGGACCTGAGTCTCACTGTTCACTAGTCGTTTTAACTATCGCAAACGTGGTCGGAAGCATCGTCCTGATCACGGCGGTCGAGCACTACTTCAGTAGGCATCGTTACGTATTCACGGATGTAACTTTGCTGATCATGTATAGTCATTGCGGCCGTTGTCATTGCCCTTGGGTATAGCTACTTCGCCCAGTTCTACAAAGCAAGCGCCCGGGAGATGAAGCGACTAGGTGAGCCAGTTCATATGAAGATCCTCGGTATCGCTGACGTTATTCAATCAGACAACATGCTAAGATCCCTTCTGTATGCCCATTTTGCTGAGTCGCTGTCTGGACTAGCCACCATTCGTAGCTACAGAGAAGTAAACCGCTTCGTCCGAGACAACGAGTACTTCATCGACTTAGAAGATAGGGCAGCGTATCTGACGGTCACCAACCAAAGGTCTGTCAAGTGCGAATACCTCGATATATCTAGCTAACGAATTGCGATTCGAACAGATGGCTTGCTATTCGTCTTGACTTCCTTGGAGGCATCACGACGTTCATCGTGAGTGTACTGAAGTCATACGAGGAGCTTCTGTGACTAAGTTCAGGATAGGTCGCAATCCTTGCGGTTTCGAACGCCTCTGGAATTGACCCCGCTCAGATCGGTCTCGTCTTGACCTACACCAGTACGTGATTGTGTAGGCATTCGAAACTTTCGGAGTAGCTCATGCAGTGGCTAGCTTCACTGACTCAGCTCTGCGGTATGGTGACTCGACAGGTACGTATTTTCCCCTCACGAAACTAGTAGCATTTGACAAGCATCCTTGCAGTCCGCCGAAGTGGAGGTATGTTCCTGCTCACGTCGTCGAAGGACCGTCTCTCATGAATCGTTAGAACTACATGAGCTCCGTCGAACGCAGTACGTAACTCTTCATGCAATTCGCGGCGTAGCTGTTCTCATCTGAAGGAACACAGTCTTGCAATACAGTCGGGATGACGTGATCCCACAAGAGGCTCCGCATGAGATTCCGGATCACAAGCCTCCTCCCGAGTGGCCGGCAAAGGGCGCGATTGAGTTCAATCAAGTCGTCATGCGATACAGAGCAGGGCTACCGTTCGTGCTCAAAGGCCTGACATTGCAAATCAATGGAGGCGAGAAGATAGGCGTTGTCGGCAGGTACGTCCAGCTGTTCCCGACCTCCTAAGTGAGATGTGCTGGGGCTGAACTTGTCAAATAGGACGGGCGCTGGAAAGTCGACCTTGATGCTAGCATTGTTCCGTATCGTAGAACTGACGTCTGGATCCATCAAAGTGGATGGGTAAGCGTCTCCGAGGTCACAGAAATTATATTGTATTGACGCTTAGTCCTCAGGGTCGATATTTCCAAGATTGGTCTGAAGGACCTTCGTAGCAAAGTTTCTATCATCCCTCAAGATGTGCGTACATTGCTGGAGACGGTCCACTTACAAATATTGACTTCTCTTACAGCCATTGCTCTTCAGTGGAACGGTTCGATCCAACCTTGACCCTTTCAACCTCTATGTGAGCCAGCCACAGCCTCCGTGGCGATTGATTCACTGATCTGAATATCTTGCAGACGGACGCCGAGTTATGGGACGCTCTACACCGTTCTTTTCTGGTCGAAGGTCCCAAAGCAGATGCAGACGGCACGCACACACCGACGTCCCGCTTCAACCTCGAGACAGTGATCGATACCGAAGGCTCAAACCTCAGCGTCGGGGAACGCAGTCTACTCAGTCTGGCCCGTGCCTTGGTCAAGGATAGTCAAATCGTTGGTGAGTAGAGCCCCCACGATTCATGCTCTTCGAGACCCTATGTATTAACAACTTGAATAGTGCTGGATGAGGCAACGTAGGTCTTTCGGTGAAACAGAATGGGTTGTTAGCTAACAATTTATATATAGCGCCTCCGTAGATCTTGAGACAGACGCAAAAATCCAGCACACTATTCAGACTCAATTCCGCCACAAGACGCTCCTGTGCATCGCTCGTGAGTTATTTCACTCATGCTATCAGATCACTGTCTTCTGACTGCTCAATTGCCTAACAGACCGCTTGCGCACGATCATCTCTTACGATCGCATCCTCGTCCTCGATTCCGGAAATATTGCGGTTAGTGCCCTCAACCTCTGCAGCTCCAAATTATTGACTCACATCTATTCTAGGAGTTCGACACGCCGCAAAAGCTCTTCAACATGCCCCATGGTATCTTCCGTGGCATGTGCGAACGTAGCGGCATCACACTCGAGGAGATCGAACGCACGCGGTCGAAAATGATGTAGCCTTCAGGACACTTGGCAAAACGGCATGTTGGTTCGCGAAGATGACATAGATAGAGTCCGGTAGAGATTACAGCAGGATATCGTAGATTTTACACGAAGTACACGACAGCACAAGCATGAGATCCATATCACGACAGCCGGTAAGACAATACAACAAGTACGAGAAAACACGAGATCCAAGAAAGATGATTATACATGAACCAAGACTTGAAGCAAGAGACGAGATCGCCTAGTAATGAGAATTTGATACACCGACATCGGGTTGATACTTCATTTGCACATCGTTGTCTTGCTGCATAGTGTCCATCCAGTTGAAGCCTGAATTGAAATCAATGACAAAACGGTTTGCCCCATGAATGAGCATGGCTTACCGGGCAACACCATGTTCGACCAATGCGCGTCAGTCAACGATTGCATCGAATGCAGCAAGTCGTTGTCAAACGGTAATGGGGTCGCATACATCCCCGAGACGTCAGGCTGAGTGCCTTCACCATCGAATCCAATGTCGTAAAAGTGCGTGTCTTCCGTGGGAGGGACCACAGATTGGTCGTGGGTTTCTGTCGAAGACCCCATGTCCGAAGTCGTTACCTCGGGTTTCTGGTGGTCGCCTACATGGTTACGGGGCAGGGAAGGATGATGGGGGAGCGCCCTCTGCGCGCGCTTGAGCGCAGCAGGCGAGTGATCTACATGAGCGAGGGGTGTGTCCAGAAGACCTTGTAAGAAGCGCGAGTACATCATGGGGCCGTGGCGCTCGTCGATCGCGACGTCGGGAGAGCCTAGGAAGTTGGCGACGTCCTCGACCATACTACGGATCTCCACTCGAGTCTCGCGGGGGATATAGTCAACGAACCTAGGATGCAGTAGCTATGCGGCCGCGCATTTCAGTAAAAAAAAACTTGAATCCGCACGGAAGGATGCCGACCTTTATGAGGAATGCACACGTGAATGTGATAAAGACGCATTGTGAATCTGGCCCATGTCGCAAGTATGTCCCTGAGTTCTAGCCGTCAGCGGAGTATTCGGCTACGAGATAGACCGCTTGAAGTACTTAGGTGGGGCGCAGCTAATTCGTCCAATAGCGTCCTGATGAGGTCCTTCGTCGCTCGTAAACACTGTAGGACGGTCAGTGATCTGCACCTCGACCTTGCATCAGTCCAACCCACTCTCCAGAAGAAAGCATCGTTGAACTCTTGGGACGTCTCCTGAGCTTGCGTGTGTTGGAAGGCAAAAGAGAGCACAGCAATGCGCCCGTAACTGTACGCCAACTTCAAGATGCTTGTGCGATACTCAGCGGCGGGCGTCCTGCAGTCCTCCTCGCGAATACGCGCGATCCAAGTCTCCCAAAGACGTGCGAGCTTATCATCCGTCTTGGCCGCTTCAATGGTGATGTCGATGTCCTATACGGAATGTGAGTACATGCAGAGGACATAACGGTGTATTACCCACGCTGTTCAACCCCACAGGATGGTCGGGATCACTGAAGATCGTATATCGATAGTCTGCAAGGACCTTCAAGTCCGCGTTATATGCGCACAAGTGAATGTCGAAGCCAGGAATATTATACGGAGACTGCTTGTACCAAAGCTCTGTGTGATTGGCGACATAATCCGTGTTGCTGATGATCGGGGCCTTTCCATATTGAGACGACATCTGACGGTCAACGCTGAAGCAGTTGAGCCAAACGCGCGTCCTGTTGAGCATTTCTCGGGCATGCTGCTCGTTCCGAGGCTGCGCCGTGTTCGGAAGATGCAAATTGAGGTCAGTGGCGATGCTGTCGTGACGCAAGGATATCAGCATAGTCAACATAATTATCGCTACGTCGTGAGCAACATACCGCATTGCAAGGCCGTGATAAACCCAACATCGATCTTCCTCCCACTTTCTTGTCGGTACCGGATATAAGCCGAGCAAAATGTACGCCTGCACGCACTCCACGTTCTTCTGTCCGCCGATAAGGGTTGAGCCAGCAGCCAAGCGCGCGCAGTTCATGGCTTGTTGATACAGTTCTGGACGCGCAGAGTAGAATCTCGACGCTATACCACAGACTACGGGAGATTGAGGACATTGCAACCGCGAATCCACAGCAAAGTGATACTCACTAACGGTGAAAAGGAACGGGCTTCTCCAAAATGTCTTCTGAGCGGTATAGAGGACTGGGTCTAGGAGAGAAAGGGACGGGTTCATGTAATCAAAATATCTGCCGGTTTTGTCAGTGGTAGACCTCTTAACTATGCGACTGGTCTCGCACATTTTGAACAGCTTCTCTACTTCCGCTGGGGTCACCAAACCACTGCGGAGGATGTAAGGGGTTTGATGTTGCGTATATACATTGGGGCGATTTGGGCCAGGACCTATGCCAGACTTCAGCAGCGAAACGCGCACAGCCCGCGCGAATAGTGAACGTACTGCTCGCGCGGAAGTAGTCCTCATTTGCCACACCGAACTCGTTCGAGTCCACCGTACTGACACTCCGGCTTCGGCTTGACTTGCGACTCCGCGTGCTCCTCGATGCTTTCAGGCTCATATTCGCGAGCAAGCCGATCGGCGCGCCTTCTTGTGGCAAGATGGCGAGCCTCTCCCGCGTGAGCCCCCCTCTGCTCTTCTTACGACGCGAGCTCCGCGTCGCGCTGCTGCCGGTCTCGTTCTCGTCCTGCGCCTGAGCTGGGATCTCTCCAGGACGCGTGCGCCCACGCTGCGGCTGGTCCTTCTTCGCATCAACATCCTCCACCTCGACGTGGAAGTCGCTCTTGACGCTCTTGATGCTCTTCACGTCCTCCCTATCGTCGTCGTAGCCACCAACCTCCTCGCCGCTGGATTCGTCGTACGAGTCGCTGCTATACTTCCATCCCAACACGTCCTCCCCAACCAAGTCCTGCGTCACGGTCGGCCCGCCCATGTTGATATAGTCTCCGAACGCCATAATCGACTCCCGGGCTTTAGCGATCCAGTCAAGGACGTCGGGTTTGGTTATCTGTTCCGTTACGGGCTCCGGAGTTCCGAAGTCAGATGTCGTCAGCTCGCTTGCCGACATGTTCGAGGTGTCTTTGTCGGTATTGGACAGAGCATCTTGGGGTGGAGACGCGGCATTGGTGCCTTCCCCAGATCCCTTCTTACCCGCGCGCTTATTGGCGATCTCGAGCTGCTTCATGAGCTCCTCAATCTTACCCGCTTGTTCGCGGATCTGACTGAGGAGCAAATCACGCCTCCTACGTGGACATCAGCACCTTTTGACAATCAAATTCAACATGAACGTTTATGGCTGCTTACGGAGGTGCGCGACGTTTCTTCCGACCAGGAATGACACATTCATGACCGCCATTGAGGCAGCGCTTGCAAATGTCGGGGTCGGTCTTGAACTCGCATTTGACCTGACGATACCCAAGCTGTCAGAAACGGACAGCGCATATGGTCGCCGGTTGTAAGCGCACCTTCAACCCTTTACACCTCGCGCAAGCGCCAAGTCTGAACGTGACCTCGTATCAATGCGGTGAGTGCATCCGATCATGACGCCAAACTTACGGTTTCGGCGCCTTCGCGCCCTCTCCCTTCGTCTGTGCCCCTTCCGGCTCCTGCCCATCCCCATCAGCGGAGGAGACCTCGCCCTCTCCATCGTCGAGCGCTCGCAACCGCTTCGGCGCGTGCGGTGCTCCCAACCCTTGATCTCCCCGAAACGGCATGCCGGTCTGCACGGGCATACCATAATTCGGAGACGAAGCGAAAGCGGGGGTCATGGGGGAAGCAACATTTGAGTATACCGGTGTGCGCGCGACGTCCCCCCGGAAGGACCGAATCGTCGGAGTCAGGCCAGGGTTGGCATTTGAGCTCGGGCGGGCGTGCTGTCCGAGGCCAATGCCAGGAGTCTGCCCGAAGGTGTACGCGGACAAGTCGTCTGGATAAAACGGCGAGCTGGGCATAGACTGATTTGATACGCCGGAGTACGGTGTGTCCGGATAAAACTGCTGCCCCCCGTCGCTACCGCCATAAATCTCCCCAAAATGCTGCGGCTGCGATTGGGTGTTCGGGAAGGTGAAGGGATAGTTGACGTTGCCACCCAAGTGTTGAGGCTGTCCGTTGAAGTTGTTCATCATGAAGCCTGAGTTCTGCTGGTGTCTGCGGCGGTCCATGTGGGGTGGCGGCTGGAGATCGCCCTGGAGGATATCGTACCGGGAAGGATCGATGTCGAACTCGTTCTCGAGCTGGAGCGGCTGAGTAGGGATCTCGCCATGATTACGAGGCCAATCAACGTCCAGGAATTGAGGGTGCGGGGGATGATTGGGATGCGGAGGATGATTGGGATGCTGAGGATGGTTGGGATGTGCGGCCATGGTGAACGGGACGATATATGCAGAGAGTGGGAGGGCCTTGTATCTGGCGCCCTAATATAAGACGGGCCTGAAGCGAGACAGACCTGACTCCCCTTCTCGAAAGAGATTGGTATATTACGCGACGGGTGTGATCTCCGATCGCTAATAGCGATGGTAAGTGCTGTAGTCGAATGGTGATGGGCGTGCTACGCACCAGAGGCGACCCGAAAGACCGGGAAATGATGACCGTCGACGACGGCAAGAGCAAGCTGACGCGTCTACTTATGCACCGATCCGAGGGCTCTAACGCTCGTCCTGCGTGCGTTTGGGTTGTAGACGACGGGGTGTCTGCCGCGCGACAAAGTGTACTCGTCTGAGATCGTTCGTGGAATGGCGTCGAACGTTTTATTTTGGGAGAGGACTCGCCAATCGGAGCTCCGCTGGCTGGTGAAGCAGATACTTTACAGGCTGAGTCGTCGCAGATGTAACGTCGGAGCAATGAGTGGGGGTGATGTGGGGGCGAGACGAGATACTGCGCATTAACTATATCAAGCATACGGTGTCCTCGGCAGATCAATAGGCGCCCGACGGAGATTGCGAGCTTAAAGCTGACATCACTCGTCGACAGCATGGGTTCTTCTCACGAAACTATTCAAGCGGTGTTGCGACAATAGACCTCTCGCAGTCAGTCGTATTCTGTATCAACACAGTGGGGATCAGCCATGGGTTTCCAACTGCGCCGCGTCGAGAGGAATGATCGCCCTGCAGGTCCCGTAAGAGCTTGGACATGCTAGAGCATCCGATGTATATGAGGCATCCATGAACCGTCCCATGTACATTCTGCACATACGACGTGCTCTACAAACGTGTTCACTAGGGACTGAGCATATTAACCTTCGAGTCGACCCCTCGCTGATATGCATAGTGACGTCACTCATTGCGTTCCTTGAGCGCCGGTAAGCTTCGGAGCGCTCTTTACAGCCAGACTCCAAATACGGTGATGGTTAAGTGCCACGCTAAGTGAGTGTTTCAGTATGAGCCTTTTGACCGCTCTTCTTGGCCAATGGCCAATTGACATGATTTGTCGCGACGTTCTTGTAACAGACAAAGGACGCGAAGCATGAAAGGGCTGAAAAGACCGCATGAACAGTATCTACGTAGTTTTGTTGGTCACCGTTGACCAATGAGGCTTCCCACTGTGTCTGGCAACGGGCCAGGGCGAGAGGAGACAAAATTTGGCGGTTGCTTAGGTCCGTCGTAATGCAGCGCCCCGTTTATCTCCTCGTAGTCGATTACTCGATTCGTTATCCCAAGCCGAGCACCCAGCGCAGCGTCACCATGCCATCTCGATATAGAGGACGAAAGAACCTGCGTATTTAGGCTGCGTCCACACACCATCCAGTGAGAGGTTGGTGGAACGCTCATCAATCGGAAGGTCTATACACTCCGAGTACACGGCACCACTCCATCCAGCATTTCCTCCCGACTCCGTAGATGGAAGTCCACTGTCATTAGAGCAAGGCTGTGCGCAAATGCTTCTAGGATACCGAAGCACGGCGGCTCGTCAGTATTACGCTGCACTGCAGAGCTTCGTGCTGATTGCAAGTGGGTCCTTCGAGATATTAACCCTGAATCCTGACGGCATCTGCTTCTATAGTGTCTAAGAACCATTAGCCTGAGAACGGGCTGAAACAGGAAGTGGCTGGGCTGAAGGGCTTTGAGCTTAGAAGGGCCGCGGGGAATTTAACGAGTAACTGAAGAGGTGAGCCATGGCCCTCAGTGGACAACGCAAGTACTGCAGACGCGTTCACGGAGGCATCGACCATAGCTCTCTCAGGGGCAGGGGTGATTGTGTTCCAGGACGGTATCATAGTGCATGGCAGTGCATCAAGACAATCCCAACATACGTGACGACATTGTCACAGGTAAACCTCAAGGGCCATGTCAGTGCGGAGCAACGAATACGAAAGCAAGCGGGCGTAGGTCGCGTTCTAGTGCACCTGGAGGTCTGTAGGTCGACCAAGAGCTGCGTGCGGAAAATCGACAGCTCAAGACATCACCTTCCCCGAAAACGCTGATGATCAGGAGCGGGAGCAAACGGATTGACATCTCTCATCATCCAGACTCACACACGAGATCTCCTCCTAGAGAAGATGAGGTCAAGCACATACACCTCACGCAGCCCTAGCCGGATAGAAGAAGAGCTGAACATGGAGGAAAGTTGGTTGAATGAAGGGCGATGGACGCGAAGCTGGGAGGCCACAGGCGTAACGCGCCGAGGTGAATAGCGCTGATGATGGGCGCAGAGTACGGGCCGCCCAAGCGGTCGGGTCGCCAGCGTGAGACGGATGCCGGCCACGGCAGTTACCAATTCCAAACAAGTGTTTCATCGTTGATGGTCTCCGCACCGTCCTCCCCCCTCCCACCACCCGCCCTCTTCGTCGACCAAGACGACGTGGAGATAACCCAGGCGCACCCTCGCCTCCGCGGGCTGTCTCTTCGACCCATTCCTCCGTCGGTGAGCCTATGCGTCTTCCATACCATCTTGCACCGGTTGACGGCTCATTACGTCTCCGCGCCCATCTCGCGTCGCAGTTCCCGTATTACAGTCTCTAATCATCGCTCGGCTTCCAGCGCGCGCATCCCTTCGTCGCTCTTTACCTCATCACCCTCGTCGACAAACTGTCTTCATTCACCCTTTTTACCCATGCACATCTCTCCCTTACACAAAGGCCGCCAGGTCGATGAGGGTCTCACGAATTCCGCGGTGACTGTGGACACAGCGACGGGTACGGGTCCTCTGGAATTCAACACAGCTGCTCCTACTGGTGTGGTCATCACGTCTGCCCCCCCTCTCGTGTCTGGCTCGAACATCGTCATTACTTCCTCCTCCCCCACTCAGTCGACGTCTTCCACTCCCTCCCCATCGGAAACCTCTGCAGCTGCCTCATCTGCGTCCAGCAAGTCCCAACTCCCCATCGGGACTGTCATCGCTGCATGTGTTGGTGCGTTCATCGGGGTCGTGGTCCTCCTCATCCTCTTCTACGCCTGGTACAAGCGTTCGACGGATAGGATGACGGCGGCGGCTAGGCGGAATGCAGAGAACAAGGCAGAGCAGCAACGCCAGCCTGCGAAGCAGTTCAAGCAGCTCGACGACCAGGAGAAACCTCGCGGCGCGGCCCCTCCAACGTCGCCCACCGCACGGGACCAGCAGGAGGTAGACGCGAACTTCTCCATGTTCAAGAAGTCCCCCAGCGTCCGGTCAGCCTACACCACCAAGACCGGTACGGAGGATTTGAACCACTTCGATCTCCCTCAGCTCGAGTTCACAAAGTACCACCCGACCCTCGCGCAGGAGCTCTCGCTAGAGGCTCCCGAGAAACCCTTCGCCGTCGCCGGGCGCCAAAACAGTGGCGTCTCATGGGACGGCGAGACGCTTGGTGATGATTCCTTCCTGTCCTTGCGTTCTGTTCGCGTGGAGTCTGGCACGATGTCACCCACGATGGTCATGGCCAAGATGACCCCGCCGGCCACCTCGTCCGCTCCCCACAAGTGGGAGTCCGCGGAGGTCCTGCAGGTGGAGGAGGACGCGTCCTCATCTTCCCAGCCGAAGAACCCCTTCGCCGAGATGGCGGAGGAGCAGCGGTCGAGGAGCAACAACCCCTTCTTCAATGCTCAAGATATGCAGCGCACGAGTCGTGCCATGCGCAGTCGCAGCAACAGCCGCACGAGTCGAGGCCAGAGCATCGTCCGTCCCGACAGCCGTGCCACCGTCACCCAGCATACGAATCCATTCCTCGATCTACACGAAGCTGTCCCCGTCTCTGCAGTAGAGATGCCCCAAATGGACGCCTTATCCCCGAGCGCCGGCTTCCAGACGAAGTCCGTTCCCAGCGGCGCGTCAGCGCAAGCGTTTGTCAACGAGCGTGCGATGGAGTCTCTCATCGCTGCTCTGGACCTCTCGAAGGAAGAGGTGGAGGCCCGCCTGCGCGTCGTCTCCATGCAGGGCTCGACCTACTCCGCATACTCGGAGAACGACGACTCGGACATTGCGACCGTACGAGAGTTCCCCTTGCCCCCCGGGACGACCTCGCGCCCATGATGTCCCCCCGACCACTGCTCGTCGTTTTCCTCTGCGCGGGAGCCTGGGCCACCCGCGTGCCTGAGCTGAGCGCGTGCGCCGCCTTCCTTTCATTGATCCATCCGTGCTTGACTGCAACGCCTTTCCCTTCGTGATACACTCGAGTCTGGACTTACTCATTGTCCCATCCTTCCGCAACGACCCGTCCTATCTACCCCTTGATGTACGTGATACGTGGGTCAGGATCCGTCGACGCTCACCGCCCCGTTGGCCTGCGCTTGGAGACGGACACTGCAGTCTCATCTTCCAAGTCGCGCCCCCCTCCCTCCATGCTCGTCCCACGCGGGTCATGTTGTACCTCCTACCCTCCCCCAGTCACCTCTTCCTTCCAGCCGGTCTCTTCCGCGCCCCTGCTCTGCCTATCTGCCGTTCTTCGTTACCCACTGGAGGGTTCATTTTTCTCACGTTCCCCTTCCCCCCTCCTATGACCCCGAACCTTGATTTAGGTTTGCCCTTAGTCCTTAGTGTACTAACTCACGTTGATTTATTTATAACTCGTCCGTCGTAGCATCGCTCGTGCGCTGTCGTCCTCTGGCGAATGTCACCATGCTTTGTGCTGTCTCGACCCCGTACCAAACAATCGTGTATAACGCTCGACGTTCGGGCGCGTCCCATGGTAGATACCAGAAGTGACGATTCTGCTAACGATCTGAGATCTGAGTTGACTACAGGAGCGGCGTGATGCTGCTGTTACAGCATCAGACGAGCGCGGGGATGACATCGTCCCCAGGGGTGGAACGGGTCCAGGGGAAGAGGAGTGATGTCGATACGACTGACACTGACGAGAGGCATCCCGCTCTGTAGTCACCCCTGTTGTTCCACCTGCAGTCCGCATGATGAGACACGGCAAGGACACCGCGGGGAATAGCCGGAGTGTCCTGACATTTGGTGGTCTTGGCACTGTAATCCATGCTGCACCCCTGCGCGTCGCTTTGAGCTTCTGCTGTAGCTGAGTCTCTCACAAGCGCCTCTCTTGCATCCTCGGACACATTGGTGGTATCATGAAGTTGTGCCCAACTCGGCGTAGAGCGCCTTCAGCCTGTCCTTGTGTGGCACTGGCAGATCGCGCCAGTGTCCAGCTTCTGTGGCTGGCATGAGAGATGTCTGGGTCTTCGTCCTGTTTCGGGCAGGATCTGTGACATTATTGGCACAGCATGGGTAAGTCGGTGGCGGGGAAGAGTGGCGGCGAATGTGCGAAGAGAGCGGTTCGCAGCGTCCCCGCCCCTTCTAGCTGGTCGCTGGGTCTCGGTATCCTCAACGCACTCAGACCTCAGGAAGGCGAAGATTTTCAACGTAAGCGTACTGGAACAACAGACTCGCCCGCAGGAGGTAGAAGATGACACCGGATGCAAAACGCAACCCTCCGTTCAAGCTTAAGGTGGCAGGTCCTGGTCGCGATCTTACCCTCAGCCAGGTTGGTCAGACGTAAGTCAATGCCTGTTGAATGCAAGTACTGCTTTGAACGGCTGGATGGTGCGTTGTATACTCGGCTCTCGGGGGCGTCGAGCTGCGACCTAGAAGGATGACGTCATCCACTTGACAGGTTTGGAAAGCCAGCACACGGCAGCAAACCACTCCGGATGCCTGTACGTCCTTCTGACAGCTCTAAATGTTCTTGTCGAGGGAGTCAGCAACGCCTGGCCAATGTAATTCAACCAATAAGTTTGCGTCCGCGGTTGGTCCGTGGGTTTCATGATCCATGCAGCGAAGAGTGGCGCCGAAGCATGCACGACAGATGCCCCAGAAGTCGGCGCGATTTGAGCTGCAGCAATCGGAGACCTGTTTCGGTCCGCAATGCTCACGTGGGTTCAGTTCCGATGTTTCCTTCGAAAGTGAAAAGGCATGCGTATCGGACGGTGGTGAGAGTACATGCAAACGATCGCTGACAGCTCGAGCGGCGAAGTTGGAGGATGACGTCGAGCAAGGCCTGCCTTGAGAAAGGCTTCCTGGCAGAGAGCGAGAGAGACGCATGTACAAGGCATTCGGTGTACAGTAGGCTTACTGTAGCGCGATCGATGGAAGAGGTGGTTGACAGCGGCAAGTTGAGTGTGGCCCTGGCAGACGTAAGTGAAATGGCGCTATTGCATCGTGAGATCTCGGATGGACGGGCGCAGCATGACAACGATGGGATGCATCATGCTCTATACGGGGGTCGCCTGTCGGCATCTTCATTTTGGAGATCTCACAACCGCACTCGTAGCAAAATCATTAATTAGCATGGCAACAGCTGCTGGCATGCACGCTCCTCCCCATATAGGCTCTGCCTTATCGGCCTCGCGCTCCCCCCTCTTCTCCCGCTCCCTCCTCCCTCGCTTCGAGCAGAGGTATCGCCCCTCCTAGTGCAGATACCTCCCCCGGCTGCTGTCTCTGCTGGGTCCCGCTCCCGAAAGCTTCACTGGGCTACGACCTGATACCGACTGAAAAATACTGTCATTCTTTACCAAACAGTCATTCTTTATTGACCGACCCACATCCGCTGCACGCCAACGACTTGCCCCCCCCCCCCCCACCTCCCTTCTTCCCAATTACAACCCTACTCCTGAAACGAAATGGCTCCCCAAATATTCACCAGCCTCACCGCACGCGACGCCACGGATGATGACTCGAGTGTGAACCCAACCATCATCGCAGGCATCGTCCTCGCCGCTGTGATTGCGGCCGGTGCTGCTATATGGCTCGCTATCCGGTGGTACAGGAAGCGCGCGACGACCAAGCGCAACGCCCGCCGCTCGTCTGCTTTCGCCAACTTCAAAGGCTTTGACAACGCGAGCGAGAAGTCCCCGCTTCCCAGGTATGTCCTCAATTCGCATCTTATCGCAAGCGCGGTGTCGCTTACGGTCTATCGCGGTAACCAGCGCGGGCTCTGATCTACTCGTGAAGGGCACGTTCTCGCGCGACCAGATGAATTCCAACATCATCATGCCCGAGCGCGCCGTTCTCCGCCCTGGCGCGACGCGCGAAGAGATCCTGGAACACTACACCTCCCAAGGCAACCTCCCTCGTCCCTTCGCGCCATTCCAACCGCAGCCGCAGTCGCCCAAATCCTCAGAGTTTACCTTCGACGACCCCCCTCCCCCGGCAAACTTCCTTCCGGCCGCCCCGCATCCAACGCGTCGTGGATCCCCCCTCTCACGCCGTTGGCTGGCGGCAGAAACTCGCACCGTATGTCCGCCATGTCAGCCGTGTCCTCCGTTTTCTCCACGTCGAGCGGTACGACGCAGAAGAAGGTCCGCCAGATCTTCGATCCCGTCCTCCCCGACGAACTGGTCATCTCCCTCGGCGAGACCCTGACGCTCGTCCAGTCGTTCGACGACGGCTGGTGCATCGCCGGACGCGACAGCATCTTCAAGCCAGGCGAGGTCGAACTCGGCGCAGTGCCTGGATGGTGTTTCGTCAAGCCCGTCAAGGGTCTCCGTGCCGAACGGCCCATGCGCGTGTCCAGTCTTGGCGTCACCGTCGACTTGGACGCCGCCCCCACGATGGGTCCCCGCGACAACGTCATGTCGTGGTCCAACTTCTAACCGCTGCAGTCGTCTCTCCTCTCCCCGATCACCATCAACGACATAGCCTGATACCACGCGCGAAGCCCCTCTTCCCCGCTCCGCGCCCCCCGCGCCTGTGGCGCGCAACGTTCTTGTCCCCCACGTCTCCTCGGTAGATGCTCCCTAGAGGATTTTGTGGCCTGGGCGCGGCTGTATCCTGGATACATTCATTGTTCGCCGCTCGCTGTCCATTTGTTCTGTACGTGCGAGCGTGCGCCCAGGCTCTTTTGTTTGTTTGGTGTATAGTATCCCTGCAACTTCAGTATCCTTATCAAACCGTCAGAACTTCGTGTTCGAACCTCGTATACCGTTTCTTGCACTCGTCACTCGACTCGCTCAATTCTGCCTTACCCAACCCTGCATTATTTCCGTCCGCAATTGCACGCGGCTCGGCTTCGCCGTCGCGCCCGCATATACGTGATCTGTCTACCGTATCAGTAGTCCGCCGCACATCGAATGCAAAATCGGTTATTGTGTATGTATATGACAGTCCACAGCAGTCCCCGCTGCATCGCCATGTATACCGCGCAGCGCCATCGGGCGGGTCTTGTAGCCTGAGTAAATGCGAGATTCGACTCGGTGTCGACTAACCATATACCACGCCGAAGCGCGGTGCAGCAAAAGATCGTGACAACATTCGTCGAGATCCGCATCGGGCTCAGCGTGCAATATAATCGCCACGTGCGGCACCGTCCGAAGGCCTTGGTTCTGGCCTGGATCTCACTAATAGTGACTGCGATCTCTCTGCCAACCCGGATCTCGACAGTACATAAGTAGCCGTCGGCCGCTTGTACTTGCTGGCATCGACGAGCAAGCACAGTGCTCGCATAATCACTTCGCAGGTCGTGCGCTCTGCCGTGCATCTAGCTAACATGGCAGCGCCGCCTCCGCCGACCCCAAAACACCTCATTCGCAGCCACGGCACGCAAGTCAACGTCGTCTGCTTCTCGGACGACAACGAGCGGATATACTCGGGCGATGCAGCGGGCACCGTGGTGGTGACCTCCACGCGGAGCCTGCGGGCGATCGCGACGTGGAAGGCGCACACGGACGGCTTGCTCGGAGTCCAGGAATGGGAGGCCCAGATCATCACGTCCGTTCGTGCACTCGACACCAGAATGATGACCGTAACGTAGAACTGACGTGCACTCACTCTTACCGTTGCTCGCGGCGCGCTAGACATGGGCGAGATAACAAGCTGCACGTCTGGAAGGCGGTCGGCGAGCCATCGCGCATCCCCGGGGGTTCGGCGGCCTTGCCTGGACTGCAGGCCCCGGAGCTGTGTTACTCCATGGACGTGAACGCGCTCAACTACTGCCGCTTTTCCTTGCTCTCGCTCCGGAGGGACGGGCGGGCGGCGGACCGGCACGCGCTCATCGCCGTCCCCAACCTGGTCGAGTCTGCCCACGTACGTGTCGCGTGGAGTGGGCCGGTCGTCTCGAGGGCTGAAATCGCACTGGGGCACAGGCGGACGTGTGGACGCTCCCGGGAAAGCAGCGGCTGCATGCCGCGATAGGGAAGGCAGGGCGGGAACAAGAACAAGAACAAGCCGCCTCGGACGGGCGGGGCGTCCGTAATCCCATCGGTGGGTTCCTCCTGCTCTCTCCTGTGTCCCGCTTTTCTGCCCGGACGTGTGCATCAGTATGCTGATCGTCTGGACGTACTGTTGCGGCAGGCATCATCATGTCTATGCACCTCTTCATGGTGCCCCACCCCCACTCGGCGGGCCGTTCCCGGCTGCGGCTCCTATGCGGGTACGAGAACGGGAGCGTCACGATGCGGGAATACGCTGGGGATAAGGAAATATCTATCGAAGGCCGAGGATGGGACGTCCTATGGTCCGTAAGGCTTCATGTGGAATCCGGTAGGTGTCATTGGGTCGGACACGTGCGTGCCCCGTGAAAGCTCATGCAAGTATGAACAGTAATGGCTATGACGGTGTCCAGAGATGGTACCTTCGCGTTGTCGGTCTCGGCTGACCATCTCGTCGGGCGGTACGACCTCGTCGTAAGTACTGCTTGTAATCGCTTGTGATGGGGGCGCGCATTGAAGCCGTTGACGCTGCAGGAGGCCGAACGAGCTGAATCACTGAACACCGCATGCGTGGCTCACAGGACAAAGCACCCCGGGAATGGGGCTGTCGGTATCCGTGATGACGGCCGTGTGTGCGCAGTTGGCGGTTGGGATGGACGGTACGCAACTGCTCAACACACCAGCAGTGGTGATGATGAGACATCTGAACATGTCTTTGCGTAGGGTGCGGTTATACTCGACGAAGACATTCAAGTCGCTCGGCTCGCTCGTGTATCATAAGAAGAATTGCCAGTCTGTCGCGTTCGCCCGTTCTCACCCGGCGGATCTATTGAATACCGCTACAGTAAGTGCGGAGGGTTACGAGGATGACGACGAGATGAGTGAGGCGGAGAAGCAGGAGAGGACGCGTTGGCTCGTCTCTGGGGGACAGGATAGTCGTGTCGTTGTTTGGTCATTGATAGACTTTGGCAGAACATGAAGCCCTCGTACCTTCACCCGTGCTCTTCTGTCTGAACTTGTGTGTTGCAAGCGTTAGACCGGCCACACACCCATTGCTGCACATGTCTCTTGCTTCTCCGAAGACGGAGAGCATGAAAAAGATGTCCCAGGGAGGATTCGAGCCTCCGTCTTCACGGGCTTGTGTCTCCACAACGTGATGATCTAACCACTAATCGACAAGGACGCGAAATGAATCGGCCGAGTAGCACCTGTATTGCTCAAGCTTTCTTTCCGGCCTACTTCCTCTAGAGCTCGCGTGACTGAGAACTACCGCCGGATCTGAAACTGAACAAGGTTTTAGCCTCACCTGCTTGCATGTACATATGTGGCACTTTGCTTGTCATTTCGGCCTTCTTACCAACAAGTACTAGTGTACTGCTTGAACTGTCAACCCTCCTATCGCGTTCACTATGACTGTTCACGGTATTCTAGTGCTGCTCGCGCCTCCAGCCGCGAGCCGTGGCGCGGAGAACGTGTGTGGCATCACCCACGCCTGTCTGCGGGAGTGGGAAATTGGTCTCCGGTACAGTCATCATTGTTTCTCCGGGCTTGCGCCCTCGTGTCAAGCTCCATCCGATTCTCATCCTCGCGGGCATCTCGTTCGCTGACTGGCCGCAAATCTCGCAAAGCGCTCACGGACCACATCACGAAGTCGTAAACATTTGACCCCACCCGCACTTTGGCGGGCGATATGCGCTCTCTTCGTTGACGACCCCGCGCGACCAACATCCCCACCTTGTCCCTCCGATTGTCTGTCTTGCAGTCTTGACTTCCGAGCGGGGGCGTTATGTCCGTGACCTCCCTCTCTGCGTACTCGCAGTACTTCAAGAAGCCTGCCTTCACGGTCCACATCCCTCCTACGCTATATGTCGCCGGCTCGTCTGTCACTGGAGAGCTTGAGCTCGATGCCAACCTCCTCCGAGACGATGACATCGAACGCATATATGTCGAGTTGCAGGGAACACTCCTGACGTGAGTTCCCGCCTCATCTCAGATTGTTTGGCGCAGCTAAGCTTTTGGCATCACCTGATACGCTTCTTCGCTTGTCGGCTTCCTCCCCTCATGTCGCATCGCGTGCGCATTCCTCGCATCGACAAACATGTAGGAAGAACCGCATTGCAGCAGATTCCCGAGAATTCAAGATAGTCGAGAACGAGTTCCTTCGGAGATCCACCACACTGTGGGTGCGCGATGGCTCCGGACCCCCCGCGCTCGGGGACGTGATGAGCATCCCGTTTGAACTGCAACTTCCTACGGACGCGCCGCCGTCGTTCGGGTTCGAGACCTTCATGAACAACGCCCATATACGGTACGCCGTCGAGGTCACTGGCGTCAGAACGGCGACGTTCGCCGTCAACAGGACAGTCAAGTTCCCCATCGTCGTCCTCTCGAATGATCCGATCGGCAGTGGGACGCGCGCCGAGCTCAAGCTTGGATGGCCTAGCGAGTGGGGCAGGCTGAAGGTGGAGAGTGGCATCCGGAGGTATCCATGGGGCGATTACTCGCACGCGAAGATGGAGGTACGTTACCTCGCGCTCCCGTGCTTTCGCGCATCTGTAACCCGTCGATCCGCACTCTCTTTCAGCTCATCGTCCCCCATATGGACACGTTCCCCCTGTTCACGGACATCCCGTATTCAATCATCATCACCGCTCTCTCCGCACCGGTCAAGCGGAAAGGAAACGAGGGCCCAGACAAGAACCTCTACCCACCGATTCCGCGCTCGGCGTCCGAGCTGGACTTTGAGATGCGCCGCTTTGTCGACATGGAGACGCCGTATAAGCCTTCGAATCCCGAAGAGCATGTCGTCGACATCATCTCCAAGGCGCATACACCGATACCACCGGTCGAGGTAGAGATCGGGGACTACCTGTGGGTACCTGAGCAGGGGCGTCAGGACCGTGGGCGGTGGCAGCGGAGCGTGACCTTCCACTCGCACATGAATCTGTGGTACACTCCGACATTCCTCACCGAGGAGCTCAAGATCAAGGTCTGTTGTCATCCTCACCAGTCCTGCTATATCTATCCTCGTCTAACATGTTCTACAGTACACGCTGCTCTTGCGCGTGGAGTTTCCTGGGTCTGGTAACGCCCTCCGCATTGTCATGCCCATTACGATTGGTTCCGGGGTCGAGACTTCCATACCGCTCGACCCGGCATCGCCCAAGACGATTGACCTGCCTTCGTAAGTTCCTCAACCTCCCACGTGCCACGTGCATCCGAGTCTGGCGAGTGCCCGGCCTGATCGTCCATGCTTGCCCGTAGATCATATTGGAATCCCGCCACCTGGACGGAGCAGGTCACAGCGCGGTAGAATTTCTACCCTGGCTCCTGACATCCAGGAGCGCCAATTTCAAAGCGGCTGCCCAACTGTCAAGAGCTACACGCTATCATACTATAGCCGCTCAATCGTAGTGAACGCTCTTCTATCCAAGAGAACGAGAGCGCCATCAATCGAACGCCAAACAAGCTATGTGCAATGTCATTCTCGAGCGGGAGGAAGGGAGTCACTGCATGATCTGTTCCAAAAGTATATCGTTGTTCGTCTGTACTATGCCCATCTCACTCACAGTGTTTTCGTTCACCAACAGTCAATCACAGTAATGTTATTCCTACGTTATGTCACGATTTACGGCCGCACGTAATCCATATATATGCTCCAAGCTTCTTCATGAGGTTGTCAAGTACTGTAGGTAAGGGGTCGCCATGACGTCGCGCGCGCGTGCCTACAAATTACGTGCCCAGGCACGCCGTATTTCTCTGGTTCGCCGGGAGCCCCGAGGTTGCCGGCGTAACGGTGGTAGTAAATGTATCGTGTGCGCGTGGCCGACGTTGATCTACGGTTTCTTGCCTTCTCGTCAGGGCGAGGCTGCCCCGGAACCTATCAACGGCTTACTACAAGCTGACATTGCAGCATGTTGTGGCGGTGAGTGACACCTAGCTTGTCGTCCCTCGTAATTCAGCGTACGTCAGGAAACACCATTTCGTTCGCGCGCGCCACGGCTCTCGGCTCAATCCAAAATGCCCCTGTCGCCGCAGACCTGGCGGGGCGCACAGGCAGATCTTCCGAGGTGCGCGCGGCGGCCTCTGTGACTGGACAAAACAGTTTCACTCGTGGTGCTGGGCCGGGCCAGGCTGGTGTGGATGACCCGGGTGGTCGCGGCGGAGGCTATCGACAGAACCGCGCGGCATTACTGCAACGATGCAGATCGCTCGGGGTTGACACAGACCTCGATGCAGTGCACTTTGGGAGGCGAGTGAAGCGAGGTGAAGATGTGTGAAGAGACGACATAATGTATGGTTACGTACCCGGACGTCAAAAGCTTCTTGGTGAACCGAGCGTGGGCGTCGTTTATCGCCTCACAGCCGAAGGCACGCAATATTGTGGAGCGACCTCCGTGCCTCCGAGAAAGGCAAGGACGGTCGCATATGCTTTTGGGTTTGGAAAACTACATAGACCTCACGTGCATGAGTGCCGTGCAGGAGTACGTGTATATGCGTGCGCTGGAAGGGACGCGCGAGTGCGGAGCGCCCGCTACAATCACCGAGACAATGCATGAAACATGACATTCATGTCCTTGTCCTTATCGAGGACATGGTGCCAGATGAACGGAGGAGAGCTCTGCCTCGTCGCGAGGTCTCGGGCAAGGCAAGAAGGGAGTGAAGATGGCGCGCAAACTCACTCTTCCGGCGCCGTTGAAGTACAAGCATCGCCAACGGCGAACATACATGCGTTGCGACTGACGGCATCCCGAAAGATGGCTTGCAAATGGGCTTCTTTGGCCTCAGTCTTACCTCTTGAGTGCTTCTTGATCAGGGGGAAGGGGCCGGAGCGCGGGAGACTGAACTGTAAGGTACCGCGGTCCCATCCCTGCGCCGCCACCAGTGCAGCAGCAGCAGCGGGAGCGACGGTCTTGGCATTCCTCGTAAGCCCACAGCATCGTCATCGCACAGGTCACCCTCTCGGAGATTCGGAAGGCATCCTTGAATCACATTGGACCACGCAAGACGGACATCGATGCATGGGAGACCGTGGGGCCGAAGAACCACACGGGCGGTGATAGAACCCACGCACGGTGATCCTGCGCGATGCACGATCCACGGCGGAACGCAGGCCTGCTTTTCGACGACAACAGCATCTGCACTTCTCTCCATGGACGCTGGCGCAACGATCCTCCGGTCGGTACCTAGCAGTCTCTCCGCCACAGGCCGCGAATAGCGCCGCGGATGGAACAACTGGCATGAGGAATGGACAGACACATCTGCATGTTGAACGCCCCACAAACCCCGCCGCGGAAGCCTCAAGGGATAGCAGAAGCGCACGGGGCCATTGCGACGAATCAGCCAGGAGATGCGCAGGTGTGCGAGTGAGGAGTCATGGGGGCACAGCACACGAGTACTGCTTCGGAAAGTGCCTAGAGAAGCAGGGGCGGAGCAATGCCGGCAGACAGCGAAGACGTACGAGGGTAGCAGGATTTCCGTATGTAGGTACAAATACAAAACGGTTTGATTCGTGGGAGCCAGAGGCCGACGACACACGGACGCTGCGGGGTCGGAAGGTGTAGTTGCGGACGTTTGAATTTCGTGTTTCCAGCCTCCGGTCCTCCGACGCCGGTGCACCGGACGGAGTTGAAATGTTCACGGCGGCGGAGGCGGAGGAAGGTCCCGAGGGATTCCGTGGTGCGGCGCACACACTTGATATGTAAGTACTGTTGCGCAGGTTATGACGAAAGAGTCCTATCACATCATGCGCCAGCGCGGATTATCGCCTGACGAGTTGCGCGTCTGCGATGGGATTTGCGTGAATCGTGACCTGCAGTTGCATGAAAGGTACGGACGGAGTCAGCGCATCACATCTATGTTCGTACGCAGATCAAAGAAGGGCTATCTGTCTCATCGTGAGATATCGAGTAACAACCCGCCCTGGAGTGCGCCGCCCCCGCCATTCAGCACGTGGGGTGCGTATGGCGCGAGGATTGCACGGACCAAGGGCAGGGAGAGAAAGATATCCAGAGGCATGGCACAGAGGATTAGCACGTACGTGGGTTGTTCGGATCTCATTCAGTGGTCTGTTCTTCGCATTTACCGGCACACGTTCCATCGCGTCCAGCGTCGAGTCCGCGCCATCGATCACCTGGTTTAGGAACATCACAGTTGATATTTTATAGCGTTAGGCTTAGTGAAATCGAAGGCATTCTTGTCGACGAACCTTGCCAAAGATGGTGTACTTGCCGTCGAGGTGGGGTTGCTTCGCGTAAGTGATGAAGAATTGGGACTTGTTCGTGTCGGGACCAGAATTGGCCATGGCTAGGATCCCACGGTTGTTGAACTAGTGGGTCATGGACGACATAGATGATCAGGTCAGCATCATTTCGGGATGATGGGACACACCTTCAGAGTGGAGCGAAGTTCGTCGGGGAACGGCTTGCCCCAGATGCTCTGGCCGCCTTTGCCGGTGCCAGTCGGGTCGCCGGTTTGGATCATGAAGCCCTTGATATTCCGGTGCCAGAGGGTGTCGTCATAGTAGCCTGATGCACAGAGGGCAAGAAAGTTCTGGTGGACGGTACGAGAGCCAGTGTCAAGAGTGACCTGATACTGTGGACAGAGCGTATCGGCGTACTTCTGCAGTTTTGGGTACGGCTTCGCAAAATATCTCTACCTGGGCAGATAAGAGGATATGTCAGTGCGGTTCGGATGCGGAAACCTGATGGCGCGAGACAAGCTATACTTTGATATCGCCATGAGTGGTATGCAGCGTGACTGACTAGGGGACATCAGCGACGGATGATGCAGTTCGGCGCAAGAAACGCTGCGCACCATGGCGATCCTGGGTTGGTTTCCCACAGCCTCGGTCGAGATAGCGAGGAGGAAGGAGAGAGATGGACGATGTTCGAGACGAAGGCGAATGAGCCGTGGCCGAGGGTGGTGTTTCCCGATCGACGCGATCGGTCTGCCGCGGGGTTGCGAACGGAGGGCGCGTCGGCGGACGCGGGCCAACTGTCGCCGGGCGGTGGCGGTCGACGCGGATCCGGAGGCCCAAGGTGGTGATGGCCGGGGGATGGCCGGGAGGAGGGCCGGGTGACAGGAAGTGGGATGGGATGGTTCACTGCCTTCCCGTCATCAGCGCGCGTCCGAGCGATGAACTCTATAAATCCTTCTGGGCTGCTTCTCGCTCCGCCCTTTCCCTCCTCCCTACACGACAGCATCCACAACGCAGGGCCTCCCGCGACCCGCCCTCCCCTCACCGTCCGCGAACGTCCTCCGCGATGATATCTACTCCCAGGCCGCCTTCCGTCCACTCTAGCAACACCGATGGTGACCCCTTCACCGCCTTCCTCAGGCCGCCCGCTTCCGAAACCGAACATGAACGTGTAGCCAGGCTGCAGAGGGAGGCCGAGGCCAAGCGTATCAACGACAGCATTGATGAGGAAATCAAGGCAGACAGAGAGCGTTTGCGCAAGAGCAAGCAGGACATTCGCGTAAGTTGCCCGTCCCACGCATTTCCCCCTTCGCATGACGCGTAGCGCCGTGGTTACGATGCCCCAAGCCATGGGCTCGACGTCCGCTGCGCAACGGAGGGTCTCGCCACTGCGCTTCTAGCATGTATGCGTCGCCGAATCAGTTACTGATTCATTGATGCTCGATAGTTGCTCCTACTCGGCCAGGCCGAATCGGGCAAGTCCACCCTTCAGAAGCAGTTCCAGCTGCTCTACACCCCTGGCTCGCTTGACGCAGAGCGGCTATCTTGGCGAACTGTAATCTACTTCAACATCGCCCGCCCGATTCGCCGTATCGTTGAAGCCCTCGAATCAACCCCCGACAACGACAATGATGAGGACGAATTTGCAGAGTTCACCCCGTCGGATCTGTTGCCTGCCAACCTTGCTCCTGTGGCCGCCTCCGACGAGAAGTCTCTTTCCCCCTCTGCGTCGAGCCTAGAGAAACAGGTCGCCGTCCTGCGCGCGCGCCTATCGCCTCTCTTGGCTGCTGAATCACAACTGGCAGATCGTCTCTCCGGTGGTGTTAATGTCTCTGGCTCCGGCAGGGGTAGCGTGTTTGTTCGCACTGGATGGCAGTCACGGAGCAAGGGCCTCCCATTCGGCAGGGGGCGCGAACGAGCCACCAGCGGCGGTCGCTTCAGCTTCTCTGGCAATCGTGGTTCCACAGAGGACCGGGACAACGGATTGGAGCTCCAGGCACGGCGGGCCGATTCCGAGGAAGATAAGCTCATTCTCGAGATCGCGTCGATTTTGTATGCGTCCCAGGCGGACATCAGGGAGCTGTGGGAGATGCCTGCCGTGAAGCGCTTGCGCGAGCGCAGACGTCTCAAACTTGAAGAATGGGCGGACTAGTAAGTACCTGACCGAGCCATTGCCGTGGTGCAGAGTTGCAGGACGAACGCTGATCGCTTTATGATAGTTTCTTGGACAATCTCGTCAGGGTGTCAAGCCCAGGATACGTTCCCACGACAGGTATGCTTTCTATGCACTGGTATCCCAGGTTCCAGTTCACCAACATTGTGACTGTAGAGGATATCCTGCATGCACGCATCCAGACGATGGGTGTCGCCGAGCACATCTTCGATATGTCCGTGCATGGTCGAACGGTACGGTGGCATTTGTACGATGTTGGCGGCGCTCGCGGTCAACGGCATTCCTGGATCCCCTACTTCGATGATGCGTACGTGGCAATATTGTAACCGAGAACCCCATTTTTGACGTTGAGTGTTCAGCAACGCGATCATCTTCTTAGCGCCTGTCAGCGCTTTCGACCAGGTGGGTCAGCTTCTGTTCATTCTTTGGAGCATGAATTGAATGTATGCGGCTTCGTGCGCAGTACTTGGACGAGGACCCGAGAACGAACCGAGTAGATGACTCGCTTCAGTTGTTCAAGCAGATCTGCTCGAACGTCTTACTCAAGAGGGCGCATTTGGTTCTCTTCTTGAGTACGTCTTGACCACGGACCATTGGTGCCGGAGAGCTGATTGGTATTGCCTACTGTAGACAAGACTGATCTTCTAAAAGCGAAGCTGGCGGCTGGCGTGAAAGTCAATAAGTAGTGAGTATATGCGCAAGCATCGTATTGTACCAAAGCTAACTTTCCTGTAGCATCACATCCTATGGCGATCGCGCGAATGAGTACGACGCGGTGGTGGCGTACTTTAAGGCCCACTTTGCTCAGGTTCACCGTCGGAACAACGAGAGCAACCGGGTGCTATTCACTCACCTGACTAGCGTTGTGGTACGAGTCACGTTGTTCATATCCAAGCAATGCACCGACTGACAATTTCTCTAGGATACGAAGGCGATGCAGAGCATCATCACCGACGTTCGCGATTCAATATTCCGTGGATACCTTAAATCCGCCGCTCTCGTCTAGGCTCTCGCCCTTAATGCCTCGTCCACGATAACCTTATTATCCTCTCATGTCCCACATCATCCTTCCGCACACACGGGCTTCCGACTACTGTACCAGCACTTTCGTTTGCGGCTTTGTCTCACGCTGTCTATACGTTCTTTCTTTCCCTCCATCCCCCCTGAGCTTCTGTAGTCATCCCAGACCACTCCCCATTGTAAGCTACTGTCGTTTGTCCTCTACCACCACATCAGCTCCTCGTCCGTACTGTTTGATTGGCCCCCTTTCCCCTCTCCTACTCCATGTCGTGTATACTACTCTGGTAGACGAGCCTCCCCCACCCCATACGGACGGCGCGATCGCCCATGCCATGTTTATTGTCACCTCGGGACGCTTCTCTCATCATAAAGTATTATTCCCCACTGTCCTCGCTGTCGCTGTACCCATACTGGCTTGTAAAACGCTGTCCTGGTTACAGCTATCATAATTTGGATGCCGTGGCGCTCTTGTCCCGTCTCGTGAGATATGTTATACCGCAGGGTCCATGAATATGCCGTGGAGGGCTTTAACCACTTTGTCCACCCACATCGCCTTTGCGAACAATTAGCCGGCGTCAGTGCGTCACCTGTTCTATGTTAAGTAGTGTATACATGTATACACCAGGCACGGGGGACATGTTGGATGTCTGCAGACTGTGTACGTAGTAGTAGGGCGCCACTAGTGTCGTCGCGGGCTATGCAAGATCCACGCAAGATCATTGTAAGCATGTCAATATACGCGCAGCGGTCATTTGCTCCACAAAATCCGCAAGTACTATATTGCCGTGTACATACATACATGATGCGCAAATACCTGAATCCAGCTGTGTAATATACAGACTAGTCATCAAGCTCATCCTCCTCATCCTCGTCGCTGTCTGTCGCTGCGGCTTGCCCTCGTCTCCCACCACCCATCATGTCTTGTTCGACCATACCAACCACCGCCTCCATGGCCGCGCGCGACATGCGCGGCATCGCGCCGGGGCGCAGGAGCGGGTGGTGTTTTGGATCGAGCCCCTCTTCGGCGACGTCCATCTCGTCCCCCGTGGCATCATCGCTCGCGTCCCCCTCGTCGTCCTCGCCCTCGGCACTGCAATCACCTTCGTCGTTGCTCGCGTCGCCGTCGGACTCCGATTCCGTGCCGCTGTCTTCATCCGAGACGTCCGTGCTGGTGACCTCGAAGTCCTCATCCTCCTCATCCTCCGTATCCTCACTCCGAGGATCCTCGTCGCGCGCGACTGCTTTTCCCTTCCCCTTCAAATCAGGAAGGGCGTCCGGCGCATCTGTGCCGTCCGACGTCGGCGACGGTTGTTTCGCGCGCCCGAAGCGATTTCGGCGCGCCTTGATCCACCGTCCGATGGGCTCCTGCTCCCGCCCGTCGACCATCCCAAAGTCCACGTCGACCGCACGGTCCTCCTCGTCGCCGCTCGCATCCTCCCCATCGGCCTCGCCCTTGTCATGACCCGCCTTGCTTCTCTTCCTGTCCTTGTCCTTGGCGTTCCCATCCACCGGCGAACCGCCGCCTATTCGCCGCAGGATGACGGAGCACGTCCGGCCGGTGGCAGTGAGCGTCCGCAGGCCCTCGACGACCTGCTCGCCGCCCTGGCCCTGCGACACGGGTGCGAGGTGCTCGAGCGCGAAGAACTCGCACGGCTTGCCGTCCCACAGGACGCCGTCGTCGAGGAACCAGAGCGTGCCCTCCTTCGCGCCGCGGTACGCCTCGACGCCCGCGACGCCGTCGCCCTCCTGGCTGCCCGCCGCGCTGCGGAAGACGGCCGTCGAGGGCTCATGCGCGGGGATGGGGAGGTGGGAGAGGAACGTGCGGAGCGAGGGGAGCGAGGGCTGGCCTTTGGGGTACGTCGCGGTCGAATCGGCCGTCGATGTCGTGAGGACGGATGTTAGTGTTGCGTCAAGCCCGAACACGAGGGGGGCGGACGTCGCATCCTTGTCCCTCGCGGCAGCGGCGCCCTTGGGCACAGAAGCAGGCACGTCGGAGGAAAGGAGGACCACGGACCAGTGGGGTTTTGACTTCCCACGGGTGGGAAGGAGGAAGGCACGTTGTAGGGAGGAGATGGGGATGGGAGGGTACTCTTCCTTTTGGGATGCGGGGTTCGTGAGGCGGATCGAGGACCGGTGGATGTCGATGTTGACTTTCTTGCGGATGGGCGTCGAGACGGACACGCCATGTAGCGAGTACACGCGGGTGTCGTCTTCGGGAGAGGGGGCGGTTTCATCCGTCTTGGCGCGTTTGGACGATGTAGCAGAGTCGTCGTCCCGGGGGCGTTTCTGGCTAGAGCGGGTGTGTTCACCGCGTTTCAGGTCGTCTACGATCTTGGAGACGCGAGGCTGGAGGTCGGCCCAGCCTGGCAATGCCCCGATCGCCGGTGCTTCCGCACCAACTACGAGACGCAGGAGAGTCTCGACAATTGTCTTGAGTTCAGGAAGGAGACCATTGTCAAGTTGCTTCCGGATGTCATCGGGGAGAAGTGGCTGGAGTGAATCCAAGTACAATGTCATAGTGCAGCCGAGTTGTCGTAGCTGATATATCCTCAAGCTATTCGTGTGGTATGTAAAGCTCAGAATAAAGTGCTATCGTGTTTGGGGTTTGCCACGCGGAGGGGAACAACGAGGTTGCCACCGACGCTCAGATCGTGGACGCGACATAAGTGGCGCAGCGCGCGCGAACCGGCTTACCGCGTCCAGTGACAGTGACATGGCTCTGTAAGGGCATCATGCTGTCACGCGTCTTCTGCGGCCGCAAACTCAGTGCGCAAGGCGAAGCAGGATTCTAAGCCCTCGTAAGCTTCTTGGTACACATCAGCTCCATAAAGATGCAGAGATTCTCGGTGCAAGATGCGTTGTGTTGTTTGTACAAGTCTGTTCATGACCACTTCCCCAGGCGTCCGTCCGTATATCACCGCTTAATGAATCCAACAAGCTCTTTCTGCAACTCCCGCTGTCTCCTTGCCTTCTCCAGGTCATCGATAGACCGCAGGTCAAAAACGACATCCCGAGTCTTGCCGAAATAGACCTTTGAATGTGGAAGAGCGTGATTACATGGTAAGCGACAGCCTGACATTGGAGCGAACGCACCTCCTGCAGCAAGTTCCGCATCTTGATCTCCATTTCCTCAATCATCCGACCGATATTCGTTATATGCGATGATTGGTCCTGCAAAGGGAAGTCTTGCTCGGTCTGGCGCGTCATGCTCCCGCTCAGCGTCAACTCCCCGTCTCGCTTCGCACCGTCCTGCTCGGGCTTCTCACTGGAGGCAATTCGGCCACCCTTGGTCACCGTCGAATCTTCCTTGCTGGTGCGCGTCGAAGCTGATCTGTCGATCATCTGGAGCATGATGGTGGAGGTGAGCTTGTAGTGTGCTTGCCGACCACGCTCCGCCGCTTCAAAGACGTGAATAGAGTCCCATGAACCAGACGGCTCTCCGGGGGCTTGCGGGGTCAACGCTGCAGCATCAATGGCCCGGCTTGATCAATATTGAACGGGGACGCGGCAAGAGAGGGACACACTCTTCTTGAGTAGGACTACGCCTGCGAACCCGCCGTCGTCCAGATCCCAAAGAAAGACGGAGGACACGCCGCCTTCATAGTACCTAGTCACATGTGGTCAGACCCTGTGCAGGACATGCGCGACGTGGCCTGTTGCTCAGACAGAGAGTGCGACTCACATCTCGCGATAGGTGTCGAACGCCTCATTCGCGGTGATCTCCAGCTTGCGCAGCTTCGGAGTTGGGACAGTGCCGTCTTCGAGGGGCGGATCGTACTCATTTGACCACGGCGACCTAAGAGGCGATTGCGCTTGTAAGCACTGGCATACGTCCGACTTCTCGTGTACTGGGCAGAGTACTGCCCAAAGCCCCCGGCACACAAAGACAACGCACCGGTAGCTGTCTCCATCCCTGTTGTAGTCACACGCGAGGTACTCCTTCCCTGTTGCGCGATCCGTCAACACCTTCAGTGGCTGGTCGACACTGCCCAGGAGGTCTTCTGCATAGTCCGGGCACATCGCCACCAGCGAGGCGACGTTCTCCTCGACGTGCGTCGGTGGCAGACGCCGCATCAGATCGAGCATCGAATCGACGAGATCACCCATGTTCGGCGAGAGTCAAAGGACACAGCAGATGAGTTAGAGTGAGGAAGTGCCGTAGGTCGTATGCCTTAGTGATTAAGTAGAATACTTGCACAGATGGAAGCAAGCGTGATGTGCGACCTCGGGCCGGATCAGACGTCCAATCTGGGGAATGAACTGCAGTCGCCTACTGTCTGAGGGGATTATACGGAGCAGGATCCGTTGAAGTTGGAGAGTGCAGCTGGCGGTATAGGTAGGTCGAGAGTCGAGACTACTGAGCATGAAGCAAGACAGTTACTTGATTGAGTTCAGAAGCGCCCATTTACACCGGACCAGCATGCAGCTGGGTCAAAGGTAACCATGAGTACTCAAGTGCTATGCTACATCTATCGCTCGTAGGATCATACACGGCCTTCCTACTGAACCTCTGCAACCGTCTCGGTAGGGGTAGGTACGGCAGTCGGAGCACCTTCCTCCTTCTGCTTCCCAGGGATACGACCTGTCGCGTCCCCGTTCCGAAGATTCTTTGTATTAGCAATTTCCATGACGTTGAACTTCTGGAGCGTGTAGTAGTCCTTGACCACGCTTATGCCGCACACGCTCTGTGCGACAGATGTCAGACGAGACATGACGCGTCTGACGATTGGGTAGGCATCAGGCGAGCGTACCTTGAAGATCTCCACCAGAATAAAGAGCTCCGGGTCGTCCAATGACACTGTATGGCCCTCTGGAACGCACTTCGCTAGCTCGGGTATGAGCTTGTCTCTAGTCACTGTATTGTGGTTGCGCATCCGCAACTCAATTTTGTACTACAATGGTATGAGCCGCGCTCATGATGCAAAGTAAGAGGCAGGCTACCTTGAATTTCTTATCGGGTTCTGCCGCAAGAGCATCATTGACAATCCGCGTAAACAGGGACCGGATCTCTGAGGCGTTTGCGACACAACTTCCAGATACCGGCGTGAGACGTTGGGTATATCTTGCATCATGTGAGGTTGAGTGTGCTGCCACTATCGCCCAAATGCTTACCGTGTCTGAGTGACTCCCGTGTCTACGACATTTTGAACGTGCGTCACCACTAGCCGGACGGGATCCACAGGTGGCTTGCACGAAATGAAGACGACTAGGTCGGCTAGATCAGTCTAGAGGTCGTCTACCGCATGTGTATATGTCTACCGCAAGGCGTGTTCGTCTGGCAATTAGCTGTTACAAGCGTCAGCAGCGTCGTAGACCAACCTGTGAGGGGACATACCGAACCTTGTCTCTTTCCGCGGTCGCTTCATGGACGCAACCTCTTTCGCGATTTGCTTTTCGATGTCATCCGCACCTCCGCCTTCTTCATCATCAAAATCTGAGTCTTGCGGTTCATCAGCGGTGCTGGCAGATTCCGTGGGCCACAATTGTTTGGCAAGCTGGGAGCCGATCAGACGCGCTTGAGCATAACCCGTAAGACGTATGCGCCGCTGTACTCACAGATTCGAACACATCGTACAACTCCCCAACAGTCTGTTTCTCTTTGCCTTTTACACATGTAACCCACACACCTGGTCCCTCGATGTGTCTCTGGCCCCATATCGGAGTTCCGTCCTAAAATGAGGAAAGCTCTAAGAACGACCAAGACAGCCAGACAACAGGGCAGCTCACAGATCTGAATCTACGCCTGCCATTATCTCTACCGTCAGCCTTTCTTTTGCCTTCTGACATGCTGCCTCGGTTCAATGCACAGGAAAAGGTGCTGCGACGGGCGATGGTAGATGGATGCTATACAAGATGGATCGCAGAGCGGGCGTTTAGGAGCACGAAGCTCTCAAACGCCCGTCGAACATCTCGACTTGTGAACATCATCATGAACCCTGAGCGATGAACGTATGTGAACAGCTGTGTGCCATCGTTTCTCAAGCTTGGGTACTTTGTGGCGACCCTAGGATGGAGCGTATTCGTTTCACCCCTCAGTCCTTCTCCTCTCCCTCTCATGCCCTCCTTCGAGGAGCTTCGAAGGAAACTGGCGCATTTCTACTCGGCGAGGACGGTGGACACTGGCCTTGGTGCTGAAATCCATACGGTCACTTTCCAACCCCTTCGCAAGCGAGCTAATCAGGATCGTTTGGTGATGCACCAGTTGAACATACATGGTCAGGAGTGGCTGTTATTAGCGGTCTGCGACGGTATGTAGCCCGACGTTCCTCATTGGAGTCATCTAAACTGCTAGACGTATCCCCTGTGTATCAGGCCATGGTGGAGCAACAACTGCGAAATATACCGCCTCCCATTTACCTAGTCGTATCCTTTCAGCACTTCAGCATATTACAGACACCCACATGGAAGGCCGGCCGGATAGGGAGAGCGTCCTTGAGAAGTTCGACTTCATCTCTTCAGAGCTCGCGCGATGTATCAAGGACTTCGATCGTGAGCTTGGTTACGTCGTGCAGACGGTCTGCCCGGCCCCCAGCCAGCTGTCTGCCAAACAGGCCCGCCGCATAGTCTGGGAGTACCCGGACGCACTACAACGTGCATATGCAGGTACGACCCTCGCAGCCGCCGTCGTGAATCTCCACCATAGGTTCATGTGGACGATGAATGTCGGCGACTCCACATTAGGTCAGTGCGCCACAGTGTCTCCATGTTGTGGCGGAAGGCTGAAAACACAGGTAGCATTGTCAACTGTAGACGATAATGGTAAACGGTCGGCTCATGAGCTATGCGTACGACATTCACCAGAGCGCGATGACACCCTGAAGGACCACGCTGGAGAGGCAATAATACAGCATGGTCGCGTGCTAGGCTCACTTGCAGTGACACGGGGTGAGTTTTGTAGCTATAGCTGGTGGAGTAATTTGTAATGAGCAGGTTCGACCGTATAGCGATTGGAGATTTTGCCTTCAAGCTACCGGTAGACTATTCCTACCGCCTGTTCCGACTTCTCTCTGCCGAATTTGGCACTCAGACCTTGAGGGATAGCGTCCTGGAACGCATACGATCTCCGCCGTATATCACAGCAGACCCTTTCGTACAATTTATCGACCTCGAGGCCTTCTGGGAGCAGCAACCGGTCCTTATGATCTTCACGGACGGCGTCGACAAACTACTCAACAGATCTCGATACTACTTCAACGCTTGGAGTAAGCCAAGGGACATCATCGAGCCTGCCCGTGCCGTTGCCGTCCTACTGCAAGACGATGTGGACAAGAGCGTTGAGGAACTGCTCGGGTTCTCCGTCGATCCTCGGTGGAGCGGCGATCTGCATAACCGGGCTCTGGACGTTCTGGGAAATCTTGTCGGAGGGACCGACACACGAATATTGCAAATGGTCATGGACCAGGACCTATTAGCAGATCGGACTGCATACCCTAGCCTTCACATTGACGATACGTCCATTGTCATCTGCTCCTTCGCAGACCCGCCTTCTCCATCACAGACGTCATAGAACACTCCTTCCATCGATACATGGGTATTCACCTAGATCTGTATTTGTAGCTCCATCTTATAGTGACTGTATCAGTAATGCCTCCGAGTCGAATTCATTGGCAGAGTAAGGGTCAGTATCAACAGACCAAGCGCAATTGAGCGCTCGAACCAACCGTGTCAGGTTAGGATACATCTAAGTAAGGCAAGACCTAGAATATGTACAAGTGGCTAGTGGGCTTAGTTAGACCGCTGAGGAGACAGCGATGTGACTTATCGGACTGAGGATTACAAAATCATGTGTTTTCTGATGCAGCCAAGACACTTCAGACTCGGCGTTTTCCCTCACCTGGAACAGGTTGGTCATAAGTAGCAGATCAACTTCACACCATACTCTCAAGGCTCAGAATTTCAAGTTCATATCTGACATTGAAGACCTGCGATCGCGGCTCGCGGCCGTATACATCTCCAGCAAGACAGACTTCGGAGTCGATGCCGTCACGTCCCAGCCCTTTCACGATAAACCCAACGAGGATCGTATGGTTTGCGAGAGTTGGGAGATTCTGGGACAGAAATGGCTCTTCCTCGCTATCTGCGATGGTATGTATTTGTCATCCTTGAAACACCTATTGTCTCACTTCTTGCGTACTGTTTAGGCCACGGGGGGCCGGCAACAGCAGACTGTGTTACGAGGAAGTTACCAAACGGCATTCGCCTGGCGCTCGAGGATATCTTGGAGAATACGCTTTCCAACCAGCTTGACTGGGGAAATATGGAGGTAGCACAGCCAATCATTGCATCCATGCTGTCGCAAATGGTCGAAGCCCTGAACGGGCTAATTGGTGAGGCAGTCCGAAAGCTTTGCCGCCACCCAAATGCGCTTCGTGAGGAGCAGGCCCGAGCCCTCGTCGAGTCAGAGAAGTACAGAGAACGTCTACTTGGTGCGTTCAACAGAAGTACGTTGGCGGCTGCACTTGTGAATGTTACCCATCAGTTCATGTGGGCAGTGGGAGTGGGGGACTCATCTGTTGGTGAGTTAAGTGTCATAGATCAGCATATCTACAATCACTGAAGGTTCCCAGCACTGTCCATCGCGGATCCTGACGGTAGCCGACGTGCTCATAGATTGTGCGATATGCACACATTGAAGGATCCTCAAGAATACTTCCGAGCGTGGATGTGCCATGGTCAAGGCGAGACGGATATCATCGAGCATGATCGTATCCTAGGCTGGGTGGAACCCCCACGGAGTGAGTGCTCCTTCAGCTGCCTTCTTCAGACTTGCAACGCCTGTTCCGATTCCTGCCTTACGAGGGCCACGCCGATCTGACAACGATGCACAAGCGCATCAAGACGCCGCCATATGTGATTGCTACGCCGTCCGTTCAATCTACAGATCTACGACCCTTTCGGGACAGCGATCCTCTCTTGATGCTGTTCTCGGATGATGTAGACCATATCATCAACGGTTACTTCGTCTTTGGCGCGGGCACTAGTGGAAACGGAGATGCGTGTGAAGTTGTCTCCAAACTTCTACAAGACCGCCCTGATCCTTCAGGAGGACCTCCTTGGCCACAGGACACAGCCGCGGTGGAGCGGACGCGAGAGAAATCGAGCTGTCGATGTCTTGGGCAATCTGATAGGAGGACTGCATGTAGAAAGACTGCACATGATGATGGATCAGACACGCTTGAGGAACAATGGTACTGATCCTGGCTTTTATGTAGATGTAGATGATGTTACAATAATGACTTGCGCTTGTTGTTGAGTTCAATCAACGACGACAGCGTTGAATGTAGATGGGCAAAGTCCTCTAGTAATGTGGGTGTGTGTAGTATTGGGTGCTCAAATATGAGTTCTACAGTCATCTTCGTAGTACACAGGAGAGGAACGTGAATAAGTTGTTATAGTGAATGACCAACACGTGGTTCTAGAGAAATGGATGGTCTAGGCTCATTGTAGCTGAAAACGATGGGAAGCGCAAGCGGCTAAGTAGCGACAAATAGGTTCACCCTCCCATAATTTGATCACGCCTAGCCGTCGCCGGGGGGCAGCAATTGTTAGCGTCGTCAATTCTCTCGAAAGTTAGGACACACATACGCTACGATGGGGCTTGTGGACCCACTGGCTATGGTTCTGCCTGATCTCCTCTGACCGTCTGCGCATCTTCCTGGCTTCACCTTCCTCAGAGGGATGAGGGCTCATGCTTGGCGACAGGTAGGAGTCGGGGGTGTTGGAGCCACTGCTGTCCATATGAAGGAAACTTTGGGGTTGACGTGAAGTAGTGAACGTGCCCCGGGTAGCGGCATGCATTTGTCGAGTATCTCCGCGGCCGGGATTGAGAGTGGGAGGGAAGGCGTAAGTGGGAGAGAGACTGGCAGAACCAGCATTCGTGAAGTTCTGCTGATCATCACCAGGTCGGGCTTGGCTACTCCGGATGTGATGAGAGGAGGTATTCGCGGAGTTGTTCATGCCTGGCTGGGAGATCGGTGCTTGAAAAGTGCTAGAGGAGAGCTGTCCTTCATGAGTGCGACCTGAGCGACCGGGAGCGTAGCTGGTAGAAGTAACAGGCTGCGCTGGCGCGAGACCAACGCCAGATCGGACAGATGCCTCGTCGGAGGAAGGGCGACTGATGTTGGAGGAGTCATCGCTACCTCCGAACAGGAACGACCTCTGCTCTCCCGGGAGAGCTTGATGATCAGAAAAGGGAGATAGTGCGGGCTGAGAGGGGTGTTGCCACTAGTATTAGTGCCACGAGAGCGGTTGGACTCGCTGGAGGAAGAGCCGTGGTGAGAACTGTTGGACATTTGGATGATGCTGTTGAGTAGGCAAGGAGCATAGAATGAGTTGACGCACCTTTTATACCCCTCTAATGCTGCCTGAAGACGACGTGTCCTAACTTGCTCAATTCCTTGCTATCAGGCGTATCAGTGCCGCCTCAGTAACCAGTGTCATGCAGGCGTGAGATAAGAAAGCCTTGCACGGGGGTGGAGGAACAATTATATCCTATGTGCCATCGCCAAGGTGGCGCCATGACCATCACTGGCTGCAAGCGATTTCTTTGCTATGAGCTGCCCATCATGCGCTCGTGAGGTGCTATCCTTGCGATCCTACTACCCTAGAAGCGTTCCCATAACAGTGCCGCTCGCTTAATGTGGTGTCGCCCTTGTACTGCGAGCCCGCCTCGAGTATTGAAGTTGATAGTACAATTGTAGAGCCCAGACCACATCGCTACATGACATACCGGGACGTCATTGTGGTTCTGGTGGCAATCTGCCGTTATGCTGGTACGTGCAGATGGTCGGACACCAGATATGATGTCAGTGATAGGCGGAGAGGAACAGCAGCTTCCAGGATTTCGAAACGACAAGATTGTGGCACAGCTAGTACACGTCCACATAAGTCAAGACGATCACAACGCGGCACCCGACAGCAGAGGACCCAGTTACATGAGGCGAACCTTGCGATGGTTACGCTAACAACTTGAAGTTGCCAGTGGTCGTGATTTCCGCGAACGAATGAGTGTTCGTACATCAAATTCGTCGTCAGGTTGACGGCCATCATAATCAGTGTCTTCACGCGTTCACGTCGTACTCCTCGTCCACAGCTTGCAAGAACTCCAGCATCTGAAAGAGGAACGTATGTCACACTGCGTGCTGAGACGTGTCTCGAAGACTTACAAGCTGGTGCCTCTTCTCCGCAAGCTTTTTACCAGGCTCAGTCTTCAACCGCTCACGGATATGCAGCAGCTTATCGTAGAAGTGAGCGATGGCGGAAGCATCGTACGCAGGGTCATCCCTGGGGACGTGCAACGTGCTGTGAATTGATGTCATACATAATTAGACAGAATGTCTTTGACTGATGGGCGAGACTCACTGATTCGTAGCCGCACTATACGCCGCACACCGCAAAATCCCTGACATTCATGAAACGCCTGAGTCCTGTACGCCTTAAAATTAAGAGCACCGCTCACCGAATGCACCAATCGCATCTAGACGATCGGCATCTTGTACACAGTGGAGCTCGACACATTGTCTGTGCCAATCTTCTACCTGACCAGCTGCAAGCCTCTTCTTCTCAGTGCTCCAGGAAACATTGTCGACTATACGCGCTATGACACGCGCACGGCCGTCCTTGATGAGGTCCAACCCGCTTTCTGACGCAACCTTCTCAAAGAACGGTACGAAAAACGCGTAAGGGTCCGCAGCTTGCTCCGCCGATACATACTTCTTGTCGAGGACGTCGTGCAGGAGAGCCGCGACCTCAATAGTTAAGAAGTCGGGCTGCTTATCTTGAGGCAAACTAGCGGGTACTGCACGCGCAAGCTTCAGCGCCGTCTTTCTGACGCGCTGGACTACAGACCATTGAATTTGGGGTTGAATATGACATTACTAGACAAACACAGAGCTGTGGCACAGACCGTGGTACGCGTCATGAGACGGATCGTATCTTGCCATCGTCTCTGTCATGAGTCTTTCCGCTGCCGCTACAACGGCTGTCTCTTCTGGAGTCGGATATGCCGCCGTCATCGTGAATGAGATGAAAAGGAATGGATTGCGAGCAAGGACGAGAGCGATCAGCAAGACATTCCCCGCGTCGTCTATGGGCGTCAGACGCGTCGACCGCGCCAGTTTGGGGGTTACAAGCGCCCGTGCCATGCTGTCAGCGGACTGGCCGATCACCGTCTTTCCGCACCTTGCCACCGCCTATGACCATGCCCAGCCTGCTATCTACTCGTCGGACGCTGCTCCTGGTCGCGCTGGCAAGTCTTGCTGTGGGAACCTCTATATTGTCAGAAACCCCGAAAGCTCCCTTGGTTGTCTCGGTGCGTATACTTTCCCGAGCCGGCTGAATTCGCACGTGTGCGAATGCGAATTCACCTGGGAACCCTCGACGTTGACTGAATGTGATCCCTCTTCTATGTCAACTGCCACCTCGATCGGCTATGTGTGGTCTTGCAGGACTCGGACATCCAAGGATGCGCTCCCATACAGCAATTGAGCGCCCTCAAGGAGGAACTCGAGGCAGCGCAGTCGCCTATCATGCGGACCGTCTTCTCATGGCTCTTCCCATTTGGCCCTGGAATGAATTCGGGTGCGTTGCATCCCTTTTGACTAAGGTTGTGCTCGCTTTCAACCTCAGACGAACGTGCTCTGTCTCGTGGACTCTTGTACTCTCGCTTATTACCTCTACTGACACGGTCGCTATCGGCAGTCCTAGGAACGTTCTACATCTCCTCGTCCGTGACACGCACATCGTCATCCCTCTGCATTTCTTTCGACTGATGAATTCCTTTTCTAATCTTCTCATGCCATTGGCATTGACGGGAGCAGTGTCCCGAACTTTATCCTTGCATTTATTCCCGCGCAAATCAACCCCAACACGTTAAACACCATGACAGCGTTCGCGGTGAGTACATCGCCTTCAGTTTCCCGTCCACAGACTACTGCCATGTCTTTGAGACTCCGGAAGAGCGTAGGATGAAATTGGCGAGAAAAGCGGCCGAGCTCAACTGATTCAGTCGGTTGTCCGTGATCTTGATACCAGTCTGGCGACCTCCAGTCGCTGCATGCAGCAGTGATCTACAGTTTCAGTGCGCTCGAAGTGGAAACGTGTTGCACCAATGCACCGCACCTCCCCAGGTAACTTTCCTACCACAGCCGCAACTCGGATTCGGCAACGATATGGGAGCCGCAGCTCATACCAACACTCTCCCGCGAACGTTGTTGCAGTTCCTACGTGATCGATCCAATAACCTCTGCCGAGGGCTGAAGATCTCCAGAGCCCTAGCTGTCGCTGATCGTCGGTGTACGAGCGAAGCTTGACACGATGGAGTAGCGTGTTTGAATCAGCCGCATTGGATCGCCGTGTATTCGGCATCCATTTTGGCGAAGATCGGCCCTACTTCGGGATGTGCGATTCCCGTGTTTCTGCTTCTTTATGGCGCAGGCCAGAGTTCCCTACGCAACGCGCCTCCTTTCGATTACTCCCAAACGTATATGCATGCTCGCAGCGCAGTCACGTCTTGTGTCCATGAGATCAGTTCAGAACCTTACGAAACCACATGTACTGACACATCTACGTTCATTCCAGACCGGCGGGTTGCTATCTGATGTGTTCTTGCACCTCGTTCCTCATTCGTTTATGGGTGAGCATCAGGATGGTGGCGTCCACTTTGTAATGGTGGAGGAAAAGCGCAATATTCTCATCGGGTACGATATAGCTTCTGACTCCGGATTGCCATCAGCCACTAATGTATCCGCGGATATCTCAGATTGGGCATATTCGTTGGCTTCGCGTCGTTCTTCATTATGGAGAAAACGCTCCGAGTGCTGGGAGGAGACGAAGAGGGCGCGGGTCATTCGCACAGCCATTCCCATTCGCATACGAATGGTTCCGCCGAACACACCAACGGCCATTCAACCGCGGTGGAGGCCCCTTCCACGAACGGCTTGAAGTCTCGTGGGGGTGACAAGCCTGCTACGCCAAATCCTGATGAGAAGGCTGTCCACCAGGATGGCCCTAAACAGACGTCGAAGCTCTCGGCGTACCTCAATCTCTTCGGCGATTTCGTGCACAACATGTATGTCTGCGTGTTCACCTCAGCCGTCCATCGCTCACTCTGCCTCGCGCCCCGGCAACTTCCTTTGCAGAACTGATGGCCTCGCGTACGTCCCGTTCCCTTGACTTGAGGCATCGCACGTTGGCGTCGCTCAATGGGGTCCGTCGCACGCCCACCCGCAGCATGGCCGCTTCTTTTTACTCATCGCCGCTCATTGGGGCGACGACGACGCTCGCTTGCTTCGCGCACGAAATCCCCCACGAGATTGCCGACTACTCGATCCTCGTGCGGAGCGGCTTCACGAAAAAGCAGGCGATGCAATCCCAATTCCTGACGGCCGTCGGCGCCTTCGTACGTCACTCGCTTCCTCGTCTTCTTCCCAGCGATTCCGCGGGAGGATGGGGCTGATTTGTCTATGTGCCTCGCTGATGGGTGCTGCACCGATGCTGATGTTGATGTCCCGGTCGTATCGTGATCAGGTTGGGTACGGAACATCTCCTTGGTAAGTCTGGCCACACGCTGACGTCTTCACGACACCACAGAACGTTCATGGGTATCGGGATACACAACCTCTCAGCAGCCGCGGAAGCTGAGAGTCAAGGCACCAACTTCGCTGACGCCCTCCGCCGAACCGCTGCTGGCCTCCTGGGCACGACCGTGCAGCTAGCAGATCTTGTAAGCCGCCGCCGACATGCGCGTGGGCGGGCAGTTGACAATTGTTCCTGTTCCATTTCAGGTTATTCCCTTCGTGGCAGGAGGGTTCATGTACATCGGAGCAGTGGCGGTATTGCCCACGTACGTCGCAGCCGCCACCATCGACTCGTCGCCGGCCCATGGCTGGATTTCTGACAACTCTCACGTGCGACAGGTTGCTCGAGGACAGCAAAAGCGGCAAGCAGGCGCTACGCGAGGTGATTGCGCCCTGTCGGACGATCGTTCTCGCTACGTGTTTGGTGCTGACGTTGCATCCGTCCCTAGTTCGCCGCCATGTTCATTGGGGTGGCATGCATGTTCCTGGTCGCGTAAGTGCTCAGACGGTGGGGATAATTGTGGCTAATCTAAGCTCATCTGCGCTGGTTTCTTGCACAGGTGGAATGAGTAGACGCAGAGCGATGGTCATGGGACGGATAGGGTTAGGCCACCGTGCGAGGACTGTGGTCGTCATCGACGGCGTTTTCGTAGATTGCGTCCGATTCGGGGCAGTGACGCGGGCTTTGAGAGTGCAGTAAGATTACTAGTTTAAGTTAATTGAAATATACGGGGCTGGATCCTGCTGGATCTGCGGTAGTTTTGAAGGACGCCGATCTGCCAGATATCGAGATTGAGTGCGAGAAGTCGAGAACCGGGGCTGGTGGAAGCCTGCGTAGAATTCGAGGCGCGCAGGACGCGTGCAGTTGGCGTGAACTCTCGGAGCTGCTACGACGAGCCGACAGACCGTCGACGGACATGCCGCGGCGAGACCGAGGGGAGACGGCAGGGATGGAACTGTGGGGGGGCCGAAGCGAGCGGTGGGCGGCCGGGATGGCGGGGAGCACAGGACCGGCGAACGTGCGTGAAGTCATTGGACGGAGGAGGCTGAGGGGGCCGCGCAGGCTTCGTCGCCGTCCTCTGCCAGCCCGGGCTCGGTTTCTGACATTGGTATCCCACCTGGTATCCCACAGGCCTGCTAATCATCCTCGCCGCCCAGACGCTGATTGCGCCTCTCTCTCAGTCATAAACCCCACCATTTTCCCCTGCCCCCTTTTCTCTCTCTTCGCAGCTGTACTGTGCCTTCCGGCCGTGTGCCCTCTCTCCGCACCCGTGCCCTGACCCACTCCGCCTCTCCGCCAACTACACAGTCTCCGCCGCAGTCCGGCGTGGTCGGCCTCGGACTAGGTCTTGCGCACACGTCGCATTCCACATAAGTAAGCACACGAACTTTCTCGATGCGCCACCAGCTGCACACCCCGTTCCATTCGCAACCATCCTCGCCGCCTCCCTGGTCTGACACACACACGTCCACAGCCCACTCTTCCCATCCTAGATCCCATCCGCCGTCGCCAGGGGCTCTCTGTGCATCCCACTCGCTCACCCCACCCCACTCGGCCGTCCACAACTGTTCGGCCATTACGTGTCCTTGACTCGTCGTTGCGCGCCCAACGCAAAACCCAATCGCTATTCCGAGCCGAGCGTTCGCCACACATCGGCTCCGACGCGACCGCCTTCGTGGAACCCGCTCGTTAGCTAGATCTATCCGCACCTCTAATCGTCATCCGGGTACACCTTGCCACCTCTACCCACCCACCTCCCTCCGAACCACCACCTGCCACCATGAGCAATAAGGGCCGTTCCACACCTCGCGTCGTCTGCTGCGCTATACCCATTGCCCGTGCCGCCGGCAAGGTCCTCGTCATCACAAGTCGGAAACGGCCAAATAACTGGGTCTGTGAGTATTCGCTCATCTTGCCTGTCATTCCCCCCTGCTACGCCCCTGACGCACGTCTGCTGACCGTCTGCCCTCGATACCCTTCGAACTCCAATTTTTTCGACGTGTCAAGTGCCCAAAGGAGGATGGGAGCCATCGGACGGGGTGCTAGAAGCAGCAGCCTCGCGGGAAGCCTTGGAAGAAGGTCTCACCCTTTGTCCATCCGTCTACCGTCCCCATTCCTGACCATTCGCTTTCCTCGCTCCCCATCCCTGCTACACCGCGTTGTCGCTCGCCCGGGCAAACGCCTCTCTCCCCCTCTCCATGCATCGCGCCCTCGCGTGTGCTCCTATCTCCTTCCTTCCTGCAGCTGGTGTACGCGGCAAAATTACGCGTTTCGTGACGACGATCCCCTCTGCGTCATCGACGTACCACTTTTACGAGCTCGACGTCGCTGACCTCGATGCCGAGTGGTTAGAGAGCAAGGAGAGAAGAAGGGAGTGGGTCGACTACGCAGAGGCGGTCAGGAGGTTATCGTGGAAAGCCGAGCTCGCGCAAGGCTTGGCCCTTTCTACCCTCGCCCCTAAGCGGTGACCGCAGGTGAGCCCGGCGCGGTGGATCGAATAAGAGTTTGATTGGATGATTTTTATGCAGACGACACGTCGTGCGGTCTGAAGCACAAGGACCCAGCGGCTCCGAGCTGCTCATCTCAAAAGTACTTCGCCGTCGGCCGGTCCTCTACCCGCACACCGACACAACAATTCCATGCGCGCCCGTCCTTGAAAGCACCCATCCGTTTACGACGACCACACCTTTCGACAGACACTGACCAGTCCAATTTCCGATTGCTATCGACCCGTACTCGAATACGCATACGTGTCCCAATGTAGAGTTGCCTCAATCTTCCCCACTACAATATGTTCGCTGCCCCAGCTCATCGCGTCACATGCCGATCGTAGCATCCCCCCTGCCGCATCTCGCATCCGTCATGTGAACCATCTTCCTACTGTACACGCCGACGCACATAATGCACCCATATACCTCGCTCTTGGCCCCGCATCGCACTTGCTTTACCGCCATCATAAACAGGGCGTACATGATATCGGTTCGCGTTCGCCATGAGAGCAGCGTGTCTTTGTACATTAGCCCCTCGGGTCGAGAGCACCCCCCGATGTTAGTCCTCCTCTTAGTATAGACCAGATGCCTTCCGTTTTTCTGGATTCAGAGGCCACAGTTCGATGAATGCGCCTGGTGTGCTGGCTGGTACGGACTTTGATACTTACGCGCTGACAGCATCGTAGCGAGCTGCCTGCCCGACTTCGGTGAGATGCTCGTGGCATTTCTTTTTCTCTCCGTGAGATGCTTTCACGTTGCTCACCGTTGATCGTCGGTCACGCAGGTGTCTTCATACCACAGGGTTCGGGCTTCATGGACCCTGGGATCCTCGACCTCCCGGCGACGACACAATCATCCGACCCTGCTTCGTGACGACGATAGACGCCTATCCACGCGCCTCTTCTTGCCACCACCTGCCAACGTTCGTCGCCCCAGTTCCACCCCCCGCCTTCATCGATGTTTCAACGACGCTCTCAGGCCCAGCAGGCGGGTGGTCGAAACCTCCTGCAGCGTTGCCGGCCGGGTGCCTTTCCGAGCGCTTTGCTATCAATTCTTGGCTGGGGCGTCTGGGTCCGGCTGTACGTACGCGCCCAAGATTCATCCGGGGCCACATGGGATGCCGATAATGCGCTCGGCGCGTCGGCGACTCGGCGGACAGCCATCAGCGGCGCCCCTCACAACACCTGGCGTAGCATCAGACAGCGTCCCCGTCCGCCCGCGTGCACGCCCTCTCCTATCAGGGGCCTGTGGCATCTCCTGCGCCTTTATCTTTATCGCCAGCGGAGACCGCGTCTCTCGAACGTACGCACTCGCACTTATCGCCGCGCGGTCCTGCAGGGAGTCAGGGACTGTGTACATAAGTAGCGGCTCGGCGACGCGGTGATGGGAATGGGAGATGGGGTATAAGATGCGAGGGAGCGTGATGCGTGCACGCCGAGCTCGTGCCCAGGACCTTCCTCCAGAACTTCCAGCTCGCTACGCGCGGAGGCAACCTCGCGTCGCCCTCTGCTCGCCTTCCAGCGGAACCATCTCCTCTCCGGCGGAGTCCGAGCGTTGCATACCCGTTAGCTTAGGCACGCAAGAAAGGCACGTCCTGCGGTCTGCCACGCCGCGAACGGTAACACGAAGAAGATGAAGGCGTCATCAATATTCTGGAATTGGTTGTCTGCGACGCTCGTCGCGCTCGTGTCCGCATCGAGCTCGCGCGCGTCGCCGCCGGAGCGCGGCGCGTTCCACTATGCGGCCCACCTCGGGAACCTGTCGCCCTACCAGAAGGCCCCGGTGCCCGGTGGGATCAGGGAGGCGCTCCCGGACGACTGCGAGGTCGAGCAGATCATGCTTGTGAGTGTGGCATACTGTATATCCTTCCTCAGCTTCCTTCTGTATTCCGCGCTCCTCTTGCACGGAGCGAGACCGGGCGCATCTCGCCTTTCCGCTTGTCCTTCTTGCTGCTCTGAACCTGTCGTCGATCGATCGCTTACGATGAACATGCGCGCCCTGCGCCATGGTCGCTGCTACCGTCCGGGTACAGATGCACAGGCACGGCTCGCGGTACCCCCTCGCGTCCGAGCTCGTGTTCGTCACCGAGCTCGTGGCGAAGCTCGGGAACTCGTCCGCCGCACTCAAGAAAGCGCGCCTGCCCGCGAATTTGGAATTCCTCAAAGACGGCTACACGTCGACGCTGGGCCACGACGACCTCACCGCGCCCGGACGACTGCAGCTCTTTGAGCACGGTGTCAAGTGCGTCTGGCCCGTTTTGTGGTGCTTCTGGGTAGCTAATGTCGTGCTTCTCTTTCGTTGTGCCTCGTGCGCGTCGCCTCACCCCGTGCCTTTCTCTCGGTCGCGTTCGACGCTTGCTTCGCGACGATTCTCCTGCCGATTGCGAACGCCCGGCAGTTTCCGCCTGAAGTACCCCAAGTTGCAGGCAGACTCCATCCTCGCGGGCAACCAGGACCGCGTCGTGGAGTCGGCACAGTGGTTCGCGCAAGGCTACTTTGGCAGGAGCTGGGCGACGCTCAACGGCACCGAATTTTCGACCATCGCCGAGGACTCGGTCACGCCATCGTGGATCACGCCCATGAACACATGCAAAAAATGGCAGTACGCCTATGGCAACAACGTGCGTGCGCGCGTCCCGTCGCGTGCGGAGAAGAGGCTTTGCTGATCGCTGTTTCTGACGCCGCAGGCCACCGTCGAGTGGGGCTCGATCTACTTGCCCCCGATCGCGAAGCGTCTGAACAAGCTGCTTCCCGGCGTAAACCTGACGACCGATAACGTACACGGGGCGCTCTACGCGTGCGCGTACGACCTCGCGGCCCTCGGCACCTCCCCCTGGTGCGGCGCGTTCACGCAGAGCGAGATCGAGGACTTCGAGTACGAGCTCGACCTCCTCATGGACGGCGCCTTCGGGTGGAACCTGCCCTCGCCCATGGGCGAGGTGCTCGGCGGCCTGCTCGTGCGGAAGGTCGTCGAGCGCTTCACGAACGCCTCCGGCGCCGCGAAGCCGGCCTACCTCGAGTTCGGGCACGACACGACGATCGACCTCGCGCTCACCGCGCTCGGGCTCGCGAAGGACACCCCGCCGCTCTCCGCGCAGGGCCCGGTGCGGCGCGCGCGCAAGTTCCGGACGTCGACCCAGGTGCCGTTCGCCGCGCAGATGGTGTGGGAAAAGTTCTCGTGCTCGGCGTCGTTCGGGGGCGCCCCGCAGGTGCGCCTGGTGCTCAACGACGCGCCGTTCCCGCTGTCGACGTGTGCGCGGATGGACGCGCGCTACGGGACGTGCTCGCTCGCGGACTTTGTCGCGTCGAACGCGGCGAGCGCGCAGCACTCGTGGGGCGACGCGCGGTGGAACGCGACCTGTGGGAACTAGGGCGGCGTTCCCCGTTCTGAGAGTACATTGTTCGCGTATCTCGCTCCCGAGCACATAAATCTATCATCTGCCGATCGGATAGACTCGTTCAGCGCGTGGTGCGCTGGCTGCTGCGTGGCTGTTCAGGAGGCCAAGCATGCGGCATGTTTGCATTAGCGTCCTCGGGGCTCAGCACCGTCTTGGGCTTGCGACGCGCAAGTGTAAGGCTGCCTTTGGCAAGGGAGGCTGCCTGTCTCTGCTGTCCATCCTATCTGCGCGCGCGGCCAAGCTCGGTGCACGACCAGGGCCTCCAGTGGTTGCATTCGTGCAAATCTCAATAGTGTTCTGACATGGATACGTCTTGAGAAGCGGACCGTGCATGCGCGCGCTTCATCATCTTGACTTGGTTGACGCAAGAGAGATGTGGCACTGGCACTCTGTAGTCCTGTCAGGCGTAGTGAACGTCTCGAGATACATCAAGGAGTGCTATGTGAGATATTCTCACTGGTGGTGACTCGCTGCGCCTTCCTCCGGGTTGCGCTCCACGACCACCGCACGGATGTATGTATCTGCCCAAAATGGTGCCGTTCAAACCACCGAGCCCAACACGCCTTGGTCTGCAGAGGAGCTCCTCGATGTGCCACACGGGCACGCCCACGCTTGCGAGCGCGCCGGTCTGCGCGACAGCTAAGCAAGTCGCTGTCCTGCGGTATCACGGACCCTTCGGCGTTGGTAACACGTCCAAACTAGGGTAAAGTTTGAAAGTCGAAATAATGAACCCGGGGTTTATTACAGTGCTTTGCAAAAAAGATTGCAGTGCGAAGCGCGCAAAATCCTGTTTGCCCCTGTGTGCCCACCCGGGGAAACACCTGCAATGCCGGAAGCCTCTTTGCAGCATGGTCGATTTTCCAGCCACAAACCTACCGGATATATTCAGAAGGTCGTCATTCGGAGGCAAAGAATATCCTCGTGCATTTTTGCAGTAGGAAAGCGGACACGGACTCGAGCACGGCTTTTACGGACGGAGTCCTTATGAGCGTCCGGTTCCCGAAACAGAAATCCTTGCCGTAGCCGACGAGTGACCAAACAGGAGCAAACAGGATTTGCGCGCTTCGCACTGCAATCTTTTTTGCAAAGCACTGTAACAGGTTATTTACATGTTAATTAACGGTTCAAAAGCCCAGGGGTCTATCAGCCCGGTTATATATTGTTCAAGAGTCCAGATGGAGGCAATACATAGGTGTTTGAGCTGGAACCACACACTGCCAAAAATCTCCGTGAAGCACTAGTCTAAGACTTTGCTGATAAGCAAAATATACTAACATCATATGCAACTAGATATGGACGTTAACCTTGATCCGAGGTCCAGCGCCGAGAAGACAAGCAAGAAGAAGCTGATGACGAGCAATTCTTCAGGAATGCCTTGCACATGCTTTTTTGCAACCCGGATAATGGAGACAAGGATTCCGATGATGATAGTGTAGCAGATGGCAAGCCATACTGGAGGGAGAAGGGACGCATTGGCATGGTGATCATCGATGGGATACGACTGTTAATAAACCACGGCGGTGTTAGAAAATGTTCTTAACAGTTAATAACACAAGAGTTAATAACAGTTATTAATCCTGGTTAGAAACGGCCTGCTTCGAGCGCCTGTTCATAACTCTCTGTTCAAAACCGAATCCTTTTCTAACCATACCCTAGTCCAAACCAACCCCCGCGGCTTGGGGCGCCCGACGCTCAATTTTGTTGCCCCTTGCCTGACCGGCCGGGGAGACACGTCATTACCGCGCTATACTCGGGCAGTTCTGCACGGCTCACCACGCCGCGACGTCTGCTATGCGCATCTACGCCGGGGAGGGGGCCATATCGTCGCTGCCGTCCTCATGGCACATCATTTCCTCGGCGGAACGTTCGGCTGACAGGGGGTACCGTGGCCTGCGAGCGAGCGAGTTTGAAGCAAGATGGCGGAGGGGATCGTCAGGAGCGTCAGCGTGTTCTGGTAGGCTTCCTCGGCACTGCAGATACTGTGCAACCGGACTGGAGAATCCGTATCCAGATTCTGTACGAGTATCGAGAAATTTGGTTGTGGTTGCCGGCGAGCGGAGGGACACCAGCATTTTCAACGTTCTAGGACTTCGTCCAGAAAAACAAACACACCAGGACCGTTGACTGCGCGTGGAAGATGGACGAGATCTAGAAGGAACCTTTTGCAGAGATCGGGAGACGAGGCGACCCTGATGCTCGACTCTGGTCTGTCGACGTTTCCGTCAGTGGAGGACTATGTATTGCTTGACAACCGACGTGCTCCGTTCTCAGTCTAAGACCGGTTGGATCAGAGTATCTGGAGGTCGCACATACTTACTTACTTGGGTTTGTCGCACATGTTCGGGTATTACGAGCAGATAGGTGACCTGTGCATTGTGGATACATCGCCCTAGAACGGCCAGTAGCCAGCGATCCGTCATTGCAAAGGGCCGTGGCGCCCACTGGCGCATGGCCAAAGCGGCGCTCGTTCAACCGTCCATTGTCCAATAATGAAGTGCACAATGCCGCTTTGCAAACACGGACGCGGTGGCTTCCATTCGTGTTCATCGCTACAGCCCGCTTAGGGTCCGTTGCTTGGGCGCCGTCTCTGAAACGAGTGAGCGTAGGCCAATAAGCTGGGCTACCGGACGCACGAACTTTCAGAAGCACTATAAATGCCCGCAGCGTCGAAGCCTTTCGACCCTCAGCTCTATCGACCCAACCACTTGACCTCCATGAACTCCTCTTGGCACGAACCATTCTTTAGTTTCGTCCTCCCCGATGGTACGGTCTGGACAGAGCTGGACACCGATGACAGGAAGGCTCTGCAGACGTGCGCCGCTGCACTGAACAGTCTGCTCGACTGGGAAGAACCCCTCTTACGACGACTCGGAGAGAGCCTGAGGATCGCAGGACGCAAGAGGCTCCAGACTAATGAAACTGTGCTTCTACTGGAGATCTGGTGAGTAGCATTATGAATCGCTGAGCCTAGCCAAAGAGGACAACTTACTGATACAACCTGGTGGCGTAGCACACAGAAGCGTAAGTTCCCCAAGCAGGCGCTCACTCTGCTGATAGAGCGGACGAAGGTAAGTGGCCTCACTTGTACGAGCCGCTTCGATATGTGAAACCTGGTCTCGCAGGCCACTTTCACGATGGATTTCGAGCCTCTGGGCCAGGAACAATTCTTCCCCGCGCCGCCCACGGTCATCCCGGCGGTAATCTACGAGACGGCCCCTGTGAGTCAGAGGAACATGCGTGTTGTGGCGGGCAAAGTGTACTCACCAAGCATTCTGTAGTCACCCCCTCAGCGTCCCGTGATGACCTGGATGGAGGCAGTGACGCAAGGCCTGCGCAGGCGTAACGTTCCGAAGAAGCCATGATAACGATCGTTGTGTTTTTGCGAGTGCTCGTTTCTAGTTCTGTACATACGTTTTAGGTCTGCATGTACGCGTGTCGGGTGCTGTGTATCTCCACTTCGGGGATCCACGTTTGTATGCTAGCCTCTGCAGCTGGTCGCGTGAGGCAAATTGGGGCCCTGAAAGCACCAAAATGGTCTCAGGATTGACAAATACTCTTGGTCACGAGGAAAGACGGGTAAACAATCCCCGAATGCCGTCGCCCTGCGTACTACGGTGTGTATGTTCATGTTACTAAAACAACTTGACGTGGACGCAAGAAGGGCACCTACGGCTCCGTATATTCAATGTGCGGGCATCCGCAAGGGACCCGTTTAGGATGATGGTCGGGTCGATGACCGGCGCATCGCGTCGGAGGAGACGAAAGGCCGAGAGGGCAGGATGAGCGCGGGGCCCCCCGGAGATGGCCGGGCGTCTGTATGGAGGAGTGCGGGGAAAATATCACAAGCCTCTTGAGCTGCGGGGTAGATACACTCTTACGGTAACCCCCAATGACCCTCTTCTCGCCTTCAGAGGCCGTCTACCTCACGTCCTTCCTCTCCGCCGTCGACCTCGACTCCTCCATCAGCCCCGATGGCTCCATCGACCCCAGCATTGCTGACAACATCCCCCACATCCAGGGCACGGAGGCCCTCGCCAAGGCGACAAAGGACCTCATGTCACTAGACGTCCCCCTGTCGACAAACCACCACCTAAGCTCATCATATCCCAGCCATCCACCACAGAGCTCGAGTAGTGGACCTAGCTACTGGCCGAGCATACCCGGAACCGAGTCAGGTACGCCGCATCCCCTAGCGTCAGACCATAAGTCGACGAGAACATCAGGCGTCGCCTCTCCCTCCCGCACGCATCCTCGCTACCATTCGTCTCGCTGACTCCTCGCATCCAACAGCACAGTTCAAGGACAGATCAACATTGTCCCCCGGCTCGTCGACCTCCCTGTTCTCCTTTCAGCATCTCTCGCAACCCCATGTCCAAATCGCCCCTTTACGTGGCTTCGAGCACGCACCCTCCTCCTCGGGGCACACACTGCCGCCCATAACGACCTCCAATTACGCCAACGGGCACGATGGCACCCACACGCGCCCCTCCCCCGTACCCCCCTCCCCGTCTGCCCCCTCGGTGCTCGCCAGCACGTCCACGTCCACGTCGACAAAGCGGCCCCTCCCGTCGTCCTCGCAACCAGCCACAGATCCGAGCTCCTCAAAACGCCTCCGTGCCTCCCCGTCGTCCTCGAGCCCCTTCCCCTCGGCCCCTGACGCAGACTCGCCTCCGGGATCCGGGCCCGGTGCCGCATCGGCGACCACGCGACCCCGCCGGACTGCCTCCTCCACTCAGAGTAAGAGTACCCCGGCCCCCTCGCAGTCTTCCAGCGCGAGCAGCTCCGCCAACGGCGTCTCGGGCTCAACAGCAGCAGGAGCCAAGGGGGCGCTGCTGTCGCCCTCGCAGAAGCGCGCGAACCACATCCAGTCCGAGCAGAAGCGGCGGGCAAACATCCGGCGGGGATACGAGTCGCTCTGTGAGGCCGTCCCCGCCTTGCGGGAGGCGATCCGCCAGGAGGACGAGCGCGAGAGGACGAAGGGGCGTGAGAAGGAGCTCGAGGTGATCGAGGAGGCCTCGCAGGCCAACCCCAAAGGCAAGGTGCGCGGCGGGGGCGGCAACGCGGACGGCAAGGGCAAGAAGAAGAAGGGAGGGCGGGCAGAGGCGGAGAAGCCGGACGGGCGGGCGGGCCCGAGGAGCGAGAACGTCGTCCTGCAGAAGAGTGCGTCCTTCACCTCCGTCTTGCTCACTTGCCTGCCTTGGTCCCCTTGCGGCCCGCGGCGCTCTCTTCCTTCTCCTCTCTGTCTCGTGTGCCCATTCTTGTGTGTCCTGTATGCTTATGCGCCATGTTCTTTGCGCCCCCAGCGATCGACTACATCACCGGGCTCCTCGACGAACGCTGCACGCTGCTGCAGCGGCTCGAGCTCGCGCGGGGCGTGCTCCCGCTCGGCCACCCGGCGCTGTCGGTCGAGAGCCGCCATGTGGACCCGGCGACGGGCGTGCCCCTGTGGGAGCGTGAGTGGAACGGGGGCATGGACCTCGACATCTCTGATTTCGTGGGCGCCGGCGCGGATGGAGATGGAGATGTAGAAGCAGAAGAGGAGGGGGGCAGCGAAGACGAGGGCTGAGAGCCGGTGATGCTCGCTCGCTTGCTTTCTCGATAGGGCCCGCCTTGTATTCGCGGGTGCTGTAGGATATCGGCGATGGTGTGCGCGTGGACGGGCGGACGGCGATGCTGCAGCCGCACCACTCGTGGATGCTTTTGGATGCACGCTCTGTTCAAGAGACCTGGTTGCGATGCTTGTTACGACACAGACGTTGAATTCGCCCTGATTCGTGCCCTCCATCCAGACATGGACGACGGTGGATCTGGGAGACGATGCTTCTTTTATATGAATTATGTTAACCTACTATACAGTATACCATACCAATATTTACAATCCCGCTCGATGTGATGTATCTGCGTATCTGCTGTTGCCACATACACACGCGTGTGCAGAATACCCGAAAACAGTGATGCCCGCCAGGATAAGCGAGTGACGTCGGACGTGAGACGCCCGGTCCGACCAAAGGCCCCAGCGCCCGGCGCTCAGATCTCTAGAAGTCGTCGAAGCCCGCGTCCATGTCGAAGCCGAGGAAGAAATGCTGCGAACAATGCGAATGCGCCATGATCAGTGCCTGGTTCTCCCCCTCCCCCTCCCCTCCGGCGAGAGGAAACCGCCGGGAGGCAGTCCCGCACGCACCTTGTAGAGCGACATGACCTTAACCACCCACGCCTCGAGATGGAAGATCTTCTTGTTGCCCACGCGCATGCGTGCCTCCTACGTCACCGGGGAAGAGGAGGAGGAGGAGGCGGTCCGTCCGTGTTTCGGGGCGTGTTCGCGTGTGCGGAAGCGGCGAACGGCGAACGGCGCCAGGGGCGAGAAGGGCGGAAGGAGGACAGGACAAGGGGCAGGTTCAGCGAAAAGACGAACACGCGAACAGACGAGACGGGGCGCGACGTACGTAGATGGCCGCCCAGTGCATGATGTCCGCCTTGAGGGCGTCGTCGACCTGGTCCACGACCTTCTCCGCGATGGTCTAGCAGCGCGGTCGGTCGGTTTCGAGGTCCATCAGCGCCCATTGACACACAGAAGGAGCGCAATTGCAAACAAGGCAGGGAGGGAAGGCGGACGTAGGGGGGTGCAAGAACGCAGGAACGCAGAGAGGAAGGGGGAAAGGGGGGAGGGCGCGCGCACCTTGATGACGACCGAGGGCGGGATGCAATGGGAGAGGAGCTCGTAGAGCTTCGCGCGGACCTCCATCACGCGCGCGGGGGACTGTTCCTGGATGATCATGTCCGCCACCTTGTGGCAGTACGTCTCCCAGTCTGGCTTCGCGATGCTCAGCGCGCTCGAGGACAGATCGGTGCTGTGTGGGTGGGGTGGGGCGAGGATGGGGCGAGGAGGAACGAAAAGTCACGAAATCAGCATGCCGTCATGCGAGTGCACAGAACAGAGCAGGACGCAAAACGGGGGTCCGGCGCGTTGATCGACGGACAATGCGATGCGCGCTGGCGCACCCGCGAAACAAGGCAGACACGAGAGGAAATGTACGCACTTCTGCATCTTGAGCGCCTCGAGGACGAGGAGCGCCTTGCGGACGTTGCCGTTCGCGTCCTGCGCAATGAGCCTGGCCGTGTCGTCCGGGATCGCGAAGCCCTCGCGCTTGCCCACGTAGTCGAGCACAGCCCGCATCTGTGGGCGCAGATTAGCCACTTTTGCCTTTCTCTTTTTCCTTCCACAGCGCCCCCCCCCTCCTGAGCCGCCGAATCAACTTGCCATCACAGATAGCGGCGCAAACATCACATCACTGCGGAGGAGGAGAAGGGGGAGCAACGAGGAGGACTAACCTCTTCCTCGCTCGGGGCGGCTACGCGCATGAGGAGGCAGCGGGAGCGGATGGGCGCGATGAGCTTGCTGGTGCTGTTCGCGCAGAGGATGAGGCGCATGTTGGTCATGTACTTTTCCATGGTCCGGCGGAGCGCCGCCTGGGCGTCGCGCGTGAGGGAATCCGCCTCGTGGATGACGACCACTGCAGATCGCAAAGTACAGCTGTCAAGTCAGTACCGGGCGGCCGACCGGCGCGCGCGCGAGGGGTAGGGGAGACGACGCACGCTTGAACTTTTGCTTCGCGCTGAGGTCGACTTGCTGTGTTTGCGCGATCTCCTTCAGGATCTCTTGGATGACGACTCGGTCGTAATTTCCGACCTCGCTGATGGAAGCATTTTTGTGAGGGAAGCGACATTGCGTGAGCAGTTGGTGGAGGCTCACCTTGGGGTGATCTCGATGTGGAAGTTGCTCTGGACGATGTTGACGTCGAGCTTGCGTTTTGTCGGGGTGAGGAAGACACGTTGGTCAATTTTGAGCTTCGGTAGCCGACGGGGACATGTTCCACATCGTGATTAGGACCCCAGCCTGCGCTCTAGAGGACAAACACGCACCTTCTCTACGCCTTTGCCAAAGAGCTCGAGCAAGGTGCCCGCTATCCTCGTCTTCTTGCCGGCGCCCGTGGGCCCATAGAACAGCATGTGGGGGAAGTCTCCCGAGGCGGCCTGGATGGAGGTTAGTGGGGCAGAGAGGGAGGGAGTGGAAACGTACGAGAGCCTTGAGGCGTGCAGAGAGGGCATGGTGGTAGTGGAGTTGGTCAAGAGAACGGGGCCGATGCTGGAGAGGGCTGGGTGAGAGGAGTGAGATGAGAAGTGGAGGGAGAGAGACACACCTTGTCTACCCAAAGGGACATGGCTGGCGAGGACAGAGACTGGTGGCAGACGCGGTCGACGTTGCCACTAGTCCGAATCGCTCGGAATGCGCGTCAGACGCGTCCGTCACCCCCGTGACATAACGCGTCTCGCTTGTCGCCCTGTGTTCCCACGTTCCCCAGCAGCGTCACTCGGAATCACATAATTAATCCAGCAGGCTCGATTTCCTGAAGACAAATCTTGATTTTCCGTCAGATAAGAGTTACCGATCGCGGGCCTTGAGGCAGATATCGCGGTCACGGCCTTCATCGCAACTTACCCGCGCGATTACATCACGTCGCAACTTGCGCTCTGCCCGCAACAACACGCACACCGTCGCTGCATCCAGCCATCGTCTACCACACGCCATGCCTCCCAAGCCACGGCGGACAGAAATCACACGATGTAAATGCAAGCACCAATGCTCCAAGAAGACTCAAGGATGGGACTTTGTTAGCAAGCAGACCGCGACAAAACCACGCGCGCATTGATCGCCAACTCGCGGCCGCACAAGCTGCTAGCCAAAGTGCCGCCTTTCAAGTTGAGACTCACAATCGAGTCCAGCGAGGCCCCGGAGAACCTTTGCACAGGGTATATGCGCCAGTCGCGCGCGATCTTCAGTCCGTTACCGCCTGCAGCTTGAGCCATAGTGGCGCGATCTCTCGGTGAGTACATCTTCAATGGTGTCTGATGGTCTCAACAAGTTTGACGCGCGTTGTGGGTCTTCGCCTTGACGTTGTCGATGGTATCGGAAGACTCAACCCCGAGCGTGGTGTTTTTCCAGTAAGACTCACGACATTTTCGTCCCTCAACAGTGCTCCCACTCCGGGCAATGCATCCCAACCTTCTTCGCCAGTGCTTGATGATGATCCTGCCTCCTCTGGGCCTGGGAACGACTTGGGTGGCTCCGTCAGCTCTGGTTCTCCTCTGGGATTCGAGAGCGCCGACGCGGCTACAGGAGGGCAAGACCTTGTTCTGGCGCTTGACGTGCCTGTATCTGTGGATTCCTCTCCTTCCACTGCAAACACGAGAGTGCTGTGAGACAGACTGAACATACATGAGTCTCCTTGTCTTCACCACGCCGCCCCTGTATCCACAATGATTTTCTCCTGCATAAAAGTCCCGTCATGAGCCATCTTGCCTCTCGTCTCAGGCTGCCCCAACACAGTGTACCTCCGCGCAAAAGCCGTCTGTTTGGAGCGATACGGCCGTAGCAAGGAGACTGCAGTTCCAATCAGTGATGCAGCGCGTCTGCACCAAGTTAAGCCTTCGCATGTATTTCCCGTTCGCATGACTGCCGATGCTGATCCGAAGTCAGCCTCATGGGCTCCGCTGCTCCTCCAAGCAACTGTCTGTTGTCCCAAACAAAGCCCATCAAGTGTAAGGGCGGCGGTCGCCCTTAGCACGATGCAGCTTGGTGATGCACACAGATACCCGCCGGTGAGGGAGAAACAAACTCTTGTTTATCCTGCCTTTTGGCGTGACGGCTTCGGCCGCCGTGTTCGAGCCCGTCAGATACATGAAGCTCTGAAAACACCATATCATCCACGCCGCGGCGCGTACACACGCCAATGACCGCTGTGCATGACCCACAGATGACAGAGGGCGTTCCGGGACTGGTCATGTGGCCGAAAGATCCCAACGATGTTCCGGTAACCACTACTGCTATTTTTCCCCGTCGCAGAACCTGCTTGCCCACACTGCGCGTTCTTGCAGGTCAAACCTTGCAGTTATCAGCACATCAGCTTGCTCGCCTGCTGCCGGTTCTTCCCACTCTGCCCCCACGCCGCCGGTTTCTATCGATAGTGGTCGTCCAAGCTTGACTACCGCCGCGTGGTCAACTCGGTCTCAGCGGGCTGACGGCTTCAACTGAGTGACCCCAGCCAGGTGCACTCCGAAGTCGAACGGTTGGCGCGATAGACGATCCGCGCAAACAAAATCGGTCGAGACAAGGTAGGCCCTCGGGCGACCGCAGACCGGCGGGTGGCAGCGTCCGAGTCGGTGACCAGCTTGGGATACAGGACAACCACGCGCCGGGGACTCGTGTGGCGCTTCAGCTGGGCGGTGAGCTGAGCTACTTTGCGGCGGAGTGTTCTACAGTGCGTCGTGAATCTTTTGAGCAGCCGAAGACCCCCGTCTCTATACGATGTAATGAGGCCTTGTCTCACTTCGAGGTTGCGACGAATTGTTCGGCCTTGTGCCATCTAATCTCGACCTGCCCGCGACTGACGCACGAAGCTCCGTTTCCGATGATGCCGGCCCAGGTCCACGGCAATTTTGTGGGGATGCTACCTTACATATCTTGTGGGGTACATTTGTCCATCCTGTGCAATCCAGCAAACACAGTACGCTGATGAGCTTCGCTGATCTTCGCGCTCTAAGCCTGACCGCAGAGCGGCGATGGGCCAACACATTTCTCGCAAAGTTACGTACCGCTTCGCCGCGCGATGCGAAAGACAATAGCTTCCTATCAATGCTCAACAACTAACCCGTCAAACTGGTGTTGTTAGGTACTACTGCACCCTAACGCCCGGCTGCGCGTGCGCGGCGATATCAAGAATTGACGTGCGCCCGAGCCACCAGCGAGAATCCGAGCTGTTGTCGATGTTCGTGGGACGCCGTGGGAACGATCTTCTCGGCCCCCACGTGAGACCGTGACTCCCGCGACCGACGCGAACCCAAAGGCTTACTTCCCCATATAGGCATGCCACGTTGTGGTTTGACATAACATCACCGCCGGGTCGTCCTTCTGCACTAGTAATAGAGCGGACTCCGTTGAAACTTGAAGTCGAGCACGTCTCTGAGCTTGGTCTGTCCGGTGGTTGCATCACCCCGGTCTGCGCGCCATCATCGTCCGTCACACCACCGTTGTACGGCGTGCGGCGAGCCACGCGATGTGGACCCGGCGAACGGCACAATCCTGCATTGACGTTTCATGGGGAAGCGCAAACTCGTCGTTGTCTGATTTCCAATTTGTCATTTTGACTGACGTTGCCCGCGCCTACCTTAGCCGGGCCGCGGCCTGGAGCTCATGGGATCGCACAGGATCGCACTAGTAAACGTTATTTGCCGCCGGCTAGTGCGAAGCTGTCAACATCTCGATGCTTTCAACAAGCGGGTACACCGTGCAATGTCGGCATGGAATGGTCACTAAAGGTCACAATAGACCTGGTAGCCCCGAACGAACGAGAAGCAATGAGGAGAGTGCTGGACGTAATGCCTCCTCCCCACATTCTTCAAAAACCCGAAGGTTCTGTCGCCGATCTTCGATTCCCACTGTGCAATAACATCCGTGTTCCTGATCTGACAGTTCAATCAGGCCTCCCGGAGTCCCTCCCTGCTCATGCTGCAACCCCGTTCACAGCCATGCAGATGAGCGGATACCAACGACTATGTGTTCGAAGCACATGCCGTGCTCCCTCGAGGCATCCGTATCCTGGTCTTCGTCAATGAGTTGGCCGTCGGGTAGTTGCGAGCTCCGCACCACTTAACGACTGCATCTGGCAGCTAGCTCCGGCCACGAACATAAATCGTAAGTGAACCCCACCCAGTCCTCCACAAACACGAGGCCTCTGCTAATTTCTACTCGCTTGCGCCCAGAGCCAGTCCTCCGCTTTAAACACGCCACTCGTCCTGGGATTCGCGATGTCGCCATCCCCTCTCAACCATGGACCTGAATTTGCTCGCTCGCTGCCCGAGCTTGACTTTAGCGGCATCTCATATGCACTCTCTCCGGCGAATCAACCGCCGCCGACCCCGCGCTATGCCGTCCTCTCCTGGGAGGACGCACTGGCGTCCCATTTCCACGGGTGGGATCCACGGATATACTCGGATCCGCTCGTGTGCACCCCAGCAGGCCTCGAGCCCTTCTTCGCCAACGAGTTCTACGACCCGAGCCTCGCGGCCTTCCCTCCGATGCACGCGGAGGGGCCGTCAGCGGAGTGGCCGGCGGCCCATGAACGACAGGCGAAGGCGGAGGAGCTGCCGCCGCCCGGCACACACTCCTCGGCGAGCGTGCTTCTGCACCAGCCGTTCCCGCACCACCAGAACGACGGCTCGTGGTTCGCGAGTCGCGGCGGGACGCCGGTCGGTAACCACTCGTTCGGCGTCGAGCTCTACTCCTCCGCGCCGTCCTCCCCGACGCCCGTGGACGCGGGCACCGCGACGCCGACGCCCCGCACACGCCCGGCCATAGCCCTCGACCCGACGCAGCCCCTGCGGGTGGACGGGAAGCCGCGCGAGCGCGTCTACGCCGCATGCGAACGATGGTGAGTCGGTAGCCGTCCGCCCTGTGCGCTCTCTCTGCTGGGTCCACTTGCTGACCCGCGCCCGCCGACAGCCGCGTACGAAAGCTGCGGTGCGACGGCGCCCAGCCGACGTGCTACAACTGCAACAAAGCGAAGGACAAGGGCGTGAAGTGCGTGTACCCGGTGAGCCCCCCGAAGCGGCGGGGCGCGGACAAGGGACAGCGGATCCGGTCGCCCATCGGTCAGCGGCAACGGCGGAAGGGCGTGGTGGGGGGTACGGGGAAACGCAGGGAGCGCGGGTGCGACGTCGGTGCGTCGGGGGACTCCGCCACCGAAGGGTCGAGCTCGGTGCCCGGCACTCCCGACGATTAGACCCAGGGTACCCGCCGCCAATATGCGTCGCCGATACTTGGCTTAGTGGGCATATTGTTTCAGGGGTCGGAGAGCGTTTGGGTACGCTTTGGGGCCCTTTCTTTGCTTCGCGTGTTGTCGCGGTGGGGGTGGCGGAACTAGGTGAACAGACGGTTCCTGTGAGAATTGTCAGACCTGGGGATCGGCCACCTGGAGAGCTCCGGGAAAAGTATGTGGTACGATATGCTTCCCACCTCATATCCGTATGTACGCCAGCTATTTCGATATTTAATGTACATTTGATATAGTAGATCACCTCTCCCGTGTCGAACAGACTAGCGAGTAGCATACACCGCACGATGTGTCTGCAAAAAGAGGGGATGAGTGGCATTTAGAACACTCAATGACACTCCCAATGTTAGTGAAAGGGATTAGCTCTAGAGACAAATTCCACTTGTCCGCGTCAAACGATCCCCACGGGCGTTCGCCGTGAAACGACTGAAAAGGCAGGTGGATTACCGCATGCGGCAAAGATCCTACTCCTTGGTCGATGATGTCATGTGTCCGGTCATACAGAAGTGTCGAGCAGTGGCCACTGGCGGCGTGTGTACAGGTATATATTCCCTCTCTCGGGCAGCACCATCCTCCATCTTTCGCCCTCCAACCATGCCTGGACACAAAAGTCTGATTCGTCTACAGGCTGCTAAACAGGAGTACGACTGGGGCAGACAAGGCAGCTCTTCGCTCGCCGCTCGCCTGGGGGTCTGTGCATTTGGTCATGGGTTCCAGCCCGAAGAGAAGAAATACTACGCGGAGGTACGCTGCATCGCACACTTCGTCCACATATGGCATTCATGATTGGGACAGATTTGGATGGGCACGCATCCAAACGGCCCGGCCAACATCTTCGACACTCCCTCTATCTCCCTGCTAGACCTCATCCGCAGTAACCCCAAGTACTACCTGGGAGAGAAACTGCTGACGAAGTGGCCAGCGACGATACACGTCCCGTACCTCTTCAAAGTGCTGTCCATTCGGAAGGCACTTCCTCTCCAGGCGCACCCCGACAAAAGCCTTGCTGAGCAACTTCAGCAGAGAGATCCCAATAACTTCGTCGATGCCAACCACAAGCCCGAGATCGCAGTCGCAATCGGGGAACCGCTTTGTCAGACGAGGGCAAAGCACGGCGAGGAAGGGAAGACGAAGCTTGGAGGTCCGGAGGTCGAAGACGCGGACACTGCGTTCACGGGGTTCGTCGGGTTCCGGCCCCTCGAAGAGATCAAGACGTACCTCGAACACGTCCGAGAACTCACATCCGCCATTGGTGATCCCGACGTCATCACCAGATTCACCCAGAACCCGTCTAAACAGACTCTCAAGCATGTGTATGGGAAGCTCCTGAAGCGGGGAATCGAGGCGCGAAACGAGGTTGCTGCCGCGATCGAGAATTTGGCCGACCGAATCAACCAGCAGGCTGCGTACGATCTCGGGTTCCCGGATAGTGAGACGCTGGCCCGGCTCGTGGTGAAGGTGAACGCGCAGTATCCTGGCGATGTCGGAGTGCTAGCTACCACGTTCTTCATGAATCTGGTGAAGCTGAGGAAGGGGGAAGGCATTTACATTGGCGCAGATGAAGTACATGCATACCTTGAAGGAGGTACGTGTATCTGGACGTTGTGTGCATTTGCACCAGCTGATGGATGACCTAGATATCATCGAGTGTATGGCAACATCCGACAATGTCGTCAACGCGGCGTTTGATTCCCCGGAATCGCTTGCGCCCCAGGTAGACACGTTCATCGACATGCTCTCCTACACCGCGCGTCAGGCCTCCCACTGGGCACTTCCGGCACAGGGCTATCAACACAGCCGACGCCATCGCACGGTGAAATACGATCCACCGTTGGAGGAATTCACGGTCCTCGGAACGTTCCTTAGCGCAGCCAATGCTAAAGAGGAGACTCTGGACGCCGTCGAGGGTCCAACCATCGGCATTGTCACCCGAGGAAGACTGAAGGTATCATCGACACCGAACACAGGAGGTGCTCAGGACAGCTTGGAGCTGGATGAGGGTTGCGTTGTGTTCGTTCCACCAGGACAAGAAATACAGGTAGAGGTGTCAGGTGAATGTGGCCCCGAGGGAGCCGGGGAGATGTGGTGGTCGCTGTGGGACGCATAAGGAGACACTGGCGAGAAGGAAAGGCGTACCATTTCCGCAGGATGGCCTGTATCATAGTCACACGCAAACAAATAATGCGACACTGACGTTTCACGCACGATGATACACTCCTACAACATACTAGACCAAACACCACGAAAATCATTCAGACGTACAGCCACTTTCCGCGTCCAGAAGCCCATTGAGGTAGCTCGATAGTCGACACGCTCTCGAAGCGCCTACGAATGGTCGTCGGGAGCCCGTGCGCACCGTTCTCTCTGTTCGGGTCGGGAGTAGCCGGCGGGGAGAGAGGCGGTGAGTCCTCATCCTCTTCGATCGCGATTTCGTCGTAAGGGGAGAGTATACCGAGCCCTGAACCGCCGACAGCGGTCACGTAAGGCTGGTAGCCATCCGCGAGAAGGGAGGAGATGAGTGCCTGAAGCTTCTCATCCTGGAAATCTGCGAGAGGGGGTCTCGGTGAGCAACAGCTTCTTCAATAACATCCGTGGAGACTGACCATCGGGGACAAGGGTGACAGCGCAGCCGCCGCCACCAGCGCCTGTGAGTTTAGTGCTGAGGCCATAAGGTGTGGAAGAAGTCTTCAAGCGGATAGCCTCGAGCGAGGGATGGGAGACACCGAGCTGAACAAGATGAGCGTGGTTCTCATCGATCAGTGACTGTGGGGTGAGGTGAGGAGAGGTGTCTAGTCAGCAAACAATCCATTGCTACAGAAACGTTTCGTGTGTAGACGCACCGAGAGACCGGTGAGCAGAACGTCACGGGGAACATCCGGGTCCGCGAGTGCGCGGCGCGCCTCGTTGCTGATCGCCTGGATGGCGTCGAGCAACTTGCCCACGGTCTCGGGCTCCGCCGCCTTCTTCCGCGCGACGCCAGCGACGAGCGCCTTTGTGTCCCGCGGCACCTTGGAGTCGACCAGCAGGAACTTGAGGCTCTTGAAGCCCTGGATCTGGTCCATGCCACTGCGTTTCCCGAAGCCGGGGCGGACGTACGCGAGCGCGCCGCCGTAGACGGCGACGGAGTTGTCGACGCCGGAGGGGTTCCCGTGCAGGACCTTCTCTGCGACGAACGCCCAGCGGTTGGTCTCCTCGGCAATTTCGGGAGGGATGGCGCGGCGGCCGCCGTGCGGGATGTGTATGTGGCCGGGCTCGCCCGGGGCGGCGGATCTGTGAGTTGGCGGGGGGACGGCGGGTAGGTCGATACGGCCATGGAGGATGAGGAGCGCAATCGCAACACAGACTGAGAAGGACGCAGAAGACCCGAGGCCCGCGCCGATGGGGAGAGTGGCGCGGCAGACAAAGTGGAAGGATGGCCTGCGCGAATGATCAGCTGAGTGCTTCCACAAGGCTCCGATATACTGACCTATCAGCCCCGGAGGTCATCATCATGTATAGGTATAGGAAGGCGATAGCAGCAGACTGGCTCTTGGGAGGCGTCTCCGGAGGAAGAGCCCTCGTCTTGATTGCATCGATGACCCGCTGATCGAGCACCTCAGGGTGCTCTGAGCCCCTCGGTATGGGAACGACCGCGTCCCAGGGTAGCTCGTCTATATCCCATTCATGCCTGTAGTCGTCTATGTCTGCAAAATGCACTGAGAGTCTGCCGTCGTGTCGAGGCGACGTAAGGCCATAGCAGCGCAAGTCAAGGGAAGCCGCCACGGCGGTCTACCGGCATGTGTGAGAAGCATTCAATGATAAGCGCATACATCTACTTACGACTCCATGAACGACAGCATGTTCCCCGAACAGGATGACCTTGCCCGGAGCGCTGACGAACCATTCCCGGTCGTCTCGCGGCCGAGCAGTACGGGCTTCGCCAAGCGCCAGCTTCTCAACAGCCCGACTAATGGGAACGGCAATACGAACATAGTCGTTTGCCGCATATGCGATTGCACCGGCATCTATCAGGGCGTGGCGGAGATCATCCAAGAGATCCGCAGGGTCTTCGATTCCGACGCACAGGCGGATCAGATCCTCGGGGAGACCCCGAGCAGCGCGAGTAGCGGGGTCAATGGATGCGTGTCTGAGACGAGTGTCGGTAAGTGCTTAACCAAACTAAACGCATGCAATATGGCTGTGGACGGTACTCACGACATCACACAGGGCATACTGATGAGACTGTTCACGCAACCAAAGCTAACACTTATGCCCCAGAGGTGAGTGGCCGCGACGATACGCTCGCTCAGTTCTTTATCGCCGGTCTCAAAGGAAAGGACAGCACCATAGCCTATGAGAATGGAAGTTCACCTGTCAGGAGCACCATCAACAAAGTACGTATTTGGCAGCGCACCTTCAGAAATCCGGTCATGGATCTCCTTTCCGGGGTGGTTCGGCAAGCCGGGGTAGTGAGTGACGAATCCAAGCTTGGACAGCATTTGGGCAACAAGCATGGCAGTGGACTGTTGACGGTCCATACGGATGGCCAGCGTCTTGGTTCCCCTCAGCAGCAGGAAGGAATCGAACGGCGAGAGGGCATTTCCGACCGAATTTATCACGAAAGCAATTTCCTAAGCGTTGTGCGTAAACGTTACTGCAATGAAAAGCTCGACTATGCGCCTACCTTAGCAATGTCATCGCGGTTGCAAGTGATAACACCGGCCATGAGATCATGGTGGCCACTCAAATACTTGGTTGCGCTATCATAAACAATATCCGCCCCATGTTCCAAAGGCCTCTGCAGATAGGGACTCATCATGGTGTTGTCGACCACGACGATCGCGTCCTCGCATTTCTCCTTCACCAACGCACTGATCCGCGCAATGTCCACGATTTTGAGAAGAGGGTTGGTTGGGGACTCGAGGAGCACCATAGCCGTCTTGCCGGGGTTGAGGACCGGTATCACGGACTCAGCGGCAGTGGTGTCAACATGGTGTACGGTGACGCCCATGTGCGCGCGGAGGTAGGTGAGTAGACGGTTCGTTCCGCCGTACAGATCGTCGCCTGCGACGACTTCACACCCGGGCTTGAGCAGGCGCGTGATAACATCGAGGGCAGCCATGCCACTCGAAACCGCGAAGGCATGGGCGGCGGAAGAGATTTTCGCAATGTGATGCTCTGCGCACGTCAATCAATACATTGTTACGACGAATCGTGAGACTTCGACGGCTAGCCCCGCTCGAAGCTAAGTTTTGTCTCAGAAGATCGTCTCGGAGACAATGCGCCCAAATCAGGGCGCACCTGAGACCATCTGGACGGCCCATCGCGCAGAATCAAGGGCTATTGTCGCTTCCAGACAGCCTTCAAGTGCACGAATGCAATAACATACCTAGGTGCGTCCTTGTGGGGTTCCCACTGCGCGTGTAATCATACTGGTTTCCGACACCCTTGAAAGTTGCGGTCTGGTAGATGGGGACGCTAGAGCTGCCATGCTGGTCCTTGTGGTCGGCATCTGGAGAGTCGACGGTGGCACAGAGTGTCGAGAAGCGGTAGGGCTGCCTGGAGTGAGTCAGAGAGGGGGATTCGGGCTCCGGAGTGGGCAGATCATAGGCGGGCGCCTTCTGAAGGAAGCTGGTCGCGGCCATCGTCTGCGGCCAGAGAAGAAGTGGATCAAGGGGTCCGACGGAGAGAACGTGAGCTTATATGCGAGCCAGACGTCGACCAAGATTTTGGTTTTCGCAAGCTGGGACCCAGCTGCAGTCGGGCCACTCTCTATATCCCTACATCACGTGCACCATCATGTGCAACGATCGCGCCATGCACCCAGGCGCCCGTGGCTTAACCTCCATCGCAGCGGTGTTCACAAGATTTATGTACAGGTCTTACACCGGCACGCATACAGACCCCGTTTGAAATGGTGGACCTTCATACTGTATAACTTGTTCATATGTATGTTGCTAGACGCAGACGTAATAGCAACAGTAGGTCATGAGATAGGTCCTTGCAACCTCTGTATAGTACAGCTTCTCTCATGACATGAAGTGTAGCGTCTCAGAGTGTTCCGAGATGAGGCTTAGACATGATCAGGTCCCTCAGAGTAACCAGACAGACATGTGCATTGGGATGTGAGCGAAAAATACATTGATCTGGTCTAGATAGAAGGTGTCCATAGCAATAAACAATAAGAGGTGGATGATAGAGCGAACCTTAGGAGCTACAGTGATGCGATGTCATGCCAGGCTGCAATGAAAAAGATACGATGCAGAAAAGACATTGGACTCAAGCGCATTAGTGGCGAGATAGATATAGTGTAAGTGGAGAGCGACGCCTAGTGGTATGCGGTAGGGAGGGAATGGGAGCTAGTTTGGGGATCGGCCTCGACTGAGAATGAAGGAAACCAACTGATGGGGGACTACTTGTGGAGAGCGACAGGACGACGTATTGAGTGTTACGAGCGACTATATGATGCAATATGTACGTGGATTTGGTGGTGGTAAGCGGCGAAACCAATATGGATGCAGTGGAGATGCGACAACGTGCGAGGAACACCACCGGGCTATCCTACATGTGCGTCCGTTCATAGGTGGCGGAATAAACGTCAGGACACCCCCAGTTTCTGAAACATGGAATCAAGCGTCTTGAATGCAACGGGCTTGACAAGGCTGAGTTCCTCAACGTTCAGAGATGGTCATTCGATAGAATAGGTTGGAAAGGACTCACTATCCATCAACACCCGCTTCGAACGCTCGTCGCTTATCTTCGAGAGAGGACATGCCCGTCAGGGCCAAGATACGGGCAGGATGAGGCTCGGACTGATTCGACTGGCTGCGCTTCGATTCGATCTCCCTCATTCGTGCAGTTGCACCAACGCCGTCCAACACGGGCATAGACAGGTCCAGGAGTACGACACTGGGGAGCGTACAGTCAGTGCTATGCCGAGTCTCAACCAGGTGTCTACTTACTCGAAGGGTCCATTCGACTCAAAGGTCTGGACCCCTTCCTGGCCGTCGACTGCCTCGCGGTATTCGTAGCCCTGAACATTTCAGTTAATGTCGCTATACGTACCTAATGAGCTGAGCCATACCATGTTCCGAAGCCATTTGATACTAGCGGTGAAGATGAGCTCACAATTAGCATGGCAGGCACACGGCAGGAGAGGAAGGAGAACCCACAGCAAATTCCGCAAGATACTGTTGTCCTCTACGACAAGCACTCGCAACGCTCCCTGAGGCGCAATGGTCCCGATCGACGACTTTAGCAGCGTACCGCCTGTTCCCACAGAAATAGTCGGGCTGGAGGGCATCTGCGAGAGCTGTGGCGAGCTCAGCGTTGACTCTGGTTCGAGCTCCTCCTGCTCCACCATCGAAGGCATGTACTGCCAGCTTGTCAAGGGATGGGCGGTCACTGCTCGGGGGCCGAGAGGCGGTCTCTGCGCAAGTGGCTTGAATAAATCTTCTCCATTCGTCTCCTCCGAGTATCTTCTTGGCAACGGTATTGGCTCGGGGCGGTCGAACGAGTTCGATCTTGAAGGAGAGCCGGGGCGAACGATGGTACTTGTAGATGTACTCGTAAGTGAGCTCTTCCCGATGTTCAGGGCATGCAGGGACAGCTTCAGAGCCGCGACGAGCCGGCATGGGCCGACAGGCTTGTACACGATCCTACAGAAGCCACCGACATGCTCGTACTCGTTGACGATGGCCATCAACCGAGGGTCCCCACGTGCGGAGGAGAGGATGATGAAAGGCCTAGAAGCGTCCTTCTTCTCGATTGCGAGCGTCACCGGTGTGGGATCCTCATTCACGATGACGATGTCTCCCATTTCGCCGTCCTCGGCTAGAGGTAGATGCCAGTCGTTCACGATATACTGCACGAGGACCTTCCGAAGAAGCTGGACGCCCCGTATAGTCTCATCGAATGCCAGCAACGAGATCGTGGGTTTGTGCGTATGATCTAACAGCTTCGCGAGTTCGGCGTACGGCGATGCGGAGTCGCTGGGGCTTTCCACCGCTTCGGCGGTGAACGTCACTTTGATCTCGGTACCTACGCCTTCGACGCTCCATACGTCTACTTTGCCACCTACGCTAGGCGATCGGACAATGCTGTTGACGATAGCAAGTCCCAGCCCTGTGCCTGTCTGGAGTGGATTCTCCTGCGAGAAAGGATGGAAGAGCTGATTCTGCGAATCGGAAGGTCGACATTAGCTAACACCAGGGCGCACGGAATCAAAACACTCCGACCTTCAGGAAGTGTTGGCTAATACCCTACAATAAGCGTTTCAGTCTTAGCTGCCTCATAGCGACATTTTGAACGCGACACCCCACCTTTCCCGTGTCTAGGACCGCGAGTTCTATCTTGACCTTCCCAGGCGGAGTGTCCCCAGAGTTAGGCAGCTGCCGCAGCAAGACATGCACGTATCCATCCTGAGTACAACGAAACCATCAGTCAGCCATCATAGATACACATCAGCCTTGAGTAACCTACCGATGTGAACTTCAGACTGTTCCCGAACACGTTCATGAGCACGCGACGAATACCGCCTTTTTCACAACGGAACGTCCATCCCTAGAAAACGCAGTCAGGTCATCAACGTACAGGACCTCATCTTTGCTGACATGAACGTACACTGTCTGAATGGCCGATATCGATCACAGTCTCCACGTGCTTATTGCGGTTTGGCACGCTGGAGGTATGCTGATGTTTCGGAGGAGAATATACACTTCCGATCTCACTCGTAAACATCCGCGCGCGGTGGCCAATCCAACAACCCTCGGTCGCCTCTTCAATAAGTTGCATGAGGTTGACCCTGCACGCGACAAGATGTAACACCATCGTTCAGTCAGCTGTCGGGCTCTTCCTTGCCGATCAATGCGGTGAACGACACGTACCTGCTGAGATGAATGATGTTCTCCACGCCTCCGGCCTTGGCGTTCCCACTAAGTTTCGTGAAGTCCAGGACATGGTTCACGGTCTCAACGAGGGATGTCCCGCACGCCTGAACGGTCTGCAGAAAAGATGCCTGGCTGTGGTCCAGCGGCGTCTCGGCGAGTAACTCCGCCGATGCAAGAATCTGTATAGAACGTAAGATGTGCTGCAACGATCATATATCATAAGCACTTGTCTGACGCACGCCATGTAGAGGTGTCCGGAGCTCGTGCGAGATGCTAGATGGACGTCGGTTAGCACCAAAATTGACGTCAAAAGGGGAAAAAGCCCACTTCGAGATGAACAGGCTTTTGGCCTTGTCAGCAAGTATCATGCGACGCTTGAGTACGGCAGACAATATGATGACACCTGTTATGGTTTAAGCCCTACACCTTCGCAAATACTCCCAAAGTCGCACTAACCTATTGCGCGCAGATACGAAAGCTCATGGCCCTCGAGCTTGCGAAGATGTCCCACAATCAACATGCCGTTGTCAATGATTTCTAAGGTACGAGAAGCACTTACGAAAGGCGTCGTCCGTTCGCCCGTACTATATGCGCACAGCAGTGCGAAAGGACGCTTGTCGATATTGTAAATCGGTACCGCTGTCATCGCGACCGCGTCAATACCGCTCTCACGGCCCAGCGTGGCGCATTCTCACCTAGCACATACTGTATTCTTGCCGGCAAGAACGGTTTCAAGCTCGGATGCACGATGCCTTCGCAGACCTTGCCTTCCGGATGCTTCATAAAGAACTCTGCAAGCTTGCGGTGCTCCTCCTTACTCAAGCTCCGACTCCGGGATTCCGACCGCGAATCGGCGTCGTGCAACGTGAGCGACACCGACGACTCCGCGCCGACCGTCTCGAGCACGTCGACATGGGAAACGTCCATCACGATCGCGCCCTCTACATCCAGCGTGCGCTTGACCAACTTCGCTGCGCGGGTGTAAATCTGCTCCATCGACGTCGATCCTGGTTGCGGCATCTCAGGCTTCTCGTCGTTGACGTGCTTGTCGACCTCGAGGCATTCCCGGGTGAACTGTTCCATGGAACTCTGGATACGGTCCCGTATACGGAGTTGGATTTTGTCCTTCCATAGCTCCATTTCACGCATTGCAACTTGCTAAGGCGATCATGAGCATCCTGCATGGTGCTCACGGCGGGTGGACTTACCGCGAACTCTTTCAGCGTATGCCTTTGTCTTGGACTGAATTCACGCCGGGGGGTGTCATCCATGATCGCGAGGCTGTGGCGGCAGAGATGAGTCGGTGTATGCGCAGCTCACGACGACATACTCACGTTCCGATGTTATAACCCTCTTGCGTCCGTAGCGGGCAACCTGCGTAAAAGCGTATGCGCGGGTGGCCGATGACGAGTGGCTAAACGTATGATTAAGCCGGATAAGCACAAACGAAAACATCATCCTCGGGAGATGAGAACATACATTCTGAGAGAAGCGCCAATCCTCCTGTGCATCGAGGACTATCGTAGGTTCGTCGTCCCTACGGATAATGAATACGTCACCAGCATACGTGTGGCGAGAGTTACTCACGGCTGCAGGATGGCATGGGCACATAACGAACTCGACCTCGGCATACTGACACATCCCATCCCGGCTTTGCTGCCAGTCAGCATCCCCATTTCGTATCAAAATCATACGAAGCACTTACATTCCGACTTCAAGAACCTACCATGAGCACGCGCAGTCAGCACACCCAAACACGAACAATCGCAGGAGAATCACACTCACTGTTCCGTCCCGTCAATCAAAGACATGATGACAATACGGGTGTTGAAGACGAGCTTCACGAGGTGCGCAATCCGATCGAAGTTCGGGTCCGGTCCAGTGCCCCAGATGTTGTACTTGTACAGCGCCCTCCGCCGCTCCAGCTCGTTCGGCGGGTTCGGCGGAGCGAGGTACCCCAGCTCCAGGAACATCTGCTCCTCCTTCGCGGCCCGCCCGGCCAGGTTGTTCAACTGGCTCTCTTTCGCCAGCCGGGTGGCCTTCAACCGCCGCTCATACAATGGCGCGGTCGGAAGGGGCGCACTCGTCTGGCGTGTCAGGCATATCCTCCGAGGCAGCGCGGGGGCGCTCTGCGGATCGAATACGAATGGAGGCGCCGAAGTTTGTCGCGAGGGGTCCCCCACAACTCGAGGTACAGGGGGAGCTGGAAGAGCAGGTACCGTCGAACGGTCGGATTGGGAGAAGCTGCTGTACCGGGAGGAGTCCGCGTTGCCGAAGTAGTCGTCGTCTGGTGGCTCGGCTGCTGTTGGTGCGGGGGCTGTTGCAGGCGGCGGTAGATTGGCCCTGACCATAGGAACAGGAACGGACGTCGACGAGGAGCTGTTGGAACTGCACCGTGACTCGGGTTGCGGCTCGGAACCATTCTTGCTGGGCAGGAGGGGCACGCCGTCCGTCGTGCCGTCGGCTTCACGGCCCTCTGTACCGTCAACCGGCCCACCCGTTGCTGTCGTGTTGGAGCTGGTAGAGGAATGTGTGGGGGAGGTACCGTCGTCCACGTCTTGCGTACCTTGCCAAAAGCTGCTTAACCTAGACTTTCGTAAGGTGTTAGGTGACAACAGCGGTACGATTTCGTTGTGTGCGAAGACATCTGGATGTGAGCCGGGGATCATCGCAGTGACGCCGCGCATGGGATCTGTAAGCTCATGTTCTGGCGACGGCAGTGCCAGAGGCGCCACAGACACGCGCGCAGCCGCTAACCGTATGGCTGCCGCAGTCGCGGTAGCATCGGCAGGAGTAATGGGAATACGAGGATGCTCCATGTGAGACTGTGAATGGTGAGCAGAGGACGTCCGCATGTCCGCAAATGAATTGCGCAGCCGATGCGAGAAAGGATTCAGTTTGGGTGGCATGGAGGGCGCTTTGGGAGATTTGCTAGGTCCTACAGAAGTCTCCGGCAGAATGAGCCAAGGCGACGAAGGCTGAATAGCAGATGGATGGTGCGTAGAGACACCGTTCACTTCCGTGGAAGGGACGGCGAACCGGCCACCTTCTGTCTCCAATATACTGGCCGGCCTTGAATCCAGCGGTGCAGCGGGTTCGAAATGAACAGACGCAGGTTCAAATGGCGTCTCCGCCGGCCTCCATTCTGGTACAGAATCGAGATCTGGAGATTCAAACATGACGTCTGAACCGGCGCCGCCGACGGAGGTGTCTAGAGGGGGGGCACGCAGCAAGCTCGGCGCATGGAGATGAGATCGGGGTGGAAGCGGGGTCTTCAATGGGTCCCACCGTCCCATCGAATACGCGTGGATGAACGTCGCCCAGTTGTAGTCGGGCTCGACCATGTTCGTGTCGCGCGCCGTGGTCGCGTTGTGAGGGAGCTGGCGCGACTCATCTGGAGACGGGTCAAACGGGGACGGCAGGACGTCTACGCACAGCGACCGTCAACCACACTGCGCGTTGCGAGGTAGCAATAGCATAGCAAGATACGCACCCAGTCCCGCCAGACGAGATGCCTCTGCGCGCAGGCCCACTACAGCAGCGTGGGCTTTCCGATTCATCTCCTCGAGGGTGTGATCCTGGGAAGAAGCATATCTGTGCTCCTGCGCCTCCGCCGGCCTTTCCCTGCTCGGCCCCACTGGATCTGACACTGAAGAGTAGGCTGATGGGGACCAGTCACCCATTGGCGGGGCTTCAGGAAGCAAGTCGTGCTTGTCTTCCGCAGAAGAGGCGGTAGAAGGGCGTCTCTTGAGACGGGGCGGCTTTGCCGGCGGAGCAAGGCGAGATATGTTTGGAAAGAGGACAGTGGGATGGTCTGTGAGGGCCAGAGAATACGAGAGGTCGTCTGTAGATGGGATGGATGGTAGCTCTGGGACAATCTGCTCAGATCGGTTGTCCATGAACGGGCGGTCGTGATGATTGCAGCGTAGAGGATCAGGCAGACAGCAAGAAGGGTAGGCTAGTGTCGACGATGCGAGAAGACCATGAGCGTGCAGAGGGAAGACGGGGACAAGACCGGCTGCCCGCGGAGCAGACTGGGACTGACAGGAGAGGGACGAGCGTTTGCGACGATGCTGGCGTTGAAGAAGGGTCTCCCAGGTGGGGCAGAAGCTTGGCAGTACCGGCAGCGTTCCCTGCGAGCGCTTGTCTCTCCGACGAGCCAGGGCGAGACCACGCCCAGTGGCTTATGCACATTATAGACGTCATCCGGCGCTTTCTCTACATACTATGCTGCTATGTACTGTACAGTACTTCATCGCTCCGCGGCACAGCATACACCGTCTCACGCCCCGCCCCCGTTCTGATCTACAACATCTAGCAAAACCACCATCGCCCACATGTACAGCGGCAACGTCAGGTTGTCGTTCTGCACGCTGAATGCTTCCAGACCCCCCGCCAGCCCAGCAACCATCGCAAACCGAGGAATCTGTCCGGTGCACAGTCACGGGCCACATTGCGTCAGTCGAAATATCCTACTGCCGATCTCCACCCGCACGCACCGAGAAGTCTTCGACCGTTCCAAACACCCGCAACAACCATGCGCAGACAGAAACCGACACCACAAACCCTGCGCTTCCTTCGATCGTCTTGGGATTAGCGGCGAACCAGCGGTATCTCCCAAGCCGTTTCCCCACAATCGAGGCCTGTGGCGCGATTCGGTGGGTTTGGTATCGGCGCATTGGGTTCATGATTTCCCGTCGTTCAATCACGTCAGCCGTTCCGGGTTCTCGATCAACAGAAGAACAAGAAAACGTCGCGTGTGAACTGCTCACCAGTGCATCCCCCACGCCTAAAACAAGTGTCCCCGTGAATTGGGGTAACCTCGAGGGCCTATGGTCGCCGTGAAGTTAGACCGTCGACGTATACATCGAATAAGCGCTCTCCGCACGACAACACCACTCCATTCAGCAAGGTACACATGTGGAGACCCCAGAACAACAATGCGCCAGATGGATCTCTCCAGCTGCAACATGAGCTGTCCCCTACGGCGCATTATGTCCGGCGCGGCTGTATCTGGGCAGTTCATGTCGCAACCCCTGATTGGGTTGATGGTATCGGACGGGGCAAGGCAAAGAAGACGCACCCTTCGAACCAGACCGAATTCGCACATCCTGTCAGCAAATAGAAGTGGCTGAGAATCGCGGTGCCTCCGTCTTTCGAGTCCAGAAACTCGTTCATGAAGACATGGACGGCGGCTCCGAAGGGATACAAGGCAAAGTACCGCACGTATTCGGTGAATGTGAACAGCGCGAAAGCGCCGCTGAACGCGAGGTGCGTAAAGGCCGCCTGCAACAGAGAACACATGAGGTCAGAACACACCAATGAGGTCATTGGGGCCTCTGGCCGTGTTAACCGAGAGATGCTGAGAGCAATGTACTCACATCTACAGCGATCCCTGGCACAAACATGACCACCGCAAGGGCGTGGAAGAACTTGCGTCGGGCGTTCACGCTCAGCGTGGGGACGTGCTTGTCGGCCGCGTCCAAGAGGTCCGTCGCAACATGGGAGAAATTGGCGTTCGGGAGGTCGGGGAGGTTAGGCAAGTTCGGCAAGTTAGGCAGCCTGATCCCATAGCCCGCGATTCCTTCCCCGGCCAGCGCGGGGTCGGTTGGCTCCACAGGCGCAACAGCCGGGATGCCGCCAGGCTGCCCTGCGGGGTTCGTAGCGACGCCCTGCGGTGTCGGGCCCTGCATCATCGCACTGAAGCTGGACTGCCCCGGCACTGGACCGTATCGCGGGCTGCTAGGCGCGACCAGTGTCTCTGTCATTCCCACGTTGGCGATGTGTATACTTCCGCGGACGTTCATTTGTCTCCACCGCTTGCTTCTCGCAAGCTGCCTCGTCCACCCCGCGACACTGATGCTGATCAGAAGCGCCCAGTACGCGACGAGTGCAGGCCGAGTCCACTTGTTCCTGCCCTCGAGCATCCAGAACACGACGTAAACCCACGGGTCGCGACCGCCGAGACACCAGCGCGACCAGAGGCCGATGAGACCCCCCACAATGACCAAGGTTCCGACATAGAACCCTAGAGCAAGCAGCCTACGGTGCTTCTGCTTCTCTTGTGGGTAACGAAGCCGGCGTACAGGTCGCTGTGCGATGTGCCGGGAGAGGTATAGTAGCGGAGAAAGCAAGAATCCAGTAAGCAGCGACCCTGGGATTAGGGCGATCTGGAAAACCAGGAGTGGCGTTGGCAGCCGGAAGGTCTTGATGTAAGGAGTTGTGAGCGGCCAGAGCTGTAACGCGTCGTGAGCAAATCAGCGGCCGCGGAGCGTACGCATGTATGAAGGCTGGAAACATGAGACGTGATAGCATGTCCATATCTCAAGTCAAGTGGAGAGGAACGACATCTTGCGACCACGTCCACGTTACAACACAAAGCATATGCAGGGAAGTATGCACCACTATCATTCTCGACCAGCCGAAGTGCACTGCTCTTGCGAGCAACAAGCAGAGCCAATCTGTGATCTGCGCGTTATGCAGAATGCGCTTGAAATCAAGGCACACTACTCGGCTCTGGCTTAGCGAGACAAATCATTCGATGAGCACGCACCTTCGCTATAGTCAGGTTCATCAACTCCATAAACAACACCGTCGCCCCAAACGCCACCAGCCCAAGCTCGCCAAACGTGAATCCTCGATGAGCGAGCCGCACACAGATGTACAGCGAGAATTGAAAGAACATGGCGCTCGCGACCACCTCGAAGTACGACATGCCTAGACGACCAATCAGCATCGTCAGTGGCGCTCTGAATGTCCGTTCTATACCAATAGACGCACTTTGCCAGATGCCCAGCTTAGCCTCCTTGAGCGCGATACGCACGCACAATATCCACAGTGTCACGCTAACCGTGAATAGGATGTACAGGTATGTCCTGCGGCCTTCTTTGCGCGGCACAGAGCTGACCTCGCCCTCCGGAACGACGAGCTTCTTCCGATGTCGGGCTTCCGTGACCCAAGACGCACAAACGTGTACCAGGAGGATGGTGGCGCAGAAAGTCGCCTGGCTGACCAAGTAGCGCCTCGAGAGGAGAAGCGCCTCCAGTGGAGTAACGACAGTCGCAGAATGTGGGAGGGTCATGGGAGTTTCGACGAGCCAGCCAGAAGGCATTGGGTTTCCACTGGGGTCCGCCGCGGTCATAGTGAGTGAGATGTACAAGAGCGCAGCGGATATGAGAGGGCCACCGAGGAGTCCAGTCAGGATTCCATCGTCCTGCGAGTTTCTGACGCTTAAGGTGAGTATCGCCTGACTGCTAGTCCTAGGTGATCTTTTTAACTCACCTATAATTCTTCGGTACAGTCATCCAAACATAGCCTGTGTCACGACTTCTAGGCGCGCTTAGGTGGAGGGTTTGCGTAGGAGCTCGTCTCCCTTCGCGCCCATCCAGCAAGCGCGGGGAGGGTGATGCCGGACGTGAAGGTGGTGTCGGCGGTCGTTCTGGAAGGCTGGGAGACACTCGAGTCCACGAGACTCTGGTCCAGGTACAGTAAACTATGGACGCTACAACAAGTAATGCGAGCTCTTCACGAGTGCAGTAAGTAACTCCGTCCTGAGGTATCACACAGAAACACTACCTATGGATATCCACATGTCCGGATCGAAGGGTTCCTTCGCAAAGGCCTGTATTTTGACCGAAGAGTAGCCAACGGAACAAAGGAGCAACGTGTTCTCGAACGCTTGTCGTGTATCAAAAGCTGCCTTGACAGTCGTGCCAGGTAACCGGACGTGAAAACATGTCGTACTTGGTAAGAGCGAGCGTATGGCCACAACAGGGTTGTGCCTATTTCTCGAGAATAGTGATGGGGATGCTGGACGTGTAGCACCGTTGGCTGCGCCGTCGGTAGGTGGCCTGATTGCAGGAGAACGTGATCTCGTGAAGGTCCGTCGCTCGTATATCCGGGAGGGGCTGCTTCTTCTCGAGTTGCTCGATAGCGATTGACCACTACCTTGCCTGGTAAGAAATGCATTGTTACCGTTGCTGTCCCTTCTCGACTGCGACCCAATTTGTCGTTGGGTAGGTTGTCGCCCACGCGGGTCCTGACTCTGAGTATGGCCGACGTCCGTCTCGTCCGCACTGGTGAGATCCTCTGAATCCGAGCTGTCAAAGGACGGTCCTTGAGTGAGCCAACACGTTCAACTTGTCAAAGAACTGATTCCCTCCCCGCCTGAGCGCATACGTATACAAGACGTGGGTTCGTGGCATTTGGCTCAACGTGAATGTATGCTGTGCGCAGTACTTCTTCCGGTACAGTCTTAAGACCATGGCGAGCCTCACACCACTTCACTACAGACTACAGCTGCACGGGATCTTGAACGCACGCGGGCTTAATGCGCATGAGACACTCCGCAAGTCTATGGTACCCGCTACAGACCCATCCTGCAGGCGTGCGAAGCCGCTCAAAAGATGACTGTACACTTGTGGCAGATAGCACCTTTCCAGCAGCGTGTCCGCAGCGCTTCTCACGTCTACTTCTCCCGATGACGGGCTAGGTAGGTGAACCAGCCCTGACCAGGAGACGTTCATATGGGTACACGTTTCGTAGGAATGCTGTCCGCAAAGCCCAACGAACAAGTCCATGATATATCTTCGTGTCGGTCCATTTGGGGCTTTGGCCTCGGCGGGGTGATGAACCGACGCTCATACTCGGTTCGTGGTAGAACATGAGAAGACGGCGCAGACTGCACATACCCAGAAGACCCTGCTTGGTAGCTCGTGCTCCATCCTTGTTGCTGCTGCTTTCGTGGCGGTTGACTGGTGGGACGAGGAACTCCAGATGAGTGGGACTGCCGCCTTGCCCGGGAGTGCATACGCACTCTCTCGGGGCGTCCTAGTCCCGACGGCCTCCGGGCAGGCGGCGATGGCGACGACGGTGAGCGGGGCAGTTTGGAGGACGCGACGCCGCGCGCTGCGGCGAGTTGAGGGCAGAGGAGAACGGGGAAAGTAGATGAAAGTCAGAGACGGTTCTCGAGGTCAGCTCGGACGACACACTCTCGTGGCGGCCCGCGCACGTGAATGACAGGACAGGATCGCCACGTCCGATCTCGCTCGGATGCGGCCGAATGCTTGCCGCAGCCACTTTCGCGTCGCGTCTCGACGCGTCTAACGCTTAATTGTCGTTGCTCTTTCCTCGTCATTCACGCGTCCTTGTTTCCTCTTAGCCACAGTGTCGCGTCTTCTCAGTTTTATCTCCACAACCTCTTTTTGTTTGCTCACGTACAGAAAAATGGATGCCACAAAACGCGTCGTTTACCTCGAGGATCTCGAGAAACCCACTGCCAGCGGTGGCGGTGCGACAAAGGAGAACGTGTCAGTCGCGGTCCCGTCCAAAGACCTCGCACCCGTAGTGGAAAAGGCGGAGAAGGCTTCAACCACCGTCACAGAGAAAAAGACAGCCACAGGCGCCACTAAACGGCAACAGTCTCTTACGGACATGTTCACCAAGAAGTCCTCTTCATCCTCCTCCTCGTCCAGTGGTCCCGCCCTGAAGAAGCCCAAGACGGACAACCCTTCTCTCAATTCCATACCATTCTCTCTCAAGGAATACCAAGATACACTATCAGAAGAAGAGAAAAGCCTTCTGGCTCTCGAGTGCGAGACCATGGGCAAGAGCTGGTCATTCCGTTCTTATTTCCGTCCATCAGGACCCAAGCTCATTCATCGTGTAACAGGCTCAAGCTACTCAAAGACGAGATCAAGAAGTCATACTTCCTCAACCTCAAGAGGTTCTTGGCTTCAGAGGGCGTGAAGGGAGTAAATGATAGCGCATCGAACTTGAAGGTGTACCCCGCGCGTTAGTTTCCCGCGATCCTCGCGCAAGTGACGTGGACTCACGGCTCTTCAGCGAAAAACATCTACGCATGGTCGAACATGACGCCCGTCGGGCGAGTCAAGGTCGTGATCATTGGACAGGATCCCTACCATGGTCCAGGACAAGCTCATGGTGAGTACTTGATCCCCTGCCTAACGTGCCCCTGCGAATGACGTGTGTCGGTGAGACACGCCTTGAGGGTGTACGTGATGCTCGCAGAATGTAAACTTGTTGTCTATGAGTATGCGAGCAGCTGGACAACGCAAACGTCCACCCGACGTAGAAGTCTATAGTGGCTTGCATCGATGTAGCGCGTGCGGTGCCTTGTGCTACATAATACTCCCATCGTTCGTGGGGAACAGCGACGCTAGAAGTTGATCCTTGTGCCTGAGCGACGACAGCTCCTTGAGTTCGTCGCCATTGACGACTGTGCGAGCACTTCGCAACCGATGCGGATCCGTCTCGTCCTGTAGGACCAGCCTTTCCCACAGCACCGTTGAACCGTTACGCTTCCACAGCATCTGTTGTTTGCTTGCTACGAGCGGTTATCCGGCAGTACTGACGTCTTCACTTTACTTCAAAAGGGCTATGCTTCTCCGTGCCTCCAGGGGTCGCGGTTCCTCCATCTCTGAGAAACGTGAGTGGCTTGGGTGTTCATAGTTGAGCTAGTGAATCATACCAGATGCAGATCTATCTCGAGATCAAGGCGGAGTATCCGTCTTTCGAGATACCCAAGCATGGGTAAGTCGGACATTTGCTCGGGTCCCCACGCGTAGACAGCCTGCTGATCTGCCATGTCAATCTTCCGCAGCAATTTGACGACATGGGCTGAGAACGGCGTCTTGCTCTTGAATACGTCCCTGACCGTGAGAGCTCGCGAGGCGGCCTCCCACTCGAAGAAAGGATGGGAGGAATTCACCGCTAGAGTGGTCGATGTCGTCGACCGCTTTGGCGGCGCGAACCTCGGCAACAAGAACAGCACCAACGCCGGTCGCGGACGGGGCATCGTATTCCTCGCTTGGGGCGCACATGCAGCGAAGGTGGTCGAGAAGCTCGACAAGGTCAGTGTCTCCGACATTTCTGACTATGGGTGCATGGCATGGCATAATTCACACGATGATATCTTACGCGAACCGTTTTGCGAAGCAGAAAAAGCACCTTATCCTCACCAGCGCTGTAAGTGCATTCGCCTGCTCCACGCTGAACCCCCGAGCTGAACGAGGGCATTCAATCTTTCGATGCGCTCATGCGGATGGATTGTTATTGATGCACCTAATCTCAGCATCCGTCGCCCTTCAGTGCCAACCGCGGCTTCTTAGGCAATGGCCACTTCAAGAAAGCCAACGACTGGCTCGAGGAAAAATATGGCCCGGATGGCTGTGTCGACTGGACGAAGCTCTGACCGCTGCGGGGCGCCGCGGGTGAGCTTCGCTGTGATTGTCGATGGGTCCTGTACATACCTGACTTCCCAAGTTCTGATGTCTCGGTGAGTCCGATAATGTCAAAATAGGCGTCGCCTGTGTCACGGAAGGAGTTGCCCTGCAAGCATTAGGCTAGGCTTGCTCACTTACAGTGCCGTCAGATCCTTCAACTGCTCCGCACCCAGCACTTCCGGGTTTTCCGAACGGGCCACGTTCCTCATTGTCCCTCGCGCCCGCCCAGATGACTGTTCTTCTGATGCATCCAGGCTCCCCCAACCACATCGCGTCCTCAAACACGAACGGTAGCCTCGGGCGCCCCAGGTCCACCGAGAACGGAGATCCACGCAACCATGCCCATACGCGGGTCGCGTACGTCCTTTTTTTGCTTGTGCGCTCGCCTGCGGACGCCAATGCTTTAGGCTTGCATGAGACGCGCGCCTTGATTTGCTCACGCGAGGACGATCTGCGCGCTCATTTCGCTGTACCTAGCTATTTCCCACACCCCTATAACATCCGTTGTTTCCATCAGGCGCTTCGAGTGACTACCCTTATACGCATTGGTAGCATCTCATCCTCATACTCCGGACGATCACGTTCCGGATGCGCAGCGCGCGAACGGTCTTGATTTTGTTGCATACCCGACTTCTCACATGAGGGCCGCTCAATTCTTGAGGACGCAGGACGCAGGACGCACTCAGAGCTCATTTGATGGATGTGATGGGCTAGCCGAACCTGCCGCATATGGCAAGGTACCAACCTCATTTCTCGTGCCCGTTGTTTTCCAAGGGGTCTGTCGTGTCCCAAACCTCGCAGAAAAATATGAATCGCAAGTATGTTGAGGACGAAAGCTTTCCGCGTCGATTGACACTACCCTCGAGGCACTTTGTGAGGGGGGAGGAGTGTCATCGTCGCGCGAGGGGTTTCGAAGGCAAGCTTGTCGGCTAGTCTCGCTTAGCCCATCTCCTCCATCAAAGGCCTCTGAACGCGTCCTGCGTCCTGCGTCCTCAAGAATTGAGCGGCCCTATGCAGAACGCAGACACCATCTGTGCATTGTCGTCCCTTAGCCGCTGTCGCCCCGCGTCACAGTGCGTGCCCTCTCTCTCGCCACGGCTGCCACGTCTTCCGCTCCACCCCACCCTGCACTAAGTCGGCTTCTCTCCTACATGCGGCGTCGCAACGCCC